TGCAGCTCTAGCCCGGCCCAACCCAGCGCCATTACCACCAACTAGCCGCGTTCACGCTGTGATTTCGCCATTGCTTCTTTCAGAAGAATCTTTTCAGGGCTCTTAAATTCCGGACTCTGACGATCGCTAAGGGCGAAAATGTTTGGCTTACTGGACCCGAACGAGAATAGGCCGAGCATCCGCCCAAGAAAACTTCAACATATATAAATGCTGCTAAACCAAGTATACGGCAGCATTTTTTCCACTTTCCAGATCCTTTCCGAGGACATGGTGGTCGGCTTGCCCCCGAGTCGCAAAGCTTTGATCTACGCTTGGAAAGTGCTGATAGTCATAGTCGACACCGCGGTGGGAAGACCCTTGTTAGAGTAGTCCTTCGATACTTACGAGAAGTTAGAGTCATTTCGGGGATATCCGCTTCATAAAAGTAGATACGGCCTCGCGCTTAGAGAAAGAGCCCATGTCGCTTTCAAAAGTCCTAATATTTCATTATTGGGATCCCTTGAGCTTCGGGCTGAAAGAATTTGCACATTTCTTGGAGAAGCCCACGCCATGATGTGCCAACATATCCTGATTTGGCTTCCCTAGGTTGTGGGTTTCTACGCACAAGCTATGGAATTCTGACAAGCTCTTTTGCCTTCCTTGCAAAATGGGAAACGTCTATGTGAATGCGGAGTATGACGAGTACTTTCTTATAGTCTAACACGGAAGCTACCGCATGGGGCACCGCATAGGGTACCGCAGTTTCCTGGGATGCTGGGAAGATGTGTTCGTAGTGATATACTGGCCATTACCACCGATATCTCGTGTCAAGAAGAGTCTTCTACTCGAATTTCTCATCTGAGCAACCTCTTCGAATCTTCGTGGCTCGTTGTTTTGATCCTGAGGTCGTTTGGCTCGGCACCTCAAATAGCGGGCCCGTATCTCTTCCTTCAATCTGTCCAAGTCAACAGCCTGAGTCATTACTCCTTTTAGATTCGCAGCCAACGTTCTCGCTACCGTCAACCGTGTTTTCTTGGTTGCGAGAGACAGCAGTCTCACAAACTCAATAGTCTTATCACTTTGGAAAGCTGGCCATTGTCCAAGTCTCATCATCGACTCTCCTATCATGTACAACATTGCGCCCGGTGGGATGGCTCCATAGTTGCCCACACATTGATCCAGCTGATCCACGAATCCAGACACATTCTGCTCTAATATGCTGCTCATGGCATACAAGACTGCTATTTGGGTTCCTTCGTCCGAAGGTGAGAAGTATCTCGTCAGAGTGGGAATCATATATCCGGTCGGTAGCTCCATTCTTGCCAAAGCACAATCTAGGGCATTTTGATGTGGAAAAAACTCGAACCCAAAGTAAACAAAAGTACTGAGTAGGCACATCCCGGTAAAGAAGTCCAAAGTCCTAATGATGCCAAATCCTCCATGCAACTGTACCCAGTAATGCAAAGCTATAGCGTGGCGTCTGGCCGCGTCAAAATCACCGTCTCGGTACTCGGCAACGATCATTGTTGCGAGTGTTGCCGCCGTAGAACGCTGCAAAAACCCGCTTTCTTCTTCGACCAGCTTTCTCAATTTGTCGATCAGTTTACTTCTCCGACTATGTATGAGTAAGCGGCTCGCACCAAGTGACAAGTCTGAAATAAGCATCAAGCACTGAACCATCGTAGAGGACATGGCCAACTTGGGTAATAGGATATCGCGCACTGGGCACAGAGACGGTCCATGGCCTTCGAGGTGGTTAGCCTGGGTATTCGCGACGAGATCTACCACATTAGCATAGAGCCACAATTTCTGCGTTGGCGCCTGCTTACAAGACTGGAGTTGCATGCAATCGTTCTTGGAAAGATCATCGGCGATGACAAGAAAGGGATCTAACCCTCCGCATCCAATACTACCGGGAATGTAGATCGGTTTTGTTAGAGCACTAAAAGTTGGGTTGACTGGACTCAAGTTCTCCTGTATTCCCCAATGTTCACCAGTGGAGCCGCCGACAGTGCCCATGCTACCACCCGACGCTTCTATTTGTCTGCTCTGTCGCCTGAGCCTCGTATGAGAGACTTTTGCGGCATGTGACTTGGCCTCAGATTGCTGCAAAAACACGTCCCGCGCCTTGAACGAGCTACACTGCACCGTGGGGAGAAAATGGATGTTGTAGGTTTCCATCGCTCTTTCCCTGGGTTCTGTGGGCATTTGAGACTCCATGGCTTGAAACGTGCATTGCAAGGCCTGCGGGAGCCTGCTCTTTTAAGGACAGACCAACACTGCAACAACCGCTATTCAATAGACTCGTTTCATAGACTCGTTTCGCACAACCGTTATTAAGATGGTTCGGTTAGTGTCCTGCGAAATTTGCTCGGCGTAAGAGCAGCATGGTGGCTGAGATGTTCGCAAGAAGTGCTGACACAAGCTCAATATGGCACGGCGTGCAACCTAGCGGGTGTCAGAATTCGTTGAACACCGACCCCTACTTTTGCCCTATAATCCGCCGTACTTAACGATCATATCACGTAGGTTATCCAGCTAATACAATAATTTTGATATACCAATGGCTATATGTTCAAGGACTTATTATAAAGAAACTAAGTATATGAAAAAACGTCTCAAGTACTTCCGGCTGAGAAACGTATAAGGCTCCCACCAAAATAGAGGTGGTGAAGGGTAGAGTATTCCCTGGTAAATTATCTTGCTGGTCCGCATGTGTCCCACTGGATTACGCATCATCAATACGTTTGAGCAGGCAATAGGTATCAGAACACCAATATCCTCCCATTCTATTTCGCGTCTCCGCAATCGCAGATTGTGAGCTGGTTTCATTAGCAATAGTGCTCAGGATGGCGGCCGCAGCCCTAGAGCTCGTACTTTAGATGTTTAAACTCGTCGAGAGGCCTATTCATTGGATTTCTCTACTAGACAACATTTTTACGTGCAGAGCTCTGAGGAGGTGGATTTACATTTATTCTCCTGCTAGTCCAAAGGTTTGCGCTCTACGTAGGGCGTAGTTTCAATCATTCTTGCTGGCTGATGTGTTTCGGTGCCAGCTCACTGGTCACGTGGACGCTGCCCGAATTCAGATTTAAATAGTCTGCCCCTCCAGAGTGCACCACATCGTTGTTTTCCACCCTTTTTCTCGCGCAAAACCGCTGCTTCCTTCCACATGGACTCTAAATTGAAAGCCTCAGATCGATTGTTATTTCCTCACTAATTAGCTAGAAATACGAATTTATCTAATGGCTTCCAAAGTTAACAAAATCAAGAGTCAAAAGTTTAAGTGATGAGGAAATTGGGGAAGAGTGCAAAGTCTAGGTTGAATAACTTTCCAAAATGACGTCCAACTTTGACTAGGTGACAATGCGTGGAGAGGGAATTGAGGGACGCTGGCCCAACGTAGTTTGGATCAATAAGTTGTTCTTTATATCCTTACGTGGTAGGTACCCAGGCGGGTAGGGACTGAGAACTCATTCCTCGCGAGGGGCGCAATGATGGAACGGTGTTGGTCAATTCGAGCATCAAGTTGTACGTGAAGAGTGTCACGGGTTGAACCCGTAGGCTGTCTTGGTAAGAACCAGCGATGTCTAGATTCGACCGTACAGTTGTCCAGCCGAACGATATCACGTGATATCAATGGTTGCTCAGGATACCGGATCGACCCACCCCAGGAGATTATATCTCCTTTGTGGATAGTAGTAGGACTTCTTTCTCTCTTCTCCTTAGCTTAACGTCCTTGTTAGACAGGTACTATAGTAGTTGAACAAGCTCCTATTGAAACCCTCACAAAGTGTACCTCTCGGAGAAGTGAGGGCTGACAGAAGTACTTAGTCAGAGTGTTAGCTGAGCCTAGCAATGTTAAGCTCACATTGTCGAGGGTGTCATCAACTAAGATGTGTTGTGCCTGCAGATTATATTGTTTTAGCGGACAGTATCATTCAGCCGTGCAAGGGATACGAATGTCAGCAGTGGAGTGACATGTGCCCTGCTTAGAAGCACAAACACTGTCCTTCAATTTGTAGAGCGAGGATTGCGGTGTATTACTAACCCAACCGACCGAGGTGAACTAACCTCAATTTAGGACCGCCTGCTTGGGAAGTTGCTTGGGGGCTTCAGGTGGAGTTCCCTCCTGGAAGTCCAACCCACCTGCCAAGCGCCAAGTGCCAAGTGCCAACACCCACCGAGACCCAAGGCGCACCTTCCCAAAGAGTGCAAGACGTCATCGAAAATGGAAGTTGCGGTGCGCCATCGCCAGATCACGTTACTGGCCGTGTCTCAATTGGCCTCACTCCCCGCCAGCTTCCAAGTTCTGCCAAAAACCTAACGGTGTTGCTCCTGGAGAACATTCAGCCCAACACACAATGGTCCAGAATCTTGGAAGTTTCTTGGTCACACCATATTGCCCAGACGCCCAAGGTCTTGTGGCCTTGTGTCCTTGTGGCCTCGTGGCCTCAGTTGTTCACCTTCTTCTTCCGCGGCATCAGATGCATGGAGTCTTCAATCCTCGGAGTCGCACGGTATTGATCAAGAAAGCAAATCCAATGGGAAAACACTCGGCCATCAGGCCTAAAACAAAAGCGAGATCACCCCAGTCTCAGGCCGGAAGAAGATGCCAAGTTGGATAAGTCATCCGATGGCCGCTTGATCCTTGATCCACAGCCACCCCCGGCTCTTGGATCATTACGACGCCTGCCCCCTCATTCAGGCTTAGCCTTGCAACACCCAGTCCACTTCCGCTGACATAGACAAATGTCCAATCTGAGTTTCAAGGTCAACGCCTGCAACCGTCACTTCCGCCTTTTCCATGATCCTAGCTTGTTTTCCCATGGTGTGCTGCTGGAACTTCCTGGTTTGGGCATAGCTTTTAGCTTCACTCCTTCTACATATACCTGACTTCACCTCCCCAGGCCTTCTATGTCATCCAGAACCTCAACAACATCCACAGGATACGTAACACAACAATCAATCGCTCTGATAATCACATTCACGTTGCAATAACAATGGTTTCCACGAATCACTCAGGATCCAATCCTGCCATCACGGCCTACAAGGTCTATCACCTCTCCTCAGTCAAACTAGATCGAGAAGCACGTCGTCAAACCCCGGATCTAGCAAGACTAGTCGCTCACGCCACCATAATTGATAATGTGCGCCGATGGAGCCGCACAACTGCCGTGCCAACGGAAGCAGTTGTCATTGAATCCGACCCCTTCGAAGACTCTGCTTCAGATGAGGACCTTGACTCTGATTGCGACGTAGGCGAAGTTGCTGTCTTTGAGTTCGACAAGGATGAATCCAATGAATGGTCTGGCCACAGCCAAGATACAACGAAGACTTACGAAATCACGAGCACGATGGTTGTAGAGAACGAGCCCGAGCCAACATCGGTCCCAGCACCAAGGAGACGACCTCCTCCACCTCCAACATCAAGCTCTACTTACGACATCAAGAATCAAAGCTGGAGACACAATCGCCCTGTGACGGTCAGAGAGACGGCCGTGGAGGTGGATAGCGATGACTGAGACTTCTTCCTGCGTTGGTCTCGATCAGGTGGAGACTACTTTCAACATCATTGTCGAGCGATTCAGCGTTACGAATTTACAATGGCGATTGCTACAAAAGTGGCTGACATCCGAAATGTCCTACGTTTACACCTCAGGTGGTCATATCAAGTGCTGATATGACCCCAAGGACGCATACGATGCATTGTCCTACTCTACCCCCCCTATCTCCTTGGTTAGGACGACTTTATTAAACAGTCGGTACTCGATTCTTTCCTGGTGAAAGAGCCAAAGTGTATAGGGGGAGTATGGACGACAAGGATCGATCATAGCTCCTGCCGCGCAGGATTCATACAATCATAGCGGACGAGTGCCATGAATCACGAATTACGAATCTCTTATCTGGGAAGATGCGGCTATACCAAGAGTCGGAAGTAAGGCCTGCAATGGATATCGGCCGCGCAAGCGCCGAGCAGGTCGTGGATGCGTCCAAGATGTCAAATGGATGATAAGGTTGGACGATACTGTAATATTAGTTACCTCATACCCATATCATGATAACCAGATGAAAACATTCCAAGTATCCTTTCTAATATCTTCTAGTCTTTCCATGAGATATCATCACCACATCTCCATAGCAGCAGCTGTGCCTTCAATTCCATCGCTGGTGTTCCAAGTTTTAAGCCTAGAAAACCAACAAATTACGTAGACCAAAACACCCCTCCCTCTTCCAGCTTTCTTTCCCTTTTCGCACAACCCCGCCAAGTGGACACAAGAGGCTTGAGCAGCGCGCTGCGTACCTGAGCTTGGCCCGCGGCCCGACCTTTCTCCACAGTCAAAACCTAGAAAAAAGAAGAGTTTTTAAGGCCTTCCGAGAAAACTGGAGACTTTGAAGTCGGTCGATCGTCGTCATGATCCGCCAGACTGCCACAGCACCAAACGCTCCTAGCTTGATTGCGGCAACTCCAACCTCGCGCCGAAAAGTTCTGATCCGGTCAATGCGCCCTCCTTTTATTTGCTTGATGAACGATCAGCGAAGCGTGCTCCTTGACCTGGGAAATAATCGATCCACAGAATGATCGGGGAGCCTGCGCACGGGTATGTACGGGGGATCGGCGCCTCAGCCACGGCTGCCAGGCTTTCCCTAGCCATACATATTGCTTGGGGAGAGCGAGGCGTGGCTGGGTAAAAGCAGTGTCTTACCCAGCCCGTATTCGGTGTCATACGGCGCTCTCTGGGGGAGGACGTGTTCACGTGCACCTAAATGTAATATGCCGATGGACTGCACACATATGGCCCCCATGCAGATGATGTCCTCATGACCTCTCGACTCGCCCCGTCGATGCGCGAGCAACCAATGCCCCACCATTCTTGAAGACTGGGGTTTGAATCACGTGGAAGGTTTCACGTGACAGAGATTTCCGAACGCGCCTGCGGTTTGCACCTGTCACCGGAGAATCTATCCGGTTCGCGGATATCTGACTCCGAGAACGACAATCGTTCGGCCTTCCTTCGCTCTTAGTAGTAAGGTTCTGAGCAATTATCTCATTCTGACGACAAGCCATCCGGGGGGAGGGAGCCGTTGACGAGGTTTCTTACTGGAAGGGAGCCGGCTGATCCGCTTGCCTTAGTATCATCCTTCCGTGACTCACCCATCTGTTCAGTTTATCCAATCTTCCATCGGTCGTCTATTTCCCTCATCCACACATGACCTCGACACGATATGTAGGGTCTCTATACTCCAATGACCAACTCCCAGCTAACCAGATACATACACTGCTCTCACGCAATAATCGCTTGCTGAAAATGCCAATTCCAGGGTCTCCTAGGAGACTAGAAACGGTTAGCCCTCGTGGGTACCACGTCTGGGGTCAATAGGAAGATCCCGGATGGTTTTGCCTTCTCACCTAGCGCTTCTCCTCCACTTCAGCATTCGTAAGACCAGTTCAAACAAGTGTCCCTCACACGTAAGTATTGAACAAAGATTGGTGATGATTCCTTTTGGCCACCGGAGATGTGCACGCCGGTCCTTTCGTCTAGGGGACATGGAACTAATGATCCCGTAAGTCTCTGTGACTTTTGCTTCCCTCTACCCTCTTCCCTCGTCCCTCGGTCCGAAATTTCCCTGTAGTATGCCCGTAGTTGTGATTTGATATTGCGTGATCAGTCATCAGGGGACCGCTTCTAGTGAATACGGGTCGCTGACGTAGCTTTGGTGGTCTGGTTCTGTAGCCAATCATGCAATATTATGAACAGTACACTGCTGCTAGTCCAACAGTGGTCGCGGTGTGGATTTGGGCGGCTCGCCGGGGATTTCCTCGGATGGCGTGACCTCCCGCACAACAGCGACACTACTGCAACTCGCGTATTCTGACCAGGAACAGAATTCTAGATAACGATACTTCTTTGTATCGGCCCTGGTCGAGCACGACACATTTCAAACCCATACTCAGTCTTGGGGAAGATGCGAATCTGCGGTGACCAGCGTATTGACGGCACTTTGTGGAGTACTTCTTTGTCTTCCTGGCAGTGAACATTTGTCGAAGGCTGCGCGAACCTGTCGATACCCTGTTAGATTAGCATGATTGGTAGTTTCCAGCACGATTGGCACGAGCTGTGTCGAGGATGTGATGATCGATTATCCATTTGCGGCCACCGCCTTCCCCGTAACTCCTAGAGCCTTTCTCAACTCCAATACTGCTGCTTTATTCGCCGCTAGAGTTCCGTTCCAATTACACGATACTAGTATCTCGCTCGGTTTGTGTAGGTGTAGAAGGTCTGCCGCCATGTTGCGAACCCTTGGCCAACGGTGAAGGAGTTGTCGCGTAAGTTTGTCGAGGCATTGCACATGCTGGCTCGATGCAGCCGGGAAGAGGCTCAGAAGACGCGAATACAAATTCAGCAGACCTTCGAACCTTGGAAGTGAAGAGGTGGGCGTTTGCAGTTTGGTTAAAGTTATCAGGATGTCATACGGGCCAACTGGTGCCAGTAGCTCTTGCGCGAATGCATCCTGGTCGATGAGGAAGCACATGAACCCGAGCAGGGGCAGAACGGCCCTGTCATCTTCTTGGATCTTTGAACCTAGCTGTTCTAGAACCAGCGTCGATATCTGGCGTACTAGAGTCTGTCGTGATACTAGTGGTAGACTCTGCAAATGCGCAACAAACGCATTGCTCGCAGCTCGACAAATATCCTCGGTACCTGCCGTGGCGGAGGAGATGAGACCAAGAACCAGCGATTCTCTAATCGAGTCGAGACGGAGTAGCTGAAGTAGATTTTGAAAGTATTTCACCGTCGTGACTTCAGTCAAATACTCAAAGGTCTCGTTATTGTCGAAGACAGAAGTGTTCAACAGGGATGCCTCGACGCACTTCCATGCCCGAAAGCGGACACTACTCAACTTTTCAGATGCAAGTTTCACGACGATCGGCATGACTGCTTCCAGAACCTCTTTCTTTTCTCGTGTTGTATGTGGATTGTTGCGGAAAGAATCGACCGCTTCTATGGTTTGTACTCTCAAAGTCGAACCAATGTCCCCTCTCTGATCATTTGTGTAATCAATCAAGCCTGTTGTTATCGCATCCTTGATGAGAAGGGCATCTTCTGCGGTAGAAATTTTGATAGCAGAGACAACTATCGTAAGGCCCTCCATAGCGTCAACCCTGGTTTCGATCCTATATACGCCTCGGATGACTCCAAGCAAGTATTGAAGGATTTTGTGCAGCAGCTCGGGATTTCGCCCTCCAGCCGCGATATAGCCGTGGACCAACCCCAGTGTCCTGATTCTCCCTCTGCTCGTATACAAAGCGGGGGATTGTGCGGCAGGGTCAAGCCAACTGTTCAATATCTGGCCATTTTCACTGTCTGGCAAGTGCTTGAACATTTGAAAATTGGCGTTCGAAGTAGCCTCCACAACGAAATCCTTCCCACTTGACCCTGTACATTGAAGTAGAATAGCCAATGCCGACGGGATCCATGATTGCTTTTGCGTCTCAAAATCCTCCGGTATGAAGCGTGCAACTGTCCCAATCAAGGTTGACATTCCTTCAATGACGAGTTCAATATCGCTCGAAAGTCGACCATCTATTTTGCCCGCGAATTTTCCAAACTCAAAAGATGAGCTATCTATAGCCCAGAATGCCGGTAGACCCGTAGCAGGGTCGTTCTCTGCAAGCGAGTCGATCCCCGAAGATAAAGCAAGGAGTAATCCATGGCGGGCTTGCGCCGTGACGCCAGTGTTGAGTGGTTTTAGATCTAGAAGCTGGCGTTGAACAGCATGAACGAAGCATAACTGGTCCTGAGTACCCATGTCTTTCGTTAAAATCTTCACAACTGTGGCAGCCCAGCGTCTCTGATTAGCGTCCACTGCACGAGCGCCTCTCCATTCTGTTGAAGCCTGGAATAATGCTTGATGATATAATGGGTCGAGCGTAGCTGCTTGGCAGGAGACCTCAATCATTGCACGCGAAAGCCGAGCAACAGCATGATAATCGATTGTCTGAACAATTGCTATTCCATTGACAATCGTGTCTGGATGTCGACCAATCAATTCTTGGAGTGCGGCTGATGAGCCTCGTCTTATATTCCCCGACGGATCGGAGCATGCGGCTATTGCCAGCTTACAAGCGAGCAGCTGCAGGACACTGTGGTTGTCGCCGAAACCTAGTGTTCTTGCTTCGGCATAGCTGAAAACCTTCACTAAGTCCAGTTCAGAGGTACTATAATTTCTCGCCAGGGCCCAGAGACCAAAACAAGCAGCATCTCTAACTCCGACTCCGACTGAAGTACCAATAAATGACCTTTGTTCGAACTCCAGACCTAAGATCAAGGCATGAATGATATCGGTAAGCATAACAGGAGGTGGAGAACGACGGAAGAGGAAGTGGCTGAGGGACAGCATTAACCCATGCCACTTCAAAGGATCCACAGCACTGATGTCTCGCTTCATGCCACTTGACGCGGAGCTGACCCCGTCGGTGGGAGGTAGAAGCTTCTGAGTCCTATAATCAACTAAGAGCACATTTTCCTGCAGAGAGCTTAGGACTGCTTCAATGACCTCTGCCGACATGGCGTCATTCAACTTCAGTGCGATGATGCTGAGTGCCTTGGCAGCAGCCATCCTGACAGGGGCATCCTTATCGCTCAGTGTATCTATAAAGTACTGGATTGCCTCTTCTAACATCAGGTTCAGCACGTCTTCAAGCATTGGCTCGTTGCCTTGACTTAATGAGATACCATGTGTAAGTATGACGCGCATGATCTTCAACAATAGCTTTCTAGCTGGAGCAAAATCCCTGATAGCCTTATGATGACCGTTGTGAGAGCTGGCAATCCTCATCGCACATTGGAACACTAGTTCAAGAAATGGGGATGTCTCGCTGTCCGAACCAGAATTCAGGATGCCGTACAACAGCGATAAAAGGCCAAGGGCTCGATATGGGCTGACGTCAACCAGTGCATTGTTGAATAGCAGCTGCTGTACAGCAAATTCGACAATCTTGGCAGGTAGATGATGCATTTGCATGTCTTTGCGAAGGACCAATCTGACGAGCAAAGTGCTTGCGGCTTGACGCTCTTTGCCAGAGCTTCCAATTTGGGCAATCGCAAGAGGGACGACATCCGCCGCGATGCCAGGCAGATTTCCCAGTTGAAGACTCGAGTCAGGCTCGACGACATTCAATTTCTCAATTGACATATTCGCCAATTCGAAGGGAGCCAACATCAAATGCGATAACCACAACAGCATTATGTAGCTTTCTTCCCAAGTCATTCCCGAGGAAGGTGTGTTCCAGGCTCGGAAGGTGGACAGCATGGTGGCAAGGTATCTGGGTTCATTATTCAACAACCGCACGATCACCTTGTAGCCCCTGACTTTGCAGAAGGCGTAAAGTAACCTACACACTGCCCGTGGAAGGGGAGATGTCGTAGCAGCTCCATTCCGCCTACTAAGGCCATAGTGCTCCTTTGAATTTGCAAGATATTCAATAAAGCTGTTGGCCAAGAGTTGCACAAGACTGGCAAGGGAGGGATCAAGTAGCTGAGGCCACTCCTGGAAGCGATCAAGCTAGAAAAATATCAGCAACTACGGTTCACCTACATTGCAATTCTTCCCTACTAAAAGCCTCAGTTCTTCGCACTTTGAGTCCAGGATCTGACGACGCGGTGTCCTGTGTGGCGTGTGTGGGCGGAATAGTAGCAGGGGGACCTTGTATTTGATCTCTTCTAAGAGAACAGCAGAAGCTTTGTAAAGCTTGGCATCGAGATCATGCTCAGCTGCGTCCATTGGAATTCTACAAGGGGACGATTTGGTAGAAGAATGGTGATGAGGTTTGTGTGTCGTTTGGAGGCACCAAACACGACGTTGTGATGCTGGCGTGCACGTGATTGGGCGTGACCCTGCCGGTGAAGTGTTTCACCCTAGGCCTGTCTGGGATTAGCCTACTGGCTGTGGACGCGCCTTGGGTAACTTACGAGTACTTGTAGTAGTGGGCCGTGGCAGGCACTACCCGTGGCTAGGCTCCTCGAGATCAGGCGTGACTTCCCTGCAAATGGAATGCATCCGCATCTGTGGATAGGCGTCATAATATCCAACTCCTTGTAACGTCCGCGTCTCTCGCCAATTCGGTGACCCTCAGGCCTCAGGCCTCAGGCTGCAAACACTCTCGATCCTCCAACCTCGATCCTCCATCTTCCATCTCTGCCTTTCCGTGTTCAGCTTAACACGCACACACTCTTCCATTTGCGTCCACACCATGTCTCACGCGACTAGGCGAATTATCCTCCCGCCCAACACCCAGCACTAATTGAATCGTATGTGTTCCTGCCATTCATCATTACCTGTAACCCTGCATTCTTAATTCTACCGACCGCCATTGTCCTTGGAGTGATAAGGTACTGGTGCTCCTCTGTTATCCACCAGGTAGTCACACGAAGCCCTTTGACTCACCTTTGAAACCATTGGACGCAGCCTGTCCACCTCGTCACTTTACTTCCTTCTCACACAACTGGTCCTTGATCAACATTCGAGCCTACTGACCGAGTACACTCATTCCCTCTACGTCCGCCGTCATGGCTAAATCACTTCTCCAATCCACCTTAGGATTTGTGTCCAGTATATTCTCCTTTGGCTCGTCCTCTGAGCAATCCTCCAATGTCTCGACAAGCAACGTGAAACCAAGTTTCCAGCCCAGAAAGAGGAAGGCAGTCGATCACAGTGATGATGATGATGATGATGCAGATGACTATACACCAAGTTCCAAAAGGCGCAGGCTATACAAGGGTCGACCAGACTTCATTCCTTACTCTAGTGAGGATGATCCTGTTCATTTCTCACCAAGCACATTCCCGAGACAGTCAGCAACAGCCTTAGCCAAAGCGGAGAGAGATCGGGCTATGATGCCTCCTCCCGCAACGCCGGTGCAGGTGCCAAGTGACACAGATCCCAGTTATCAGCCAAGAGACGACGATGCAATATCCTTCCTAACGACCGGGATGACTCGGCGAAGGCCAGAAGATTTGGATGAGGAACAGATGGAAGCCGCAAGGCGTCATGCTGCGTCCATACAACTTCCTGCCGAATCCGGCAAATGGTCCGAGGCAGAGCAAGAACTTTTCTTTCGTCTCGCTAAACGAGGTTTTCAGCCCTTGTTGCCTCAGAACTGGATGATAGACTTTGATACTCTCCCGCTGAGTATCTTTGCACACGAAGATTCGATAGACCCTCCTCTGATCCAGAATATGAGAGACAATCACTTCAGAGCTGCACATGCACTTCGCAGACTCCTTGAAGCCGGTCATGACGTTCGTGACAGAACCCATGTGAGCCCCGGTGTTCGAAGGGAGAGAATTCTGCAGAGCATAGTGAAGAGATATCTGCACTGGGCTTTAACAGATGTCGGGCTACGACCAAACTCTCTAACAAGGTTTCTTCCGACCCATGTGATTGTGACACATCGCAAAGGCCACTCCACCTTCCAGACACTCGAGGAACTGGCCCATAAACTGCATAAACTTGCCGATCGGCATCGAAAGGCGGCAAAGGTTCATCCAACTATTGAGCCTCACGAATCTCAACTCATCCCATGCGATCCCATTGACGCAGTTCAGGACAGCTCTGATATCCCCACCCTATTTGGACTAGTCTTTATCTCATCAGTCCTCGCAATCATGACTCTCAGTCCCTTCACTGCCGATAAGTCAATTACGCACAACCAAACGGGCTCACAACCTATCTCACAACCGGTATCCAATGATTACCTTAGGACGATTATCGATCTAGATTTCAGCCAGAAAGACCAAGATGTGTGGAATTCACTAGGTGTTGCCATCGTCGCCATGCAGATCCGAGATGAAGCCCTAAAGGCAAACACTCCTGAAATGACGGATGATGCTTGGGACGGTGCTTCCATCCTTACATCGCGGTATGGCGAAGATGACATGGAGAGTCAGTTGGGAGATATTGTTGACCCTGACCTTTGACGGGGTTGAAATAATGCAAACGGGTATATTGTATTCTGATGAGAATGAATGAAATTGTGAGAACTGGACATCAAGTAAGGTGTCAGAAGTTTCATCTTTATGGTTCTTGAAAAAATGCAATGCATCGAAGCTCATGGCGAGCGCGAATGGCTGGTCTCCTTGTCTTTAGAGTTTAGATACCCGTGGGACGAATTGATTCTCTCACGTTCTTTGTCATCGAATCCATGTGTTAGTCCCAGGTTGATGACCAGCAAATGCATGCACATATAAAATAGTTTACTGGATCAAGAAAAGGGTGTATATCCGTCCAAGGACTTCATGGCCAATATCAAGCGAGGCTGAGTCTAACCCGAAGCGGATGACACGTGGAAAACAACGAAGAAATGCCGAACAACCACTTCCTCGCCGCATACAGCGATTGGGCCGTGGGAACTACCAGATTGTTGAGCATCCCAGAGCCTGCTGAGCTTTATTTGCTGCCAATCCGAATTCATTGCAGACATTGACGGAGATGGATGGACACAAGTCGCCCACGCCGCGCGTTTCAACTGTTTAATGCCTGCAGTCTTTTCACAACATCCATTAGGACCACAGTGATTGAAAGCCATCCCTCATCCTAATTGCTACCAAGCCTATAGGAAAGTCTGCACTGGACATGGCGGCAAACTATTGGACCTCGACGCAACGAACATTTTGGACATTCACCCCGGAAAAGTTGGCGCAAATTCGGGACGACTTGGAGAAGGCCAACGCCAAAGTCTTTGAACAGTACCCATATCCGGATCGGAGACATGTTTTTATATTCATCCGCGATAGGCTGCTCCAACTGGCCAAACGGCTGCAGTTTCGACAGCAATGTGTCGCAACAGCTTTGGTCTACCTGCAGCGCTACTTCTTGTCTACGCCGATGCAGAACGTGAACTTATATTTACTGGTGGCGACGGCATTCTACCTCTCATCCAAAACAGAGGAGTCACCGCACCATATACGGCTGGTCGCCGCTGAAGCCCGGCAATCATGGCCCGAGTTCGTGCCCGGAGACGTTTCCAGGCTCGGCGAGATGGAGTTTTGTCTTATTAGCGACATGCGTTCTCAGCTGATCGTCTGGCACCCGTACCGGTCACTGATCGCACTCAAAGAGAATCAGGGCCTAAAACTCAGCAACGACGAGCTCGGACTGGCATGGTCTATCATCAACGACAGCTTCATGACCGACTTACCTCTGACCTGCCCTCCACACCTCACTGCCGTGATTGCGATGTTCCTTGCCGTTGTCTTCCTACCCACCGCAAGGGCGACCGGAACGCTCCGCCCATTACCCCACGACACACTAGCCAACCCCGACTCAGCACCATTCTCCTCCCTCGGCGGCCGCCAGAGCATGTCCGCATCGTTCAATAACGTCCTCGGAAGCCTGCAACTATCTGGCGGCCAACAACCCGGACGAGCATCCCAATCTCAAAACAACCCCAGTAACGTCAACGGCAAAGCGCCCGCCCGCATACCCCAACAATCACAAGACGCCTCTTCCAACGGCGGCACCGGCACCGCAACACAAAGCGATAAAGAGCAAGCTATCGCGCGCATCAAGGAGTCCGAGAAGATGCAGAGCCTGATCAAGTTCCTGGTCGAGTCCGGCGTCGACATCCAGCGCGTCATTGAGGGCACACAGGAGATGATCAGCTTATATGATACCTGGGAGCAGTATAGCGAGAAGGCTGTCAAGGAGGTCTTGGCTCGGTGTCTTAAGTCCAGAGGCTTGGATACTTGAGTGCTTGCGTTGAATGGGGCTGACAGAAGATTGAGGAAGGGTGTTTGGGAAACAAGATGGGGATCAGTGGGCTAGAGTTGGGCTATGGGTAATAAGGGATGACGAATTCCTATTCTGGCGAGGAGGGCATGTATATATAGGTGAACATTATGAATACAGCATGATGACGAATGGGATCTATTGACGCGGATTTTATAGCCTTCTCGCACTGCACCAAGAACGATCAAACCCCATTCGCCTCCAGACAGGCATTCCTTGCTGTTTGGTAGAATCAAAGGCATTGTTGGACAACGCGAGAGGTGCATGGCGGAACGGGAGGAGGGGGGATTACAGTATCACGGGGAGGATCATCACCTGTTCATCATATCTCAAGAGCAATACCACGGAGATGGTTCTGCATGCATGACTTCGTCCCGACCGATCGATCGATCGATCAACCAGCCGCAGCACTTTGCATACAGTGGTGAGGTCTGGCATCGGATTCGATTTTTTGTTCTATCAACTGCTATTCCTTTTCGCTCAATTAGCCTTAGCCCTTGTCATTGAGTTGCTATCTCCATCTGAAGTCGGAGATATGTAAGTGGGTAGGTAGGCAAGCTGCCTCTGTATTCTCCCTTGCGGAGAGTTCAGAACGCGCCTCTGCTTTTGCCAATCAGTCCACTCGATTGCGCCCAGACTACAGAAGTTGTGCGCCCGACAAGGATAGCTCGGACGAAATTGGCCAAGAACTCGCTTGGGGACAAAATTACTGTTGCTCAAGCTTTCTGAGGAGTGTCATTGAACACGAAGTGGTGTCGACTGGCTCATTCATCGAGTAGCCTTCTCATACATCAATCGTTCAGTTTCGTGCCAAGTCTTGTCTATCCCTCTTGGATTCAAGTGTTGCCTCAATGCCCGTGGCCGTCATCTTGTGGCTCCGGAGGATCGAGCTTGATCAGAGTGTCTATCCTCATGATGGAGATGCATGCCTCGACGGCACTCTTGAGCTGTTTGACTTTGCTCATGCTCGGTTCCAGGACACCCATCTTCACCACATCGACCACTTTCCCGCGCATCAGGTCTAAGCCATAGTTCTTGTACTGTCGTTTCTTGGCGAGGTCCTTCTCTTGCTCGTTTGCATCGCCATCTTGAACTCGTTGGCTGAGGGCATGTCGCACTCGCAATTGAGCCACGAGCTCGGAGGAGTCCTTGGCTGCGTTGACCGCGAGGGTTTTGGGGACGATGAGGAGTGACTGTGAAAATTCTCCGATAGCCAGTTGCTCACGCGAGGACACAGTCATTGCGAACTCCTCAAGATAGATGTGTAGAGCTGTTTCCACCGCACCACCGCCAGGGACAATGCTGCCAGATTCTAGAGTTCGTTTAACTGCGGATAATGAATCATGGACTGATCGCTCCATCTCGTCTAGTTGGTAGTCATTCGAGCCTCGAAGGATGATCGAGGCTGATGAAAAAGCCTTTGTTCCCTTCACCAAGATGCATTCATCGTCGGAGATTCTCTCCTGAACGACTTCTTCTGCATAGCCAAGAGACTCCTTTTCAAATTTCTCATCTCCGTTCAGGTCGGATAGTGTGCTGATCAAAGTTGCACCAGTCGCTTTTGCTATTCTTCGCAGATCCTCCTTCTTGCATCTTCGTACACCCATACACCCTCGCTCAACAAACATCTTCAGGACAAGATCATCAATGCCTTTGGTTGTGAGCACCACATTTGCACCGGATTTCAGAATCATGTCCACTCGTTCTAAAACGATGCCGGCTTCCCTCTCACGAATCTTTTCCAGCTGTTGAGGGTCTTCGACAGTGATCTGAACACCAAGCTTCATCCGTTCCTTTTGCAGATTCATGTCTAGACAAGCAATCTTTGCGTCTGTGATCCTAGTCTTCATAGCCTGAGATGCGACTGTACAATTCAGAGCATAGCCTTTTACCAGTATTGATTCAGTGGCGCTCTTGCCATGGGCTTTGAGGATGTTGACTGCCTTGACCGGGTATTTTATCTCGTTCCTCTGTGCATTGACCGACTTGACCGATTGCATAGCATCGACCACCATGTTTGAAAAAAACTCTGCATCGGAACCGATGATTTTACTCGACATGGATGTTTTGGCAATGTTGACCAGGCTGTCTCTTCCCAATGTCTCAACTTTCGTGCTGATGTTCTCTTGCATGTATTTGACGGCTTCCCTCAGTGCCAGTCGATACCCGGTTATGATCACTGTGGGATGTATTCGATTCTTCGCCAACTCATTGGCTCTCCGTAGCAACTCCGCTGCAATGAGCACAACAGATGTGGTACCATCGCCGACTTCTTTGTCTTGTTGCTGCGCCAGATCGACAAGTATCTTTCCTGCGGGGTGTTCGACGTCGAGTAAGCTTAGGATTGTGGCACCATCATTGGTAACGGTAACATCTCCGATATCATCGACCATCATTTTGTCGAGTCCAGATGGACCGAAGGACGATTTAACGACATTGGCGATTGCTTGGGTTGCGAGGACGTTTTGGTCCCGAATGTCGGCACCACTGATCTTCTGACCACCCAGGAACAGAGTACCTCCACCCCGGGGAGTGTCAAATATTCCAGCCATTGTACAATACTTCACAGATGTTCAAGGACGGTGTTGAGATGGAGCAGGAATTTGGAACACAGAACCTTGCGGGCGGAGGCAAGGCAAGGCGCCGCGAATAAAATAAAATCTCGCCAAGCAAATGAGGGACAAGGCTAGGCGGCGCTCATTTCCAGACTGAAGATAACGCCGCCTTAGACAGCGGCACGTGACACCATAGTCACCTGACCGTCGCCCTCGTTCCCGGTTCAACGACACTTGACCAATGAGAGTCACCAGAACGCGGGACTAACAGATAATGGGCAGTGGGAAATCTATATCTCTTGACGTGAGATGTGGCCTTACAAGCAGTATGTCGACCCCAATTTGCCCTTCTTTTTACTGTCACGGCGAAATCCCTTAGTTTTAGGCCAGTGTTGGGAACTGAGAACTAGTAGAAGTTGCACGTTCGGGCTGATCTTGCAATTCTTTCAATGTCACTCGATCTCCATTGCATCAAAGTCGTACCGTCGGGCCCCAACAGTTGATCCATCCGACATGTCAGAGAAATCGGACTCCAGATGATCTTCCCTCCCCTCACTGGATACTGGGAGTTCCTGCTTCGAGTCCACATTCTGCAACGCAGGATACTGAGCTAGAAGAGCTGCAGGTAGCTGGAAACCTTGGAGTTGTGTATATGGAACGTCCAATCCACTGCTAGAGCTCTCGCCCATTCCACCCTGCTGTTTTTCTCGGGCTTCTTGCTCAAGGAGGGGTTTGATGCAGATACGACCTGCCTCAGAATGGAAGTGACGAAATAATGCATCTGCTCTAGCGAATCGACGTCCACACCCCCAGTGACCTCCAACTGCCAGCTCCCCTCGGCATACGAACTTCTTCTCGTCTGAATGAAGCCCTTCATGGCGTTTGCGGTCATGTTGGCGTGCAAACGCTTTACCGCAAACAGAACACACGAAAGGCCGCTCGTCCATATGCGCGCGTAAATGCGACCTCAAATTATATGCGCGTGTGAACTTCTTAGGACAAAGGTGGCACTGGAATGTTGCGGGATGTTTCTGACTTCGCGCACTACTCTCAGCAGCAAGGGAGGGGAGTCTAGATATCTCTCCTAAACCAAACACATCTGGATTGGAATATGAGCGCCCTCTCTTGTAGAGTGTCTTCGGCATAGGATCTTTCCGAGCTTCCAGAACGGGGCTCGCCTCGATGGAAATCAGAGGTGGATTGTAGTCTAGCATCGACTCATCCACAGTCGATGGTGAGGTGCTTGGTACGAAGTCGCTCCATTGCGCTTCTGAGTAACCAGCAGAATCTGAGCCCGCTGTGATACTGGCACTATCTCCGTCATCTCGAGAGTGACCAGGTAGCAAGGATTCCTTGGCACTAAACGCCGTTGCTGCAAAACGAGGCGATATGGCGCCTAGGAGAATTCTTTTACAGATTTCTGCATTGGATTTGTATTTAGCTGGCAGACGAAATGTTGGCGCGATCTGATCATATTCAGTTTTCGATTTGAATGGCCGGGAATCTCACTTACTTGTTGATAAGCATTTGACGCTTTGTTCATGGTAGCAATATCGTCTAACTGTTTGAAAAAGGCATTCGCTTGCGGGTCTATCCCAAGTAACACAAATTGCACACCAAGTCTTAAGTCACCAAATGGGAGTCGTGACGACTGGGCAACGACATTCGATAAAGCATTCATGAAGGAGATTGGGTCCTGTTCTGGCGCATGTTCTGTCAGGATGATCATATTGCATGGACGGAGCATCCCTTCGGGCAGAACACTGAAGTCACTGGCAATGTATTTTCGAATGTAGCGCCGTAGCTGCGCATCCAAGTCCCACGAAACTCCAGCGGGGCTGACATCCCCAAGAATCCTCGATGCCTTTGCACCTTCAGTAACACTAAAGCTAGTGCTCTCGGATTTGCAAAGTTGAATGTCCACATCATCACGATAGGTAATGACAACGTCAACGCAGTCTCTGACAATTTCAATTATGGACGTCCAAACGGAAGGAGAGGTGAGCGAGGCATCGTTGATGAGAATTGCTGTGTCGTAAGCCACCAACATGGCAAATGGGTCTTCACTTTGATTTGCAGTTCCAGCAGTTGCGCCTAGGAACCTGAATTTCATCGGGCTTGCGTCCAGGTCATCCGCACGGTCAGAGATTGATTTCCCGGCTATTGACGCAATTATATGGGCGATCGGCAGCACTGCTTCTCGATCTGAGAAATCAGGCTTGACATTCCACGAGTGATCAGCGTCATCTTTCAACCCCTTTGCCGAAATTATAGTAAATGGGCCTCTCTGGTGAAATTGCATAGTCACAGACTTAATATCGTATTGTTTAGCAAGCGTCTCGAATGGGCCCACCTGTAATCTAATTCTCGGATCTTCCAAGATGAGTGCGCGGATTATACCGCTCGGCAAATCGAGCGATGGGTGAATTTCCATGGATGACTTGAAGTACTCAGTAGAGGCTTCCTCTGGATCTTCTAGAATCATGCAGCCACAAATTGGACGATGGACGTCGACACTGAGGCCCTCTTTGACGAGTGTCAGGGCAGTTTGCTTTGTGATAATAACACCCAGCCCTTCGCTGACGAAGAATAACGGTCGAGCTGGGTCACTCAGCCTCGCCCTATTGAGTCCCCGGACAAGATTGTTCGCCGCTCTGGTGAAAAATTCGATAAAATCGTACTGTGCAACCGAAGAGACTGACCAACCAAGACGGCGTGGAGGCGCGTCGTAGTCGTAGGTCAACATCCTGGCATAAATGCTATTTTCTTCAAGTATCTCCGGCAGTGATCTCTCGAGCCACTCTAAATGAGGTGCACTTATTCCATCTTGTGTAAACCTCATTAAGGGGCTCAGGTGAGCGAATCCAGTAACAATGACAATGTCCAGATCAGGCTTTCCGGTGAGGAAGTTGGAATTGTGTGCTACAGTCGTGAGTTTAGAGAGTCCTGCCGTAGGAGCCACCACGTGTTGGCTTTCACTAGGTTCCTTGCACTGGAGATCATCTAAAGGAGCAGGTGATCCTAAAGCCGGCTCAAGACTAACAAGATTGTCAATGATGTCTTTCACCTCCTCCAGGAACTCTTCATCTGGAGCAGTGAGTTGGTCGTGAAGCTCATTAAGGAGACTCATGGTCAGTTCTCGGAGTGAAGAAGAAGAGATCAAGGCCTCGTCCAGAGTCCCATCGCAGACTCTCGCGTCATGGATCCAGAGCTGAAGACGGTCATATTCATTTGAAACCCTAGTCTCTGATCTTAGGCTGGTTGCGAGGCTCCTGAAGGCAGCCAGACACAAGTCGGTCTTCTCCTTAATTGTGGGAGCCATGTTGTGGGAAGATGCCGACCGCGAGGGCCTCACGGTGCAGCAAGCTGTGCATTGGTTTCCTGAATTCAGAGGTTGATTCGGTCGTTCAGGTTGAGGTGTATCGAGTCCGATTATCCGATCAGGGCCTAGCCTTGTCCAGGATTCTCGAAATACCCCACCTGACATCTTGAGGCTAGGACCGGGTCGCGCCTCGCCGACCGACACTTCAACCCCTCCTCCATCAACATCGATTGTCCCACCATTGTCCTATTAAATAAAGGGGGCCTGGGTGCTGCTGTCTCTCAAGCGACTACTATATAATCATCTTACGCCTCGTCAAAGCTAGACTTGGTCATCCTGCGCGTCCACCAGTATGCCTTCGGGGCTGGAAGAAGCGGGGCTTGTCATGGCGGCGTTTCCCTTGCTCATCAGCCTGGTTGACGAGTACCGCCAAGGACTGGGTACGTTGATGGGAGCTGCATAATTAACGCTCCTGCAATCTGACCGCTCTAGATCTAATCAAAAGATGGATGAGATATAAGAAAACCCTCCGAAGCTTACGCCGCGTGTTTGCTGCGGAAAAGCAGGTATTCGAGAATGCATGCTACAAGCTCATCGAAGCTGTCTTCAATGACGATGGCCACACAGCTAGACGACTCCTAAGCGATGGCCTTGGAAGTGCCTGGAAGGATAGCAACATCGACAGGAAGCTCCAGCAAGCCCTTGGCCCAGAGAATTGGGCAGTATTCGGGGGCATCATGTCTGAGATCCAGAGCATGCTTAGTAAGCTGCTTGCCGAGCTTCAGCGACATATTTCGATCAATGTTGGTTCAATGTCTTCCCAACAAGGTCTATCTACTGACACAGGTAGAAATCTTCGAGGTTACACGCTGAAGTACAGGCTCTATCAGCGAGGTTCCATTTGGTGTTTGGTAATAAGGAGGCTTCCCTCGAAGAGCTCCATAGACTGATTGATGTCTTCCAAAATCTCACCAAGGGCGTAAAAATGCGCCAGAGAGAAGTCTTGAAGGTCGGCGCCGCTGATGAGTTCCGGAAATTCCGCCAGAAAGCCTGCGAACTCTGCGAGGTGATCAACCAGAGTTTCAGATGTGGCTGCTCGACGCAACACGTCGTGAATTTACGTCTTGGGACACCAGATGGCACACCAATCTCGACTGAGGCAGGTGCACTTGAGACATTTGATGTGGAATTTCAATCTGGGTTGAACTGGACAGCGACCTCTGTCAAGCGAAGACCACTAAAACACTCCGCCCCCGGCGGCTGCCGTCATATCAACAACCTTTGTGTATATTTGCGACAACCCCAAACACTCGGGGCTGCGGGGTGCCTTGGATATATCGGGGTTGAAGATCCACTAGCAAGTGGCGAGAGCTGCTATTGTATCCAGCCAGGATCGTTATCGAAGGAACGGCCCCGAGTGGTAAGTCTGTACCAGGTCCTATCATCACAGCGGCGACATAGCAGGTTCCCCTTCTACGAAAGAGACCGTCTGAAATTGGCGATTATCTTAACAACATCATTAATGCGGCTTCACTCGACGCCTTGGCTACAAGACATGTGGACAACGAGCGATATCCTTTTTCGCCCTCTCAATGATGACCTGGACGAAGAGGCTGTGCTTCAGCCTTACGTGGCTCAGACATTTCCCAGCACCGCAGGGGCAACGAGGTCCAAAGCACCCCCAATGGTTCGGAATGCGGCGTTGTACGCGTTGGGCAAGGTCTTGATCCAGTTGATTGAAAGTCGACCTCTAGCTGATGAAAATCATCTTAATCAGATTGCTAGTGGTGGGCTCGTGGATCCTGAACTGGAACTGGCGGCAGGGTTGGAGCCGACCATCTTTCGGAAGGCGGGAAAGACGTGGGCAGATGTTGTGCGGAGATGTCTTTACTGTGAATTCGATGTAGACACAACCTCTGCCCGACTTGACAATGACGAATTCCTCCTGCGTGTCCACGCTTTGGTGCTAAACCCGCTGGCAGACGCGTTAGAACGGATGGGAAAGGTCCTCTGATCTCTTCATTTTAAGGATACTAATATGCTCTGGATCCTTAAGGGAGAGGTGATGGCACAAATTCAAAGAAGGTAGATCTCGCCGCTGGAAATGTTTTCATTACAACGGCTGCCGATTCACAGGCTTCCTCTGGATGGTTGTACGATTGAAGTATCCCACGCTTTGACTGGGGTACTGGTCATAGAACTGTCCCGCAACTCCAGGTGACGGTGTTGTCACATAAGTCATCTCCTGGTCTTGGGCTTGATGGTTTGCAAATTGTCGGTCATCACCTGCCACCGATGTGGCTAGTTCAGGAATTTTGTAGGGCGCCTCCTCATTGATGAGACGCTGGCTGTCTTCCCGGATCATACCACCTGCCACATCCTGAAGACTACTTGGCGCAGCCATTTTGACAATCAAACTATACTGTCTACGTCCAGGCTCAATCCAACATTTAGCTTTTTTCACCTCGTCATCAACATTCTTCGCCCGTCCCTCTGGAATGCTTTGGTCTTGCCGTCCGTCGAAAATACCCTGCCGATGATACCTTTCAATCACATCAGGTATATTGCTGCCGCTCAATAAATTCGCCGCCCCGAACAGTCCGATTGGTTCTTCGGCAAGAATGCTCGGATGGCTCTGCAGGTAAAAGATGAGATAGGTCGTCGAGCAGAAGAGAATGACAAGAATGGCTACCATGGTAATTGCCACGGGTGGAACGACATGGAGACGATTCTGTGCGATTGCGATTGTTCCGGATACCTGGATGGGAGTTCCGAGCTCGGGATAAAAGTATGCTAGCGCTAGCATTGTATATATGGCTGGGTAAATGCGCTGAGTGGCATCAATAATGTTCTGGGCCGAGAAATTTTGGTCGAGGACCTTAATGGAACGCACAATCAACTCGGCAAGACGAAGAGGTGCGTTGGTGTTACCCGCACTAGTTGTAGCTGGATTGAATGTCCGGACAGTCATGACACCATCCTCGAATTGTTGAGCTGTTATGCCTAGGTCTTCCACCTCGTGCGCTGCTGGATGGAACCTCGGAGTTTCGGCGGCACGATCTGAGAAACTGTTTTCCGTGGTTACGACTGTGAGATTACCGGTGGCAGACCAGTACGTTGGAATGCACGAAACGAGGATCGGAGTTAAGAGATCTCCAGTCGAGGACAATGACCCATAAAAGAAAGTAACCCGCGACCTACCAGTTTCCTCAGAACAGTTGCTGGTCAGCCCCGCTTCAAGAAAGTCGTCGCTATCTGCATTCGCCGCGATGCTTCCTTCAATAGGACAGCCACGGTCCGTTGCAGAGAAGCCGAGTGTGAAGATGTTATCACTCTCATCAACAAGAGTAAAGGTTTTTGAAGAGGTGGGAACGCTTTCGCAGTCAACATTAAGCCGTGAAGCGTTCATAGGAGCAGATATTGTGAAGTTCCTATAAGGCTGCATCGGAGTAATGCGGGAGAAGGCATATTCACCATCTGTGCCACGCGGCAGTGGTGATTCATTGATCCATGAAGCGGCCACAGCATCCATGAGCGCCCCATAGTCGGCGTTGGCGAGAGCTGCGGCGGTGTCGAACACGGACAAGACATTGAGAAGCGACTCCCGAGGAAGAAGTTCTTCGTGAACGGCGAAGAGACGAGCCGTGAGTGGCACGAGGGCAAGCGCCTCGACGAACGAGAGAATAAGACAGAGGCTGAGGAAGTAGTGTTTGTTCTTCCACGCCTTCCACCAAGCCACAATTGAAAAAGACGTCCGATAATCTAGGTACACAGACTTTCCCGCCTCTACGGCCTTTCCCCTACCTGCGGCGGCAAGTTCGATGTATGGAGTCTCGAAAACAAGCGCCGTCCTGACCGAATCGCGGAATAGCTTGTACAGGCCGACAATAAAGACCGGAAGCGTAGTCCACAAGAGACCTTGGCCCCAGTCCAATGCGCCTTCAAAGCTTGAGAAGTTCACAGACCTTGCTTCGAAGCCGACCTCAACGAAGCCAGTGCGCCGTTGAGAAAGGACCAAAAGTGTGATGATACCAACGATGAGTGCCAGTTCGGTGGCTAGAAGAAGAGGAACACACCAAGGCTGTAACGTGATCGACCTCCACTTTTGGCGTCCATCGGGCAGAGCAGAATGCTTGTGGGTGCTCTTGTGAAACCCCATTGCAGGGCTGGTACTTGCTCAACAACCTAGGATACTGAAAGACGGTCAAGGAAGCACCGTGATGCGGTCACATTCGATGGCTTTGCAGGCCGGGACCTCGACGTAGGAATTCTTTTGGGAGACCCCAAGTTTAAATTTTGGGAGAGAAGATATCATCTCAAAGGCTGGGAACCCGAGAGTGCAATGCTCGCGATCATCAGCGCCTTCTCATAACTTGGCCTTTTTGGGGGCAATCGTAGGCTGTCACCGACCTCGTATTTTCTCTTGGACTCAAGAGGTGCCTTCAATCGGAAAGAAAAGGTTAGAATTTGGCCCGCCTGAACACGAATACACCCACCCCGCAAATTTTAGCACGAGCTGATTCTTCGCTGGAATTGGATGCCTAGGAGGCAAATAAGCTTGACACTCGAGAGGAGGCAATTCCTGATATCTTGGCCCTATACTCGAGGTACTACATGGTGCAGGCTGTCTTGTTGTGTTTTTCCTCCCTGTCCCCTACATTCCCTCTTAAGTTCTGCACCAGTCTGCTCTAATACATCTTCCTATCCGCTTTGGAGACTATATTATCACCGAGGCACAGGTCAGTCAACATGAAGCTGTACAATGCTATTCTCTTTCTTGCAGGCGTGAGCTATCCATGGTCTGCCATTTCCCAGTCCCTCGTACAAACCGAAATCAGCATCCCCCCAGAGTCATGCCTTGACCCGATCACGATGAGCAGCTGTGGTGCCTTCTACGACAAGCTTATAACGTGTGGTGAAGCGAGCAACACCGCCGCGGCCATCAGCTGTTGGTGCCCACAGACGGTCTTGGATGTTCTAGCCGGGTAAGTACACAATGGAAATTCTCAAATTGAAAGCTAAAGACAGCCTCAGGTGCCGACAAGAGTGGTGGAACTGTTGGCGTACAACAGCCGTGGACCAGCTCTTCCTCGGCACCGACGGCCTCTTCGCCGCCTGGTCGACAGTGTGTGCAGACGCTGATGCATTCGATGTGCTCAGCTACTCGCCGACCACGAAATCAATAACCACTCCACTCCTGGTCGACAATGCCTTCTGTGGCGATGTCGCAAGCAATTGCGACCAACTGACAGCTTCTACGAGTTCTTGTAGCCGCAGGTTCACAGCATCCGCGGGAGATAGTGACGTCTTCTCTAGCTGCATGTGTAATGAGGACATGTTGTATATGGCATCTCGCTGTGACATCGACGGGAGCATCAGCTGCCTGCTCAGGACACCAGCTTCGACAGATCTCTATTCGTACAGGACTTGTCGTAATTTCGAGGACTCAGCAACCACTGGCACAGGGGCTTCGTCAAGGACCACCGTAGCTTCGTCGGGGGGAATGACTGTAACCAGTACTTACAGTCCTGCTGCTCCGTCACCTACCACATCTGGAGGAGGAGGAGCGGCATCATCAGTGTCTAATAAGGGAGCGCCTGCAGTGCTGGTGTGGAAGGGGTTTGTTGAGACTGTGTGCATGCTTGCCGCGGTGGTGCTGATGATTTGAGCTTTTCTATCGGGTTATTCAAGTCTCTTATTCATCAAAAGATTGAGACGTTGCCCTACAGGAAGTTGAGGAAAAGCTGATCGAAGGGTCGCAAACGGACCGCATGAATTAGCCTGGGAGTATTGTCGAAAATCGGTTTGCTGTGCTGTTCTCTAAGATAGGAGAATCGATACGGCTGTGATTATGTATATGAGTCAAATTCACAAATTGACCTCGCAGGCGTTTCCCAGACGAAGCTGTTGCCAATTGAGATGTTTGAATTCTCACCCCAGGGATTGCGTATTAAATCTGCGGGGTTTTCTATATCGCTGCATGAATGATAACTAGGTTGAGAGTGTTAATATCAGTAGCATTAGAACTAGCATTAGCAGCATTATTATAACAAGTAGGAATAACAACCACTTCCAGAGATTTGTCCGCATTCAACCGTCACAACCAGGTATTGTATAGCCCGGCTTCCTGTGCAACGGGAGCCAGTACTTCTGCCTGAAATGCACATACCCAATTGGCAATCACGAATGTTAGTAGCGACCGGCATTTGTTGTTGCCTTGACCAATAGCATTTGTCCCTGATCGTGGACCACAAACTAACAAGACTACCTCGCTGCAACATTTTGCCCTCCTCTTGTCAACCTTGTTTGCTCTACTTGCTTAGGAACGCGACTCCTGCATCGGGTTCGTAGCAATCAGTGCCGTCATTCCAACAGTTGAGCGCCTCGTCTACCCCAATCTCGTAGGCGGTAGCACACGTGTACCACCAAAGCTCAACCAGGGCAGAGCTCTCTTTATCGAGGTCGCCACAGAGGATGCACTCTGTGGCTGCATACAGCCCGCTCTCGTCGCCCAGGACATCACTGCCACATACACACTCGATCGGAGTCTCATCTTTAAAGGTGCCATCTCCATAGACGGGGGCATCAGTAACGTTGAAGCAGTATGAGAGAGAGACGGTGATATCCCCGCAAGGATAGGCCAGTGGGCAAGGGATCTCAGTGTCAGACTGAGGTGTCGGACTGCCAATCACTAGACCGCAGAGGCCGAGCATAGACATAGTTGTGGCAGAGTGCATGCTAATCATGGTCAACATCAGACGCTGTCCGATCTGTAAGGATTCATACTTGAAAAAGATCGAAAGGCAGATGGTCTTCCTGTTGTAAGGCTGGGGTATAAAACTGATTGGGTGCAGAGAACTCCAAGTATTGGCAGTAGAAAAGCCAGAAATATTGATTGATCATGGAATCCTAGCTTTATAGGCCGTCAAATGCCGGGCCACACCCATCCTGCTCTCGGTTGCTCTCGCTAGTCAACGGTCGGATGATATATTCGTATTACGCTCATCACCACGCTTTCTGAGAGAGCTGTGCCGCATCACTCTGCGTGAGGCTGAAGAGCTCCAGGCAAATCCTACAGAAGTTCGTTCTATCCCTCTGTATCTCGCTGATACGAGATTTAGCCCCATCATTGCAGGCTCAGTGAGTATCATTTACCCCGACCGACGTTTTGCAAGTTCGTGGGCTGAAGTTTCTGTAGACCCGAGGTTCCTGGGTGGAGGGAATTGATAGCCTTCGCCGATGCATTCGGTCAGGCTGGAAGCTGGTTGCCAAGATAAAGGTGCATGAGAAGCTGAATATAAAAGCCAGAGCAAGTCGCTTCGTATTGCTCACTAAACCATGACCAGTGCAGATCTTGGCACACGAGTCTTGCCCCGCCAACAAGGTCAAACGGGTGGTCTTCATACATGCTAGAACGACTCGCAAACGACAACGTCTGCGCACAGGAGGACCCATCTCTTGTCACATGAGGTCGACAAGGCTGAATCATATATGCCAGGTGCCCATTGCAACACCTACACAACATGTGGACCGACTCTTTTGTTTCGAGGTCCTAGGCGAAGTGCAACGATACAAGAGGCTACCCTTCCAAGCCGAAAGGTTCAGCTTCATGTCCGGGCGGAAGACCTACCAAGTCATGTCCGCCCCTTCCGAGAAGCTGCATCTATCTAACATGTCGGTGTTTGCCAAGGGTTGGCACTTACAGGCATTGACTCCATTGGCTTCTCTTTTCGGCATAACACGAGCAACAATGCCATTGACAACCATCCATTTTTAGCAGGATTGGCATTATTTTCAAGCCAAGCAGTGAGGCTGAATCCCAACCGAGGAGGAACGAATGCTTGACATTTGAGGAAGGGGAGGTCATCGGCGTTTAAAGGGAAGTCATCTTGGCATCGCGCCAAGGCCTGGCAGTAAAAGCAGCAGGATTTATCCTCCACATTGGAGTCTCGATAGAATGGCGGGGCACCAAATCCCATGAATAGTTGCTGGCCAAAATCGACTCCCAAACAGTCACGCACACAATACGTAGCCGCCCTTGGATTTCCACTCGTGGACGAGTTGGCAGAGTAAGCTGGCCTTTTCTACCGATTTCATGACTTATTGATCTCCTTGATTGACTTTCTCCTCCCCCCAGCAATCATGTCTCACTCACGAAACCCCTCCAAGACCGAATTGCCCTCAAGGGAGAAGGAAGAGACCCCCGAGTCTTCTTCCGCACCTGCAAAGAAAGACAAGAAGGACAAAAAGACCAAGCCAGAGAAGCCAGTGGGAAAACCAGAGGCGAAGATGCCACAAAACAAGGCGGGTGGCAAGAAGAAGAAGATGGATGGCGCAGCCTTGATTGGCATCGATGTGTCTAAGGACGTGGATTTCTCAGAATGGTACCAACAGGTCTTGCTAAAGGGTGACATGTTGGACTACTACGATATCTCCGGTTGCTACATCCTCAAGCCCGCCTCACAGTTCGTCTGGGATGAAGTCCGTGCCTGGTTCGACTTGAGAATCAAGAGACTGGGAGTCAAAAACTGCTCTTTCCCGCTCTTCGTGTCGGAAGATGTGTTGAATCGAGAGAAAGCTCATATTGAAGGCTTCGCGGCTGAAGTGGCATGGGTCACTCATGGAGGGAGCACCAAGTTGGAGAAGAAGATTGCGATTCGCCCTACATCCGAAACAGTCATGTATCCATACTATGCGAAGTGGATTCAGAGTTACCGCGATTTGCCTCTCAAGCTCAACCAGTGGAATTCAGTTGTGCGATGGGAATTCAAGCATCCTCAACCATTTTTGCGTACCAGAGAGTTCCATTGGCAAGAGGGCCATACTGCACATATGACAGAGGGAGAAGCTGGCAAGGAAGTCTTGGAAATTCTTGACCTCTACGCTCAGATTTATGAAGAACTGCTGGCAGTTCCGGTCATCAAGGGGCGAAAGACTGAGAAGGAGAAGTTTGCGGGAGGTTACTACACTACAACAGTCGAAGGATACATCCCTGCCACGGGCCGTGGGATCCAAGGAGGTACCTCTCACTGTCTCGGTCAAAACTTCAGCAAGATGTTTGGCATTACGGTGCAAGATCCAAATGCACAGACGGAAGAGGAGAAAAAGGTGGGTCTGCACGTTTGGCAGAACTCTTGGGGTCTGTCCACTCGAGTGATCGGAGTGATGGTGATGATCCATGGAGATGATCGGGGTCTGGTGATGCCACCGCGGGTCGTTGAGATCCAAGTGGTCATTGTTCCAGTGGGAGTGACCGCTAAAATGGCGGAAGAGGACAAGGAAGCACTGTACAAGGAGATTGAAGGATTGAAGGAGGTGCTCAAGGCTGTCGATGTGCGTGTGGAGGCTGATTTCCGCGAGGGATACTCTCCAGGATGGAAATTCAACGACTGGGAGCTCAAGGGTGTTCCACTTCGACTTGAGTTTGGACCCGGTGAGAGCAAAGGCCATTTCGTCACTACGTCGCGACGAGACCTTCCCAAGGAAGAGAGCAAGAGCCAGATCGCCATCAGTGAGCTCAACACGGCGGTTCCGGCATTGTTGGACACGATTCAGAAGGATCTCTATGATCGAGCGGATGCCAAGTACAAATCACACATCAAGCGCATCAATGACTGGGACGAGTTTGTGCCAGCACTGAATGCGAAGAATGTGTGTCTGCTCAAGCACTGTCTCACTGAAGCATGTGAGGACCAGATCAAAGAACAAAGTGCACGGACCGCGGAGGAGCAGAGCGGAGTTCCACAAGACGAAAGAGCACCCAGCATGGGGGCGAAGAGCTTGTGTATTCCATTCGACCAGCCCGACGGAATCGAGAAGGGAGTGACAGCTTGCGGGAACCCGAAATGCTCGAATAAGGCAGAGGCGTGGTGTTTGTTCGGCCGTTCGTACTAGAGACCACGGGAGAGAGAGAGTCTAGATCGTGGCGACAGAAAAAGCCACCCAAGCGCCTATCTGCAGGGAGAGATCACCATGCGAGCGTGATCATATGAGATCTGACGATGCCCTCGACATACAATCTCGCTACACCGTCCACCATTCGACCCAAAGGGTGATCACGAGGCCAAGTATCGGTCTGCTTTCATCGCTCGTTATCGTGGGTGGTATCTCTTGGTGTTGAGGCATCGGTAGGAACAGGACAAGATCGTCGCTCGGCTGTTTCATGTCGCCAATGACACGCACGAGAGATGGCGATGGCGTTGATTGACTATCTTTTGACGCCGCTTGGCTGTGTTACAGATGATGCCCTGTTTACTCCGTACTTGGTCGGGTGCCCCTCGCTGGCGATAAGCCTTGAATATCGCCTCGTCTATTTGTTGGATGCTCAGTATCCGTATCTGCACCACCAACTTGTATCTTGCATATCCGAGTCGAGTGGTTTGATACGGATTATTCCCTTTGCCTTTCCCTTTCCCCTCTCACCGTCTCAGCCCAGCCACTCTCTCGCTCGGGGTGTGCCTGTCATCTTTAGACTCCTGGTATCCGTCCCTCTCGCCGTTAGCCTGACTTAATGATTAGTGCTGAATAAAAAGCCCATGGCGTCCCCCGTAACCCTGCTCTCTCTCGCTTCTTGGCCAGTCCGACCGAAGAAATGATAAACGTGCTCACCGAGGCCCCGTCATCATCCATACAAATCCACCCCTCTTCCGTCTTTAAACCTCACATTATTCCACTTCCCTTCTAACTATTTGGTACTCTTTGATGAGATAGATTCCTCTTTGCCCCTTCTGGGTCTTTGTTCTACCCTTTCTGCCCGACTACCCTTCTAGCCCTCCTCTTGTTCGATTCTTTTCCTCCCTTTGTCGGCTGGGACCCGCCTACGTAATTTCTCCTCCCCGTCCCTCCCATCCCTCGTACCCGTGCCCGTACCTTTTTGTCGAATGTGACGTTTTCTCTCCTTCAAGTTGGAACCGATGCCAGTTTGGGTTGCGCTGGATTGATGACCACCCAGCCGGGGCGTATTTTTTTCTTCTTCGCAAAGCCATGGGCCGGCACCATGGCTTGAAATTTCCTCAGCACCTTTACCTTTCGCCTCCCACGCCTCCTCCGCCGAATCCTTATTCTTTGGCTTCAGCTTCTTCCTTCCTTTCGGTCAAGTCGGCTGTCTACTATTCTTCCCCCGCGGCCTTATTCCAAGAGACAAGTAGAAACACTGCCATCGCTGTCAGTGATCGAATACCAGGCCTCAAGACTTCTGCTGGTGAGCACGCGAGCGAACTCAAATTTCCCTGTCTTTACATCTCTCTACAAAGCAGTAAACTAATTACCAACCACCCGCTCCTAAACAGCATTTTTGACCACCCTCCGAGCAAACCTCGTTCTTGAATCCGACTCTGCCTCCCCGTCCTTGGCCAACACCCCAGATTGTCTACGACCCATCAACATGGCTTCTTCAACAGGCTCCTTACCTGCTCCTTTACCCTCGCCCCTCGCCCAAAGCGCCTCCTTCGCAGACGATCGAGAAGAAAATACGGCGGCGGACCTCGACCCCGCACTTTCCCACCGTCTCGACTCTGTTCCTCCACTGACCACCACGCCTGCAGTGACTGAGGATGACAAGGTAGAAGCTTTGCACCTCCTGGCCGATTCGGTTGCCCAACAACGCCAAATCGCCTCGACCGCCACGATTTTCCATCCCTCGACCCTGTCCCTAATGATCCTCGCTCTCGGCCTGGTCTACCAGTACTTCTACCACGGATCTCGATCCGACCTCGCCCTCGTGGGCACGACTAGCGCAGGCATTGTCATGTCCGTGCTCATCACCGTGCGGTGGTTGACGAGCCCCTACATTGAAGAGGCGGAACGAGTCGGGACCTGGAGATGGCTGGACTTGGGCCGGAACGATGCCAACACCAGCAGCAGCATCGTCGGCTCCGAGGATGAGATCCTGCTGACCCGCTTCGGCGACGAAGTCATCGGCACGATCTTCATTCGCGGCGTCCGTGACGACTGCGGCGGCTCTTCATCCTCCCCAACGAACACATCTTCCGCAAACAGCTCGCCGAAGAAGACACGAGCCAAAAACCTCCCCGTCACAGCCCTCATCCGCGGCTGGACCGTCAAGCGACGGTATAGACACAAGGGCATCGGGACCGGTCTGTTGGAAGAAGCCGTCGCCCTGGCACAGAGCAAGGGCTGGCATGGCCCGGAGTTTGCGGAGGACCATGCCAACAGTGCGAAACTCATGCCCATGACGTTCCTCAGCGGGTTCGTCAAGAGGGAGAAATTGGCCCGGCTGGCGTTGGAGAAGGTCAAGAGCGAGAAGGGCGTCACTAATGATGTCGGGAAGAATGGGCGGAGAGCAAAGAGATAGACTTCTCTTGGTTTGGTTTTCTTTTTTTTTTTTTGGTACATGTCAGCGTCTTGTGTGTCTGTCTGTCGCTCGTTTTGGAGACATTTTCTGGCATCCTTCTGTCCTTTTCCCTTTATTTTGTGGCTTGTTGTCGAATTGGCCCTATTTATAGATACCCCGGTTTCATATGGCCAGACGGGATGGGATGGGATGGGAATGTGTGGGATATCTGAAAGGACTCCAATTAATACTGGTTCCCAATCAATTTAGCAGGATTGGTGGAAAGCAGCGTACCACGACGACGATCTCTCTCCCAGCAACCACGGTGGCGACCACACTACTTGTCCCACCCTCACAGACACACAGACACGCACACGCCTAGCAGTTAGCACACATACAGTTACAAGGCCTCGGGGGCACACGGCAGGAACAGGATCCTCAGCAATACATACCAGCACTATACCCCCGCACGCACGCACTCGCTGAGACATGAGACATGAGACATGAGATACGTGTTCTACAAAGCGCAACCCTAATCTACCTAGCTACTCTACCATATCGCATAGATAACGTATACCAAACCTTATTGTTACTATTATGATAATAGTTATATCTTGGTCTTGAAGTGGGCGCGCCAGCGCCACCGACAGCCACACCGTGTCCTGCACGGCACAGACCTCTACGGTACTCGGGTAGTATAAGGACCACCTTTCCGACCTGGCTTTTCGGAATCGACCTCCACGGGACACGTATATGCATATAGTCAAGGTATGTGCATGCGCACGGCTCGGGATATACTCGCACTGCCGTGAGCAAACGCATTGTTGGTGCGCTTACGGCGCGGCAGAACTTGGGACGTGAGGCTGATGATGGCATATGACATCATTTCACAGCGATGGGATTACGCTGCAGGTAGGGGGTCCTATAATACAGGACAGGACAGGACAGGATAGGATAGCATTTAGGTACCTAGGTACTTTGGTACGTAAGTAGGCTGGCAATCTGTATGGATAAGGAAAGGAAGAAAGGAAGAAAGGAAGAAAGAAAGTGTGAACAAGCGCCACTTTAGCACATCTATCTATCTTTTCCTGATCGGCACTACTAGTGCTCTAGTATCTTCAGGACGAGTACGGAATCCATTCCATAGAACGCCCCCTAGTCTCTAAGATTTAGACTCTGACGGGCTCCGATATCATGCATACCGAAGCAGTTTCATGCTTGCCCTGTCCTGCCCTGTCCTGTCCGTAACGTATCACCAAGACAGCCAAGGGCATTTCCACATCCACGAAAAGCAAGCTATAGGCGCAAAGCATGGTGGAGGACGGACGCCCTTGCTGCTTTTTGCTCTTCCTCCCACCCCTATACATCTTTGGAGTGCGAGAAGAAGAGAATGCATGGCACTCCACTCTCCAGGCGCCTCGGCTCTGCTCGAATCCGTCCTGCTTGCCTGTTCTGCCATGCAAAGGAGCCTGGCACCGTGGTACGGGTATATCGCTGGAGGAGAACTCTTGCCTTGGCTTGCGTAGCGGTTTGAGATCGAGTTTGAAAACGGTCGGAGTGTTATTGGATCTCCTGCGTAGCGTCTGTGTTCTTGTACGTGGTGGGCGAATGTGGGCTATGGATGGTAAAACCGGTTGGTTTTAAGATGGAGAGAACGAAGCGCAGGGACTCCTCGACAGCGGTATTAGACGGCATCTTATGGAAGTAAGATATGTTGTCGCACGTTGTCGGGCTGTTTGTAGAGTCCACCCCTTTCAACTGAAAGATCAGCCGACGGATGCTGAGTCTCGAGCTGCTGTTGTCCTGCTGTGGTCGGTTCGCGCGATGGAGGAGATCTTGACCATGCATATGGAGACACAGAATCTCGCTTTAGCCTCTCACAACCCAGGAAGCTTCCTTCGAAAAAGTGGGCAGCCTTGTGCCTCTATACTGGGTAACCGCGTGAGGTGGAGATGCATAGAGATAAGCAGCCCAGCGGTAGTGGCTAGAGTGGAGTTCCATGCAAGGATCTGGCTCATGTCTATCCCAGCTCCGGCATTTCACCCAGACAGAGACGAGGCTCGGTCTCAGCATTGCCAGATATACCAACCGAAATCTTAGGGTTCTAAAGGAACGCAACTTTAGAGACCAATCCTACTTGTTTCTCTGCAACCAAGAATGGGAAACCCCAAGAAAAGGCAGAAGAATAAAACGTATGGCCTTGTTGTTACAAGAAATACTCGCCGACAGGTTTCTTCGCGGGCATACCGCGGGTACCCTGGGGAGCAGCTTCAAAAACACGATAACGACGACCAGGAGTGGCAAGGTTCCATAGCACGCCATTGCCTCCACCGGCACCGTCTCCGCCAACGGGTTCTCTCCGCCCTTGGTCACCGTTGGCCCTAACGGCACACCCACCATTGCTGCCATCCTCGGCGAGCTCCAGAATAGCAGCAACATTGCCACATCTGTAGCAGTAGTTGGGGGCCGACCACACGGTTACAATGGTCTTATCGAACATCTCTTTGTAGCCTTCCATCACAAGCTGGTGGGCACGGGCAATGAGGGATAAGTCGTTGTTGTGGTTGAAATGTCGGACGATATCGGCGCCAAAAAGGAAGCCGGCGCCTCGTGGGGAGAGACCCCAGCCTTCGATCTCGTCGGGGTCGGACCATAGCAGATCACACATGGCGCCTTCGTGGGGGACTTCTTGTTTCCGGTCGATGAGGCGGATCTTGTCGACGGTTTCGATTAAAGGGGATAGGCCGCCGTGGACACAGAGCACAGCACCGGTAGTGGTAGGAGGAGGAGTGAAAAGGGATCCTGAAGGCGGAGATGGTTGGGAGGGAAGACTCGATGGAGCATGTTGATCTAGGGGACTGGGGAGGTCGACATCGGGAGCAGGGGATATACGAGACTGGTTACTGGACATGAAAGATTGCTGAGAATTGAGGCTCAGCCCGGTAAACTGCCGACGCAGGGTCTTGGAGATGATGTCGCCGTTTGCGTTCAGAACCTCAGACTCCACTTCGTCGTCGTCCGGGGGCATAGTAGATTGGGTATTGAGGGATTCATTGAACTGAGAAGATGACGAGGTCGTCTGAGGCACCTCAGTGGTCGCGCCGAGAATCAGAGCACCAAGCGCAAGGTAATCAAAGACCTCACAGCAATAACGCCAGACATTGGCACTGCCATATTTGCGAATACACTCGTCATAAAACCCGTAGACGGTGGTGATCTGTCTGGACTCATGGTTTCCTCTGATCAGGGTGATCCGATCTGGATATCTGACCTTCAAACACAGCAATAAGAGGAACGACTCTAGCGAGTAAAAGCCACGGTCCACAAAATCTCCCATGAAGAGGTAGTTTGTGTCCGGCACGTCGCCGCCGACGCGAAATAGCTCCATTAGGTCGTGGAATTGGCCGTGGATATCGCCGCAGACGGTGACGGGGGCATCGACCGTGACGACATTGCCTTCCTCTATCAAGAGTTCACGTGCCTTGTAGCATAGTTCGCGCACTTGGGGTTCGGGAATCGGTCGACAGGCGCGTAGTTGCGCTATTGCTCTAGGGAGCGGGTCAGTAGACGAATTGCCGAAAGGGAATCTTGGGGCTGGCCTACTTGTCTAGGTCGCTCATCGCATAGTAGAGGGTATGTTTAGAGGCCTAGGGATTGTAGGGAAGCTGGGCCACGCAGGTAGTGGTTGGTGGTGGTGGTGCAGGTGGACGACAATGCGCACGTGTGGCGATTCAGAGGGATGGGGTTGAATCTGGCTCGGGAGATTATCGCAAGGAGTCTTGATTGACTGACACTGTGTCTGGTTACCATGTAGTACGGGCTGTATTGTTGCTAGGGTGTCCGTTGACTGTATCTGTGATCTCAAAAGCACTGGCAACTTGTAGGGAGTACAGACACTGCTACATACATAAGTGGATGCGGATGACGGAAAATGGGAATTGCAGGCGAAGACATGAGATGAGATTAGATTAGATCATGCCACTGTTGATTGGCCAGGAATCGATGGAGAGCTCCAAACATCTGTCCACCGATTTATGCATCTCGCATACTTTCGCCAACGTCAACGTGAAAGTCCAGTCTACTAGAGCTCCAGCATACACTTTCACTCTAACACCACCCTCCCTCCCACGCTTCCTCCCTTCCCACTACCTCAAACATGCCACCGCACCTGCACCCACGCTCAACAGCGACCTCGACGCTATTCGCCGGGACTCTTCTCGCCTCATTCGTAGTCGTCGGCATCCCACATCTCTTCCCATGTCCACAGCCACGAAGAAGCTACGCGGATGCTGAGCGCGCACAACAACCACCAAACTCAACGCGCTATGACAGATCAGATGGCAACGTAAGGGAGAGGAAAGGCTTGTCCCAGCGAAAAGCCATGTCCGAGGAAGCCGCACTCTTCGCCGAGCTGCAGCAAGAGGCGGAGGCTATGGACCGCGAATCCAGGGAGTGTCCCGTGCCGAAGCCGATGGGCTTTCTTAGGAAAGTTTTGGGGTTTGAGGAGAAAGAGAGCAGTAAGATGATAGATGAGCCTTCACAATCTGCAGCTCCAGCTCCTGCTCCGTCAATACCGTCCAGTGCTGTTGGGGATGAGCAAGGGAAGAGCTGATGCGAGGGGAGATGGATGAAAATAATTATACTAAATGGAACATGCTGTACGGTATGACAGGACGTCTACATATCGGACTGACCAGGCACGGCCCCTAGTTCGAGGTGCCACTATAATGGCCGAGGCTCGATCTCGCCGTCCTGGACACTCACCACCCCCTTCCGTGAAGAATGGGGTTTTGGAGGAGAAGGAGTTGAGATTCAGCTTCAAGCAACGCTCCATGGATGAAGATGCTGACATGAAACTACATGAATCGAAGGTCCCACGGATGCCTTCCACTCTTCCTGAAAGATCCTGACGATATAGGGAGAACGTTCACTCCAGCTTCAAACCAGTCAAAAGGACAATCAGAGAGGTTCAAAAAGACCATGGCACCAACAGCCAGTCTGAATTCCACTAAACGAGAAGAACTATCCGGTGTACAACCAACAACACCAATCATGGAGCAAAGATACCCAAGTAAACTGGTATCAATCATGAAAAGGTGCATGATGCCCAATCCCAATTGAACGAGATCATGACACGAATATACTCAATCAAGAAGATAAAAGATCTTGAAACCAATTCATCCCGAGTCCTGACATCCACTTCCAATAGCAATGTCTGATGAGCCATCATATCACTCACGTTCCTTCAATTTTGCACCCGTTTTCCAATCCACCTCCCCAACAACCTTGGTCATTCTTTCAAACACTGGCTTTTTGACATACCTCCAGAACCCTCCTGCTCTGATGCATGTCTCGCGGTGATCGTTCTCAAACTTCTCCAGGTCGTCCTTCACCAAGGTCCTCAGATTACCAACGATGTCACGACGACGGACTGACCTTGAATTGTTGTAGGGCGCACCAGGGGTACCACTCATCGAAGGATTCTTGCCAACATTTTTCTTGGCACTGCCACTGCCAGACTTGACATGCTCTCGATCAATGCCAAGCTTGGTCAACACTGCAGTTAACAGCGTCTCGGTCTCGTCGTCTTCGTCGTCTTCATCATTGTAACTGCTGTGGCTGAGCGCACTGAATCTTCTCTTCTTGTTCTCCGCGACTACTAGCGTTGCATTGCGCCTTTCGCGATCATTCTTCCGACGCAGCGCAATGCTGGCCATAAGCTGCTTCTTGTGCTCGTCAATGCTCGACATGAAGCCCATGTTTCTGTTGATCACCTCTTCGATAGTCTTGTTTTGGGCCAACGGGTGCTCAGTGGTCGGAGTGACTTTGCCATGAAGGACAGTGTTAACCAACTCAACATCCTCAGACTTGACGCTAATGGTGTGTTTGGCCTGATTCTTCGCCGCCTTGTTCTGTGACTTGGCTGCTTTGGCTGCTCTCTTGAGTACTCGCTTCTCGGCCTTGGTGGCTTTGCAAGGAGGAACCATAGAGTCGCTGGTCATGGTGTCGGTGGTGGTCTCATTGCCATCATTCTCATCATCGGCATCGGCATCGGCGTCCATATCACCGGCCTCGTCTGGAGCATATCGATGACGTGAAGGCTGAGGTGGTAGTCGATGGACATTGATCGCTAATTCTCCGAGACTGGCCCTGAGATTCGGCGGTGAATGGCCTTGTTCACTCTGACCGGCCGCCTTGTATTCGGCAACCAGCTCAGCAATCTGTGATTTTGTAGCCAATCCCCTCATCAGTAACCGGTTTTTCTGGGAGGCATGGGTAATGGAATGAATGCACTTACCTGGCGATGTCTGTTCTGATGGAGCTCATCTGCTTGAACGCAAGAAAAACAATTGTGACTTGTGCCAATGGCATGCATGGTCTGGTGATAACGATAGCAGGGAATTGAATGGATGCCGTAGCAAGTTTGTAGTGCTTTGGGGCTGTTCATCTTCGTGGCGCAGTCGAAGCAACCGTGCTCTGGGGGTAAGGAAGTGGAGATCAGCAACGTGTCTCAACAAGAAGATATCGAAATATGAAGAGGCAAGGAGAAATGGACTGCGTTGGGATGTTCGGATGTTGACTTTACCTAATCCTGACGCGGCTTCCCATTTGAAAGGCGCGTTGGGAGCTGCTGGATCCATGCTTCGGCTTTTCCTTGTGAGTGAGCGAATCTTCTCAAAACGAATCTGCAGGCACGTGTCGAAGCTCAAAAGCGGAGGGAAGTCGTTGTCAGCTGAGGACTGGGAGATGATCTAGGAAACGTTCAATGACAAGGTATGCCAGCGTATCGGACAGGAGAAGGTCCTGGATATTTACCAGACTGGCTTTGTGGTGAAGGTAGCACGCCTCGTGGTTACTTGGGTGAGAGTGGTGAAGAGATGATATTCACGGTCTGGCCGCATTGGAAGTCGATAACGTGACGAAGATCAACGTGACTGCACGCGTTTTGAGATGGCGGGCACCTGATATCTACTGGTGATGAACGAAGTGAACCGAGAGAACTACACCAGACCTTCGAATCATAATATTCTGGGGAGGAGCAGGATGTGAAAAGATAACGGGCCTTGCCACCACACAAGGAGAGACCAACATACAAAGAAACCTTTGCCAGAGCCATGTATCCCAACTAATCAAGGCAGGAACATCAGCTACCAGACATGTAGGTGGAGCAGTATGGAAGAGTCAAGGCCGCAACGGCTCCGACGGCAGCAGAATTGCAAGAAATCGTCGGTCGAATGTGGCATCCCGAGAGCGAAGTTCAGTGGCGAAGACCAAGTTCGAACTTCAAGACATACTATCAGCATCAGACCAATCAATGAGAAGGGCAGGTTCGATGGAACAGGAGAGATTTGGGTCTTTGTTAACATGCATGAGTGAGGAGACGAGCTGCACCGGTCCAGAAGAGTTTCACCATCATGGCTTTGTATTCAAGGTAGCAGATACCAAAGTAAATGAGTGTTCCGTTCTGTTCTGCATTCAAATCTCAGATAGGGAGTGGAGATCAACTTTTGAATTCATCCTTCAGTCGGGTTCCCAATCGGCCGTCCAGCCCAGCCGGATGAGTCTGTTCGCTTGCTTCCATGTCTTGTTGGTGGGCTCAAGACACATACAACGTCCACTAGCCATGTATTGGGGGAATCAACGGGTAGGAGAACTCGGAAAATGCAGTACCACGAGTGCACAAGACAACAAAGAAAAGTCCATCAAAAGGGTCTCCCCCCCCCCGCCCCCCAAGACCGCAGTCAACTCCGCATTATATCGCCGGACATCGACGGCCTGTTGCATATTCAACCTTCAGAGCATCCCTGGTCGATCGATCCTAGACCAAGCAAGGCCAGGTAAGCTAGGCAGTGATCCGTTTCAGAGAATCAGGCTTGGGCATCTCTGACCAGCCTTGCCGTGCACCACACATACGGGTAGTTCCGCTGATACCAATTGACGAAGGACTTTCTGCCAGAGATCCTGGGAGCCGTGGCCCAAGACCCACCCAGACAAACATTATGTTTGCCGTCGAAAAAGTCTGCCGTGTAACCTGGATACAGGTCCATAGCTTTGAAGCCTTCATGTGCGGCCAGCGGGGTGCTGGTCCACTCCCACAGGCCGCCGGCGTCGCTTTGGCCGCGGAGGCGAGTGCTGCCTGTGACGGGCTCGGGATGCCATGTTGTGAAGGCAACGGCGTGGGAGTGGAGGGGAACGAACAGGTCGTTCGGGTTAAGTGTCGATGCCCTGCCGTTGACGGCAGTGGCTGGAGACAAAGGGTTAGGTGGTGGTGTCTCCTCGACGCCATTGTTAGAGAGGTGTCTGTACGCAATGTTAGTTCTCTTCCTCAAGAAAGGGATCTGTCGCGAAGTCAGGCTACATACCCGTTCACAGCTGAGATCAATTTACTGGGGTTTTGTTCCAGGGCTCCCTTTGTGGAATCGACATAGCTGTAGATGCTGCGAGCCTCCTCCAGAGTAGGAATGCGGCCATTGGACCATCTCGCATACGCAGCTAATTCATCGTATGAGGCCATCACTGGCCAGTCGAGGGTGTACTTCAATGGAATGGGCCCATAGACAGTCCGGATGGCTTTGTCTTCAAGGTAGCTGGCAGATGCCACGGCGAGTGAGCCATTCGTGGCGCTGCTCGACCCATTGACGCCATTTGTATACAGTGTGGACTGATATCCGGAAATCCATGACGCAGGCACCGTATTCTTGTGAGTCGCCTCTAAGAAATGAGCATACTCACCATTGCTGATGGGTCGGCTTTGAGCCTCAAAGGCTTTCACGGAGACTGTGCGAGAAGGTTTCTCATTATCCCAACCAAAGAACCTGTCGGGACCATCATAATTCTCTGCATCGTCTAAGCCCAATTTAATGTTCTGCGCGGGAATCTGATGCCATTTATTCGCAACTCGGCGACCGCGTGCCTGATCGGCCAAAGCCTTGAAATCCGGTCGACCTGTGCCGGGGGGTGGCAGGATACGTTCACTCTGGATTAACATGTAGAGGAATGTTTCGAGATGCATTGCCTCGTGTTCATAAGCCAGCCACAGGCCACGGCCCAGCCTCCGATCCTCGATTGCACGACCAGAAACGAGACTTTCGGTGATTCGTGATCGCACACGGGCCGCGTAGCTCAAAATGTCTGGAAGTGGTGGCCAAGTGTCTGGGATCTCGCTATGATCATGGCACAATGTAGGATCATCCACATCTTCATGGATTGTGAGCTATGCGGTCACAAAAGGGATATATTCGACTAACCAGGGTCAATCCCACGCTCAAATATCGACCAGAAAGAAGCCGGATGGGTAGGTTTCCCATCTGTGGCCTTGGTGAAATGAATATCTGCCGCAGAATCAGCATTGTCGGGATGACTTTCCTGGACGAGGTTTGTTACCTGCAAAAGTTGGGATATGGCCCAGGTAGAAAATCAGGTCGTTTCGCAGTTTAATGGGTTTTTTCAGTAGTTCATCTGTTGGAATCATCGACTTCGTGACAATGTCCCACGCCGACCATAACTGTTGCCAGTCGCTCAAAGCCGGAACTGGACCAGACGCATATTCTTTGGGGTCAAGGGGGAACTCAACGACAGCTGGACAGAGCAGATGAATGACTGAACATGGTATTAACGATTTGACCAATTCTCCGTTCAGCTAATGGGGTTAACTCACAATAGTCTCCCTCCTTGTTGCCATAAGCTGCCTGAGGTACGAGCCCGCTTGCACGCCACAATTCTTCGCACTGGGTGGAGCTATATTTAAAGGCATCTTCGAAGGGGACGCTTTCACCCTTCTTGAACGAAAAGTCCTTGTTGACGACATCAGTCAAAGCGACATATGAAGCGTGATGTCGAGCCAATTTCTGGTCATAGCGTCCCTCCGGCCGCCACTCGTCCCGCTTGAATGCTTCATAGCCAAGAAGAGAGTTGGCATGAGTCAGGCCGTTACGGTAAAACTTCTCAGTGACGGCTTGAGAGTCATTGTAAGCGTGATACACGCGTTGGGGCTGCTGGCATGAATCTAGTCCCACAAGGATCAAATCCGACGGATGCAAAACTTTTTTGAAACCGGCAAGAAATTTTGACGCGCTGTCTCGTTCAAAATTCCCCAGTGAGGATCCCATGGTCAGAAGGCAGGTTGTTTGACCCTTGCCATTGGATGCAGTCAGCCACTGGAGTGCATCATCGTATGTTCCATGTAGCGCATTGAAGGAGACGTAGTGATAATCATCAGTGTCCAACTCAGCGAATGTCCGCTCAAGTTCGGGAAGGGAGAGGTCAAGAGCGTAGTAATCGACTTCCTTTTTTGCCGCTTCGAATGCCCTCAACATTATGTTGACCTTTCGAAGGTTGCTGCAAATTTCATCAGCATTGGAATCTCGACTCATTGGAAACAAACTGCTCGGTCTTCATTTAACCTACCCGCTCCCAAGTTCCACCAATCGAGTACCACGAGGAATACGTTCGACAATCTCATCTGCATGTGCTTCAAGAGCCTGAATTTCGGCATTTGTGAGATAATATTCGTCAAGGTATGTGATGTCCTCGAAGAGTTTGAGACCCTTTTCTGGTTACTGTTTAGCAATCATCCTCGACAGCAAGAGTCTCTATACCATCATATAGCAACAATGTCGGAAAGGTACGTGGAGACTTGTCAGTAGGATTCAAAGACTCTTTGAGCATCGCCAGGAGAGACAGGCTTGACTTGTCGCCACGAATATCGTGGAAACGCACCCCACGCGAATAATGGATCGCCATTCTGAAAGCACACTTGGATGAGAATTCGATTCAGCGCAATTGGAGCGACAAAGCGTAGAGCAAGGACGTCAATATATATATGATACACCTGATGATGTTGTCCGATGAGAACAAGGCAACGATGTCCGGGGAGTTAGAGGTTTAAGGTCCACTTTTGCAAGGAAGAAATACTGGACCAGTGGACCATGCACCACAGTAGGCAAACTTCATATTCCAATGACGAGAATGCATAAACTGCCGCTTGAAGGAGTGAGGTAAGTCTTGCGGTCATTTTCGGCTAGAGGAGGGACCTAAGAGAGACATCCTTGGGCAGTGAATCAATAAGATTCGTTTCTAGAACCCGTTTTCTGCATTGTCGAGATGCCTGCCGCTCAGAGGCGTTCCTGATCTTGGCTGTGGAGAAATCAATACCTGACGGTAGGCGGAGCTCGCCCGGAATTGACGTAGAGCCTGCGTAGGGGCAATAAAGCCACCATAATGCAAGATCTGTCAACATGTGAGGGCACAGACAGAGCAGCCGGATCGCTACGAGCGGAGGTAAAAGTTTACCGGCTTAGAAAGCACACGGCGCGCGTCAGGAACCGGAGAGTACGCGGGCAGAGTAGGTGGTTTAGTTTGCGGATCGCACAAACACAAAGCTACCCTCCGAGGTTTGGTGGACTTTCGAGGGTTGAGATCTACTCGGACCCCGTAGCCCGACAGAAGAGGTCCAACTGGTGGGGGTTGAAGCTGCTTACTACATATGATGACGACAAATCGTTCAGGGTGGCCCCACCGTGAAGTAATACGAGAAGGCCACCACCACCCTACCTCTTACACTATTAGAAATGGTGATGGATAGCACGAGCGGGATCAGCTATTCGCTGGTCTCAGCAAGGTTCAAGTTCTACGGGAAAGTAGTCCGCGAGCTCGTGCACGGAACAAATCCAAAATTACTTAACCGAGCTAGGAGGGGATGACACGACGAAGCGAAGTGCAAGTCTTGACGTCGCCACGCAGATATTCGGCAGACTTGATAGGACTTGGAGCCCATGGCTTATGGGCTTTTGTCATGCTCGCAATTCCGAGTTGTGGAGTTAGGCACTATGACTTATGAATATTTCACAAACAGCAAGATTTATTCCGCATGGTGAGTGGTCAGCGCGTACTGATATTCTCGGCGCCACACATCTAGCCGAGAGCAGCCTTGTTTTAAACTCTGTTCTCCGGGGCACGTACAGTACATAAGCCAACTTGGTATGAGGATGAGAAGTACCTGTCTGAAGGTAGTCACTCGTTTCGGATATGCTGTTAAAATCTCCACGTGACCTTACTGGCAACAGACACGTGATTTTCAACAGTAGCGAGATCTCTGCCACTCACTGCCCCGCATGAGATGCAGTCCAGTTACAGTCAGATTGCATCCCCCCCAGGCGCTTACGACTATTCGTTGGGCAATGGAGATCTCTCACATCACGGAGCACTGGGTGCGTCGCAAAGGGCGGCGTTCTACCGTAGTAGTACTCGTAAGGAGGAGGGCACACTGAAAGTGTTTGTTTCGGCGAAGCCAAGCATTCCCGGAGCGGATTATCAGCATTGCCGAGATTCTCACCTCACCATTTTCAGCAGTGTGTTTACCGAGTAACCAAACCCAAAAATCCAACCACGTATTGCAATATATGTCGTACAACCCCTCAAGTCAACCACCTTGCAAACCCCAGGATCGCGTTTCCACGCGTATCTTTTCGTGTATATCCTCGATCGGCTTCTGTATTCATTCCACAGCAGCTCTTGCCATTGACGATGCTCATCAGCATTGCCTCTCAATCTCACGAGATCACATCCTTTACCCTCCTTTGAAGCACTGTGCAGTCAATCATCATGTCTAAGTCGGGCAACCTGGCTGCATTATCGGCCGTGCTGCACCCTGCAGATGTGCCCTCAATATACTATGCCGAAGACCCTCCCTACCTACCACGTATCCTGGTCTTTTACTCTCCAGTTCAGTCCGTTGGCTCACTGGCCTCGACCTCTCGAATCCGGACCACGATCCTCAGTGCTGCAGGCTTCAAGAGCTTTGGAGCATTTTCGGTTGCTCCTAACAGCAGCTACTATTCTGCAGTCCACAAATTACCCGAGGATAAACAGCGCGATGATGTCTCTCGAGGTATCGCTTTTGCCTTGTTCAGATACTTCTCCGAGATACCTACCGAAGTCAAGAATGCTCTTGCAGACGAGAATCAACATCATGGACTCACCCTGAAATGGGGCCAAGCACACGCCGCACAAGTCACTTGTCGTATGAGCAAGGTCATCAACATTGAAGAGGTTCTTGACGCCCTTCGCCCATTCTCCAAGGAACGTCCACCCAGTCCTGTCACACCGATCAAGCCATTGGCTTCAATTCGCAAGACAAGACCCTCTTTCCTCCCACCAGACGCAAACAATCATTCTAGTAGGACTCCATACTCCCAAACTCCTTCCCGTCGAACTCCAAGTGGCCAGTCTAGGAGAACACCCTCCATGTCGACACCAGCGAATCGAAAGATCAGCTCCGCTGCGGCACCCAAGCAGTCCCTAGAACAGCTAGAATCGATGCGTTTCAAAATGTGCGAGTTCGTGGACACAGAAGATAGATACATCATCAGACTGCAGGAATTAATTGACCTAGTTACCCACCAGGGTAGAACCCCAAAATCTCTAAGCACGAAATTCTCAACCTCTCGCAATCAAAAGGCCGTCAATGCAATGATTCATTTCCCCTCGCTGCTAGATCAGATCAAAGATCTGAATCTTGCTTTTCTAGACGACATCGAATCGGCTTTGCAGAATTCTGAAGAAGCTGCCTTGCGTTTTCTTGATGAGGGTCAAGATAATCCAGCACTCTATCAAAACGCGAAGGACCCGATGGGTGTCTATACCTTCGCAAAAGTTCTTCTGAACCACTTCCCTAAATTCCCCATACCCTACAGAGAATACCTCGACCTTCATTCTCAAATTTCCTCCAACCTAGACCAATATCTGAAAGAGGGTAATTATTCTATTCAACAAGCACCGTCTCTGCTTATGGAGCCAGCGCAGCGGATTTCCAGGTATGGTCTTTATATTGATACCATACTTCCCCACGTGCCGAGCAATTTCACTGTCGCTATACGGACTTTGGAAAAGGCTCGAAAAATCATCGCCGAGATCTGTGAAATGGAGCCTGCGGCGTCAACCATTCTTGATTCTTTGCGTATTGAGCATGAAGCACGCCGGGTGGGTCTTTCTCCAACAAAACTTCTTTCTGGTTTGACGCGGTCAAATGGTACCATCCGCCAGGCTCAAGCCCTGACGGGTAGCGTGCGTGAGAAAGACAGACCTCGATTCTTCCCTAGCCTGGGTCGGAGCCTGAGTCGAAGGCAGAAGAATTCTAGACCTGGCTTAGCTGGTATCTTATCAGAGCAGGACCCCGACCAAGCCAACAGTATAAGCGGCAGCGTTACCCTTGGACGCTCACGCAATGATGAGAACAGGCCACTGACATCAAGTTCAGGACTTTCTTTCAGCTCGAGCTCCAAAAGACCACCAACATCAGGTTCAATTGTTAGCAACCGCTCTGTGCCAAGTCCTGGCCCGAATTATCCCGTGATGGGTGGAAGTAGGCCGGACTCAAATCTTCACACCCGTTCTCGTTCTGCTCACGTCCCGACTGGGCCATCCCTTGAACAGTGTAAGGCAGCATTGATGCAGGTTGAAGAGGAGAATTACAAACTGCTTGAGGAAAACGCGGAATTGAAAAGACAAATCCGAGAATGTAAATGCGGCGGTGCTGTGAGGAGATGAGCACAGCGTGATAAGAGATGGGCTGGACACCCAGATTTTACGACTAATGACCGCATCGTACCGACTTGAGGTCGTTTAGAGCTTCGATTCTTGGAAAATTGTATTGTTATTATGCGATAACCTTCATTGAGCTACGATATGTGACTTACTGCTGAGCAACAAGATCCGTTGAAGTTCTACGGATGCCTTGTGACTAGCGACCGCAGATAGCCTATCCTGCGTTCATCAAAAGATGAATAGCTCCCGCGCGCTCTTGTGGGAGAATTGTATGACAGCGAAAGCCTTACACCAGGATTTTACTACAAACGCAGGTCTTGATCTGTAGGAGATATGGTAACTAGCACATTCTAAGGGTAGTTTTGATGTGGCTTTATTGCTTTTCAGGCATTCTTAACTATCTCGAGATGTGTCTGGGAGGTTTGATAAGTGCTGCCTACGTAGGCAAGGCTGTAGCGGGGTAACTCTTCGGCGGCCTTAATGCCGAAGACGCGTCGGCTTCCCAGCATGGAGCACTTGACGCGTGGTGTGGAACGCGCTTCAACTAGCGAAGAGCTTGCATTCATTACTACCCAAGCCACCAGTGAACGCCCACCCTCCCTGGACTGCCTTGAGCTTGGGCGTCACAACTATTTCTGATTCTGATTCTGATTCTGATCCTGATCCTGATCCTGTTCTCACTTTTCACTCCTCCTCCCACAGTGGCATACTGAACATCACTCTTCGAATCTTCTACTGGCCTGTTCCAAAATTGCCGCTTCCTCTCCACCGGAATCCACTATGGACCACACCCCAGAACGACCTACGAGACGGGAACATGTCAACTTCGCCTTAGCATCCGACGAAAACAGCAGTCCACTAAGAAGCCCAAGAAGGAGCGACCGCGTGAAGAAGAACCCATCAGTCACACCGAAACGTTTCAACAAGTTCTTCACACCTAGGCCTCGCAATGCACAGCGGCTCGCAAATGCGTCCAGAAGAATACTACAAGACCTATCTGCAGCGAGGCTGAACACTCGAGCGGGGGGGACTTCTCGACTGAATCTGGAAATCTCTGGTCAGAGCGAGGTGCCCAATAAGAAGCGGAAGCTTTCTTTCACCTCCATCGCCTCACTTCCTTCCTCGCCGATCAGAAAGCATCATGAACACGATGACGAAGGCGAAGGCCAAGTGGAGCGGCACGAGAAGAGAGATGGCTCCGAGGAGGCATGTGACACTGCTGATGAGGCAGACGAATTGAAATCACGCCTACCAACCACCTCTCGCCCCAGAATAACACCCTACCGATCGATCAGCACTACTGCCAGATATTTGTCTAGACAGCTAGGGGTCAAAGCACGCACAATGGAGGCCGATGATAGCACTCTATGGCAGCATGAGACCGCACATTTTTACAGCAACCCCGAAGATTCGTGCTACTACCACAACTCCGTGCAGCGCTTCTCATCACTACCTTTTTGTGTAGCAAGCTTCAAGCAGAGTCCACTTGTTGCAGTTGGAGATGAAGATGGCCATGTGCGTGTTCACATGACCTACGATAATCATCCTCATTACAATTACACCGAGATCATAAAATCCTGGCGTCCTCACAGCAATGCCGTCATGGACCTGGAACTCTCGGACGATGACAGGCTCATTGCTACCGCTTCCGGAGACCAGTCTACTCACATCTATGACCTCGGAGCGGGAAAATCAGTCTACTTTCTGCGTACGCACCAGGGCTCTGTGAAAAGGGTACAGTTCCAACCAGGATCTGGCAATCAAATACTGGCGACATGTTCCAGAGACGGCCATGTCTTTATATGGGATCGTCGAATTTCAGTCCTCGATGGACCAGGCCTCAGCTACAGACCCAAACATCGTCATTGGGGCTCATGGAGCGATGTAACCTTTGTCGATCCAGTGAACGAGATATTGCAGGCGCACACGTCGGCTGATAAATTAAAGCGTCCAAAGGGGAGACGACATCCAGGGACGCTGCCCAGCAGACACGACTACGCCGTAACTACGTGCGCTTTTCTTGGTGCAAGCCGGCCACATCTTCTCGCTACAGCCTCTGAGAATGATGCTATCATCAAGCTATGGGACGCGCGAGTTGTTTATCATGACCAGGATGGGAGACCCACTCCAGTCTCAGCGACATTGGAACCGGATAGCCACCAGAACCATCGGCAGTTTGGTGTAACTTCTATTGCCATGAGTACGGATGGCTCAAGACTGTACGCTGCTTGCCGTGATCATACCGTATACGCATATTCAACGCCACACCTGATATTGGGTAGTACGCCTGAATTGTCCACCTATTCCATTTCGTCTTCCAAATTTACTCGAACACCGAAGCCAGGACTTGGGCCTTTATACGGGTTCCGTCACTCGTCTCTCACCATAGCCTCGTTCTATGACAAACTAGCTGTTCGACCAGCCTCCTCTACGGACAACAATACCGAAATGATTGCTGTCGGCAGCGGCCAAGAATGTGCTGTCATCTTTCCCACCAATGAGCGATACTTGAACAACGGCACTCGACGGCCTCCCGTTGCTTCATGGCTGCGACTATCCCAGGAAGCAGCTGAGGATCTCCCCATCTACGAAAATGGCACTGCACTCGTAAATGGCCATAAGAAGGAAGTCACAGCTGTTGCATGGACTACAAACGGCAATCTTGTCACCGTTGCAGACGACCACACCAGCAGGTGCTGGCGACAGGACCCAGAGACAGCTCGAGCCCTGAGACTGAATACGGATCTAGAAGTGGAACGGCACAATAGTGGTTGGGCGCAGGTGAATCCTGGGTTTGATGATGACTGCTAGTGAGTCTCACTTTTGTGATCCTGAGAAGATCAAGGCCCATCCGAAGGATAGACTTACAGCGATACATTTTGCCAGCCATGGTCTTTGGCGAGTTCGAGGGAACCATGTCCTGCTTTTCCTGCGTTCTGCGATCCTTTACGAGCGACTGCACCGTTTAGCGTTGTTGTTGAGTGCATGCAGCCATCCATGAGATGATCAAAAGCGTGTCTACCTGTCTCGATATATTTGTTTCTTTTGGAAATTATGCCGCGAAGGAGCACTAGAAGTTCAGCCTGGTATGACTATCTCTGTGTTAGCCCCATAGAATAACACAACACATTGTCGCAGTGGCATGCATAGGCAGAACTCTTTGCCTATTTAAATCGTTCTACTTTCCGCTTCGAAGCAAACCTGAACCAAATGTGTCGATTCGGATTAAATTCCTAGCCTTGCGAACGACTTACACCATAATTGAAAACCATTTTCCTTCTTAGGTTCACTGTGTACTCTTTCCATCTTTCTTCTCACCATCCTCGGCCTTCTTAGCCTCAGCCTCGTGATCGGCTCTGACCTGGATCCTCGAAAGTAAGTAAAGATCATTCATTATTAGTCATCAAGTATCAAGCTCAACCCTTCGTTCCGGCAGTCTTAGTACCTCCACGACATCTACCGGGCCACACACATCCAGAACATTTCACCTCATCTACAGAAAGCGACCAGACCAGACAAGAAAGAGAACTCACATCAGCTTCACTCAAGGTCGCATTCTCCTCGGACCAGTGCCTGTTCCCCTTCTTATCCTCGAGTTTCTGCTGCGTGAGGGCGGATTCTGGATGTTTCTTAAGATCGGCGGCGCGCTCGGCGCGTGCGATCGCGGTCGGATACCCGCGGATAGCGCTGCATGTGTACTGGCGAGCTTGTGCTTGTGCTTGTGATGATTTCGTGGTCAGGAGTCGAGCTGGACGGAGCATCGCGCCCGCGACTGGTCGAAGCGGCATCGTTGCTGGAAATGCTGTGATGATTGTCGAGGGGGAAGAGCGAATGGAGGACTGGAGGGGAACAAACACTTAGCAGAATTGTGAGAGCTGGGTGTGTGGTTCGCCAAGTGTATTTTAAATGTTCGTCTATCGGGGACAAGGAAACGTTAAATATCTTAGTGATTGTTTGGACGCCCGATCTCGTTACTAAGTGGGCCTATCTAGCCTGCTAAGCCTGTGGCCAGGCTGTTTGTTATTCTTCTCTGCACGGACGTTGCGACAGCTGAAAGTGGTGTGATCAAATACTATGCGCAGTCTCCGGTCTTCCACCCATTTTGCAGCACGAGGCCTCTATCTCTTCGGAGGACGCCGCTGGCCCTACATCCAGGGCGAAGAACAGCTAATTAATAACGAAATACTCGTGACTACCCACTCGTGGTTAGACCCTTATCAGCTGGCTCTACAAGTGCGGCCCTGTTTAAAGCGGCCTTTGAATTTATAAAACTTCAGCTAGACTAGATGGGCATGGAAAAGCAGCGCGTCTTGCGCTTAATCGTAATTAGTGACGCCGAATCCCCTCTAGGAAAACTAGCGTGGAGATTGCTACTAGTCAAGCTAAACTTCTTCTTCTGCTCCGTCGACCGTCGTTATTCAACTTTTCATGAATCTGCGGAAAATAAAGGCTCGTTCGGTGATCATGCCCTTAGAAGCACTTGAGCACTTGGATAGACTTCGCAATGGCTCCACTGAGTTACTGACCTCGATAGTAGGTTGTGGCCCTCGTCTTTCCTAGATTCAGGTACGTTTACGTTACCTGGACCAACCTTGCGGGATCTTCTGGCCACAGGCAACGGAAAATGGTCTCTTTCAGATCTGTCATTCTTATATTCAATCGATTTTGCGCCTCTCCCTAGAGTTGCTCATTCAAACAAGAATCGATCTCGATATGCAGATCAATTCCTGGCCAAGAGCCATGATGACCATGATCTTCCTCGAGAAAGAATCCCCAGCCTTGATCGGGTTTCCCAAGAAATTGTTAAAAGTGATAGAAAATGACGTGCTCTAACCTGCGGAGACCACAGTTTACAACCAGGATATCTCCAGGTCTTACTTCACCAACGTGAAACTCAACCCATTCGACGGTTGACGGGAGTATCATGTCGACCTTGGCGAAATCCTTCCCAGATGGGTTACGGTTGTTGAGTACATTTTGAGTAAAGTTCAGCTGTACATCAGGGAACAAATTTGAACTGGGAAACGTCCGAGTACAGGGCTAACCTGTGGGAAATACGGAGAATCTAGATAATGATAAAAGTTGGGAACTCACACTAATAAAAATATTTAATAGAGATATAATCTCTCCCAGGTCCGGAGAGTCGAACGCGAACCGTATCTCATTCACCCCGCAATCAAGCCCATCTCCCTAATTCATCCTTGGGAGACGTATCCCTGCCAGATGTTATTGGCCATGGTCGTCAAAAAGAGTCTTACCTACATGCAGACCCCTCTATGCCGCCGTTAGTTCTATTGGCTGATTAAAGCGCCAGCGGTCGGCCGTTCGGCGCGGCATGAATGATTTCTGCCGAACTCAAGGCTTCGGCTCGGCAGCAGCAGACATGAACCGGCGCTATGGCAGCCTCATGTAAGGTTAACATCCGGAGCTCCACGTTTCCCCGCAACGTCTCGCGCATGGAGATTCTAGACCATGCCTCTGGATGGACCTATGTGAGCGACGCTCCTCGTCGATCAATTGATTCGCACCGCAAATAATTGTAATCCTAAGGACAATATCAACAGCTGAGAATGGTAGCGACAAGATCCATGCAGCCGGTGACGGGCTTGTCACCGGGTTCACAACAAGTCAACCCAATCCACTCTGCGCGAGGGCTACTACAGGATTTGCCATTTCCTTGGCTCTTTGTTTGTGATCGGGATAGGCCTGTACGCCGGCGTAGCTGGTTATGGACTATTGGCTCCTGTTCTAGGATTCGACAACCAAGACATTGGTCTAGATGCCAATATTGCCTGGGTCGCTCTTGTTACAGTCTGGTCTGTCTGTTGGGCTCACCCTCTTTGACAGCCTTTCCGATATTTTTGGGGCCCGGCGACGTTGCATCGGAGTTGCATGCTTTGGCCTCCTATCTTACTTAGGAATTATTAATATCGCGACTAGAGGAACAGTCTTCTCAAAGCAGCCTTAGTGCGCCCCTACATATATTGAACTAGTAGCGACCTCTATCCTATCATTAGCAGAAATAATTAACCAAGGCGTACTCTGTCTACGATTTCAGGCTGTAGACCTCCACGCAATATTTTCATGTTTACTATATCCAGTCTTCCTTGTTTCCGTGTAAACAGTACCTTATAGCCTAGCGAGGTATAGTCAAGATCCATAGTCAAGATTAGGTTAATCGCTACGTATAAATATAACTTAACATTAATTATAGAGGTATAGAGTTATAGATTCTAACGGTTTATTGACCAAATTATAGACCGAGAACGGGGATGTCTAATGGTTCAGATGGCCATTAGTGAACTCTCCCACACCGTGAATTTCGACATTAACCAGATTGAGTCTTCGAGGGTTCGCTTGTACGGAAGCAGCGTCGAAGGACGAAATGTGCACCATCTGTATCTGCAAGCTCCGATCATCCCACCGAATTAAGCAGTTGGCATTTCTCCAGACATGTCATCAATGGAAAGAATTGAGAGCACTTACCGGGCCAACGTTGACCTGTAAGATGAAGTAGATAAAATGCATTCACAAGAAGATGAGTTGCCCATGAAATCCGGCTGCTGCGATTTCCGCACTGTACTCTGGGCAATTTCGATTGAGACGCCTGTCTCAATCACGGTAAGAATGATTTTCATGTTCTGACCTAACAAAGCGGGTTCCAACACCGTATGGAGGTCTCTCAGACTTCTAGAAAATTTTGCTTTTACCATCAGCTATTGCAAGCCCCAACTCCAGCAAGAGATCGATCAATGGAGTTCCCGCCATGTTAGCTTCTGGCCAGTCATGGCCGGTTCGAGGAAGGAGGGCACATATTTGCATGCACCATGGATAGCGATACGGATGCTGCAGCTACCGTATGCAATCTTAGGTATTAAAGCATGGAATAAGGCAACAGAGTATAATTCCGTCGATGGGCGACCAGACTTGGGATTCCATTGACGATTCGATATTTCTTATATCCAATCTCGCATCACACAGCAAACTGAATATCAATCCGGTAGAGTGCAAAGTTAATCCTCATCAACATAAAATGAACAACAGCTAGTGCACAATTCGCAAGCTGACTTCCAAATTCATGATGTCTCCAATTTCTCGAATAATGTTACACATATAGAACCAAAATCCGCCACGCAGGAGGCCAAGAATGACCAAAGCCAACCGAAGTCACCAAAGGTCCAACGGCGTTGGCAGCGTCGTTGCTACCACGGGTGATGATCCATAGGTCTTTGCGAAGATTCTCGCAACACTACGGAATCACCTTTAATACAGTCATGGCTACGGAGTAAGACCTTACAAAATCCCAGAACTTCAGATAGTCACGCGAGCTTTGAGGATTGGATTGCTTCTGCCAATGACTGTATGGCAGATTTCCACGTTCTTTATCCATCAAGATCCATTGCATGAACATCTTGCTTCTACTAGAAGACCTCAACAGACATCTAGAAATGGTGGTGTCACGAGGGAATTTTGCCTTGCCAAGATGAAACCCAATTGTCTTAGAAGGATGCCAATCGTTAATAGTCAAAGGTGTCCACTGCTAACCGGTAGGTCTTGGCCTTACTAGGAAATACGGAATCATTCTGCACCAATCTCACGCCGGAAAAGATGGGCCTTTATGCGAACAGGCATCTCTAACCTCCATGCATGAGACCATTGCTGCAAGCATGCTTCTGGAAATTCACAAGGGCAGAGTGGCGGGCACGATTCGCCTAACACGACATCTTGATACAACAGTCTCCAGGAATTGTCAAATGAGTGGCGACGATCTGTTGATGTCGCTCTGGATTTCCTTGGTTCAGTCTGACTTACATCCCCAAACATCGTCGACTATTATGAGCGATGGCTGGGGCCGGCGCAGCTGATTTCAAGGTGCTTGACTCCATGTAAGTTCGTTCTCGCCGTAAAACCTCAATCTGTCCCCTTTTGCAGACTTGAAAGAGTGGGGGATGAGGTACAGACTGTCCTGATCAGAAGTGAAGTCGAGACGACTATGTCGTCGAATAGCGAGAATCAGCTCGCAGTGAATGAAATATTTCCAAGAGTCTCAATGGCGAGCGAGCCGCGAAACCTTCAATCAGCAACACTTGGAATTCCCGCCTCGTGTTTGTGTCCAAATGCACAATGCGTCATCTATCCAAGCAAATAAATCTCTACTTTTTCGAGCATCTTTGGGCTAGTTGCCGACGCACCCTCTGGCATTGAGATCGAATTACGATTACATTAAACAAGGGCAAGTGTCCCAACTTGGTCTCCATTTCCTGTTGGACCTCACGACAGCAGTGAATCCGACGCGCAACTACCACGAAAGAGCCGAAAAGAACAGCAGGGATCGTCTAGCGCTCGCGATACAAGAACTGAACTTGCTGCTCCCACAAAAGCTCTCGACCTCGAACTCGTTCCGCAACCAACGTCGTTGCAAAGCCGAGACTGTGGAGAACGCCACTCGATACATTAAAGAACTACAACGGAAATTAATTCTTTGAAGCGACGATAATGACAGGATGCCCCTCAACTGTACCGCGCTTTACCCCTTTCCATGTGTTGGAGGATTTGGACTGTACAGCTGTACGGGCCAATCGATACAGGCAAGTCAGCGTAGTTGAGATTTTTGTCTTCTTCTACTCTATGGTCACCGTTCTGGTTTATATAGAAAATTACTAGGCAAATGACCTCCTGGAGCCTATTTTTCCATGATTCCAAAGCATTCCAGAGGCTGTAGCACTGACTCATTGCTCGTCGTCATGAGGTTGCCTGCGCTACTCACTTTGGCGCCAACACCATGCCCTATGGCGTCTGTCCATGAGAATACTACAACACACTCGTTCTCTCGTCTCAGGTAGAGCAGCTCGTCCTATGTCTTGAGATTCCAACATGGTATCAAGACGAGAACGGATTAATTCAAGTGTTGCTTATATTGCCCAATATTAGAAGGGTCAGCTTCGACAGCGAGTCCATCACAGTTACAGATTGTTTGATCTAAGACTGGCAAAATATGCACATGATAGCGTGTCACTAGTGCCATCGACATGGGCTTCAGGTAACGACAAACGATTGCTGCAACCTTCATATCCAAGGTAGCTCAGCCCCTGACACCGAGAACCCATACAGCACAGCAGCTAACTCATCATCATCACGCCACGAGGCGACAGTGTATTTCTCCGCGACGGGTGTTCTGCAGGCTAAAGTATCGTGCACAGTGGTATCGAGGTCTTGAGGTAGGTATAATCCTCCTGCACCACTCTCTAGATGAACGATGTGGTATTTAAATTGCACACGTGGTGAATTTAGAGCTTGTCATTAGCTCTCAAGCAAGCGATTCCAAGCTCACGCCAAGCGCACCATCACACCATACAAGTCGCTTCGCGGCGGGATATTACTAGATGGGTTGGTTCTTTCCGTAGACAGCATAAGACCCGCTGATGGTTAACGTTAGCTGAATTTCAAACGCGTTGGATACCACGAAGCTCCTTGGCAGACATGTATATGTCCTTCCGGCCTGGCTCAGCCGTCTTAGTGCTGAGCCGTCGAAGGAGGGCATCTGCGACAAATCAACCTCTGTTTCCTTGACTGAAGCTTGTCGACTTGCTTCAGGAATTTGCTAGCCAATATGCCATGCTTTCTCCTGCAGATGATAAAAGACTCAAACTCCCCTCCTCTCTTCCCGGCTTCTATTAACTCGTATATTCGCAAATCGACTTTTTATATGAAGGAAGCTTGAGAACAAGATGCCTCTGCACCAGTTCGATTACATCTTCGCTTTGGGCACTCTCTTTGCTTTCCTTGACGCGTGGAACATTGGTGCGAACGATGTCGCTAACGCCTTTGCGACCTCGGTGTCGTCCCGATCCCTCACTTACCTTCAAGCTATGTGTGTTGCCTCAGTTATGGAGTTTGCTGGCAGGTACGATAGATCTTGTAACACCTTTCCGCTTTAGAGGAGAGAGCTTATGTGATATAGTGTCGCCGTCGGCGCCCGCGTTGCAGACACCATCCGAACTAAGATCGTTGACCCAGATCTGTTCGAAGACAATCCTGCCATGCTCATGTTGGGTATGATGTGCGCTGTCATCGGCTCATCAGTCTACCTCACGGCTGCAACTAAACTTGGTTTTCCTGTTTCAACAACTCATGTAAGCCTCATCCCCTCCCACACCGGCTGGTTGCGTTCCACAATATGCGATTAAACATTGTATTCGAGGGAGTGGCTAACGCTTGTACATTGGAAATGATAGTCTATAATGGGTGGTGTTATTGGCATGGGCATTGCTACTGTCGGGGCCAGTCAGGTTACCTGGTGGGGCGGAGATGTCAACTCGGGAGTTGTTTCGGTCTTCCTAGCCTGGATCATCGCACCGTTTTGCTCTGCAGGCTTCGCATCTATCATCTTCCTCACCACCAAATATGTGGTCATGGTCCGTCGCAACCCTCTTATGAAGGCGCTGATTTCCATTCCCGTCTACTTTGGGGTAACGTCTGCCCTCATCACAAGTAAGCTTCGTAAATGGTGGTCTCACAACCCTGAATATTCTAACTCTGACCTCTAGTGCTTATCGTCTGGAAGGGTGGTTCCTCCCGCATCAAAATTAATAACGCTGAGACTGTTGGTATTATCATTGGGGTTGGCGCTGCAGTCGCCCTCTTGGTCGCTCTATTTTTCTGCCCCTGGCTTTACCGGGTCTTGCTCAAGGACGACTGGGAACTCAAGTACTACCACATCTTTTTAGGACCCCTTCTTCTCTCGCGCCCGGAGCCTACCCCTCCACCGGAGGGATTTCAGGTCGTCAAGGATTACTACCGCGGTCACAAGACCATGGACGAGCTGAAGGCATCTCGTGAATCACAAATTCACGCGGGACTGGAAGACGAAGAAAACGCCGCACACGTCTTGGAGAAACGTTTCCCTGTCCCCGATAATGGTGCCGGATCCGAGCGCGACGACGGGAAAGCTAGTCCAGCCGCGGAGCCAGCGGTCGGCGAAAAGAATCCAGACAAATTCGAAATCATTGGCCCCCGCCCGGATGGAGGCATGTTTTCTACGGCCGTTCTATTCTGGCAGTTCAAGCGCATCTTCTTCCGAGGCGTGGAGCAAGACATCATCGCTCAACAGAAGAAGGCTACCATCTTAAGTGGCGATATTGAAACCACCCACGCTTATGCCGCGCACTACGACAACAAGGCTGAATATCTGTACTCATTCTTGCAGGTCTTGACTGCCTCAGCTGCTTCATTTACTCACGGAGCCAATGATGTGTCCAATGCCATTGGACCTTACACCTCAATATATCACATCTGGAACACAAACGAGTTGGGTAGTAAAGTTCCTGTGCCTTACTGGATTTTGGTCTTTGGCGGTGCTGCTATTGTCATTGGTCTGTGGACTTATGGCTACAACATCATGCGCAACCTAGGCAACCGTATCACCCTCCATTCTCCTTCCCGTGGCTTCGCGATGGAATTGGGAGCCGCCATCACTGTGATCATGGCTACCCGTCTGAGTAAGTCACCGTTGTCTTCTGGTCCTACGTGTTCCCAAGCTAACAATTACCCTCCCAGAGTTACCCGTCTCCACCACACAGTGTATCACTGGAGCCACCGTTGGTGTTGGTCTCTGTTCAGGAACATGGAGAACTATCAACTGGCGCATGGTTCTTTGGATCTACGGCGGATGGATTATTACCGTGCGTCCCCAAAATTTCATGCTTCTGGATAATTGAATTGCTAACAATCGTACGTCCAGCTACCCTTGACTGGAATCATCTCGGGCTGTCTGATGGGAATCATTATCAATGCTCCGCGTTGGGGATACGCGTACACTATTTAGGTTCCGCATATCACTTGAACTACACGCTATCGGCGGGGCCCCTTTCGAGTCGTCTCAGGAAACTTTGGACCTCTGTTTAGATTGATGATGGCATCTGCTCATTCCACAGACTCCTATGATATCTATCCGTAGACAAGGTGAATCCTAGTTGTTGGACACTTATCGGCTCTGCAACAAAGACGCTATCAAATCACTAATGCAAGAATTGTAGCGTCCAAGTCGAGATGTGCCTTGCAAGGTCTTCCTAGCTCTAAATGCGCAAATTATCCACAAGAATTTATGGCGAGTTGTTTACCCTCTATTTGAGTTGCGGATTTCTGTCGCCTGCTTGCCACCTACAGAGTTTGCACATCTCTGGATCTTATACGGTCGTTAAGCGTAGTGACGGGGTTTTCCTCGGAATACCTCTTGTTGCAGGGATCGCGACACGATTTCTCCTCCGTGCTCTCAATGATAAGTGATACTGCAAGACTTTGAAAGTCGACTTCGCAGAGATTTCGATCCGACGTCACCCCTCGACCCCGACCCAAGTTGGTTCGCTTTACGCAACTTAATCTGCACGCTGGCACACTGCTTTTGCTCTCGAAGAGAGGACACAAACCAGATCATTACTCACACCTATGTATGACGCATTTCATGCTCCTTCCTGCAACATGGGCAGAATGAGGATGTGTAGGGCTATAGAGAGTTTATCTTCGTCCCACGCCTAAGTATCGTCCGAAATCTAACAGATTGTACTGTGCAACTGCAAGGCAAGAACCAGAAAATTATCGTAAGCGAGCGATCAAAGAGGAGCTCGAGCAAGAGTGATATAGTGCCAAGACGGAATAAAATAAATCCGACCCTCGAGCAGGGTGCGCCGAGCAGGTTTCTTCTCTCCACTCCGATTGGAGGAACAACCCCTTCTCCAAAAAAAAGTTCCAAATGCACCACCTCGAAATTTGAGGCCGCACGAGCGTCAGTTCATTCGGCGACACTGGATGTGAATCATGGCAAATTAGTTTACCAAGAAGACATCTGTTCAAATTCGATAGTCGGAGGAGAGTCCTTCTCTCTTGAGACTGTCTCATCAGCATGTCGTCTGGGAAGCGAAAATTCTCGACCGAAGAACGGTCGGCCAAACCAGCGAGCAAACGGTCCAAGCCAGACCCAGAGGCACAGCCTGTGAAGTCCTCCAAGGCACCCAAGTTGGACAAAACGAACCCGTCACCTGCGCGGAAAGCTTCTACACCCCAAGCAGCCTCGGTCCTTACGAACGAGCAGCCAGCATTCCCTCGCGGTGGTGCCAGCCTCCTCACTCCGATTGAGCGCAAGCAAATTCAAGCAAAAGCCTCCCGAGATGCAGCGAAGGAGTTCAAGAAAGCTCAAGACCTTTTTGGCAATTCTGGATCAAAAGAAGAAGATACGAGTGACGACGATGGGAATTCAGCGCCCGAGCTGGAGCCTAGTAAAGCTGTGCCGAAGAAGTCTCGCAAAGAGAAATTTCGCAAGAACAAGGCAGAAATTGATGGACCCGAAATTCGCATCAGTGGCTTAAGCTACAAAAGGATTACTACTGGCTCACTGGTCTTGGGCCAGATAAGCGGGATCAGTACTAGATCCTTGACCGTGGGATTACCCAACAGCCTGGTTGGGTTTGTCCCGCTCACAGCTCTATCCGCTCAATTGAACGAGAAAATCCAGTCCCTCCTGGACAGTGGTGTAGAGAACGGTGCGACTAGCGATGGAGAAGAAGAGGCAGACGACAAAGATATTGACCTCACAGAATATTTCCGTGTCGGCCAATTCCTTCGCGCTGCCGTTACATCTACCGAGCAAGAAAGAACGGGGCCGAAAACGCAGTCGCGAAAACGCATCGAACTATCTATCGAACCTGCGCTCACAAATATTGGTCTCAGCCAGACTAATCTAACCGCAGGCACCACAGTACAGGCTTCAGTCAGCAGTATTGAAGATCACGGCCTCGCAGTGGATTTGTCTTTGGATGAAGGTAGCGCTCGTGGGTTCATCCTCAAGAAGCACCTTCCTGAAGGCCTCCACTTGGCAGATGTCAAAACTGGAGCAGTCTTCCTATGCAGTGTACTCGAATCCAGCCCGAATGCCAAGGTGATCAAGCTTTCAGCCAACCTTTCCAATGCAGCTACACTGAAGACTGCTCCCTCAGTTGATGCTTTTCTTCCTGGTACAAAAGCAGAGATTTTGATAAGCGACAAAACGGATGCAGGACTTGCTGGTAAGGTCATGGGCCTGCTTGATGTGACAGCGGACGTCGTCCACTCGGGGTCTTTCAAGGATAGAGAGGCATTCTCCGCGAAATACGAGATTGGAAAGAAGGTTACCGGACGCTTGATATGCACATTTCCCCTTTCTGATAACAAAAAGCTGGGATTTTCCTTGCTTGATCATCTGTTAGATATCGATTCGCTTGGCACGTCGACTAGTGGGCACAATAAGCTGTCAATATCAACTATCATCGACTCAGCATCGGTGGTACGGGTGGAACAGGGTTTGGGTATATATCTCAAGCTCGCGGGTGATAGTATTGGGTTCGCTCACGTCTCACGGCTATCAGATAAGAAGGTTGACTCTCTTTCCGAGTTGGCTGGTGCCTACAAGCTTGGCTCGGAGCATAAGGCGCGGATACTCGAGTATAATTCTGTCGACGATTTGTACATTATCTCTTTGCAGCCAAGCATTCTTCAGCAGCCTTTCTTACGGGTGGATGACGTTCCTATCGGCGCAGTGGTAAAAGGAAAGATTGAAAAGCTGCTCATTGGCGCTGAGGGAGTCAAAGGTCTGATTGTTAATCTTGCTGAAGGTGTCACTGGGCTTGTTCCACAAATCCATCTATCTGATGTTGAGCTAAAACACCCAGAAAGGAAATTCAAAGAAGGCCAAACAGTCACAACAAGAGTCTTATCCACAGACGTTGTCAGAAGACGCTTGCGACTTACGTTGAAGAAAACTCTGGTCAACAGTGACCAAAAAGCCTGGTCAAATTACGATGGCATTGAGGTCGGAGACTCGACTGTGGGCACACTCGTAAAGGTTGATCGTGTGGGAGCAATCGTTCAATTTTTCGCCTCTGTGAAAGGCTTCCTACCCGTTTCTGAGATGAGTGAGGCTTTTATCAAAGATGCCACAGAACATTTTCGAGTGGGACAGGTTGTGACGGTCAATGCAATCAGTGTCAATTCGAGTGAAAGGCGTCTAACAGTGTCTTGTCGAGATGTGAACACCACGAACCCATCGATTGAAACCTCCTTGGCAGAGCTTCATGCTGGAACAATCACGAGTGGAACAGTGTTCGAAAAATCTCAGGACGATATTTTGCTCCGGTTAGAAGGATCTGACGCAATTGCGCGTCTCGTTTTGGATCATGTCTCTGATGGGTCCTTGAAGAAGCGTAAAGCAGCATTTGCGAAGGTCAGAGTTGGCCAGAAACTCGAAAACCTGCTCATTTTGCAAGTCTTAGCTAAGAGAAGGCTCGTCCTGGTATCCAACAAGCAAAGTCTTATCAAAGCAGCAACAGAAGGAACTCTATTAAAAAGTTATGAGCAGCTCAGAGAGAATGGAGTATATACTGGAGTTGTCTCTAACGTTGTGGATAACGGCATCTTTTTGAGCTTCGCGGCAGGAATCAGTGGCTTTATACCCAAAGGACAGGTACCTGTTGAGACAGAGACTGAACCAGACTTCGGGATGTCAAGGCTGCAGCCAGTTACAGCTAGGGTCACGAACATCGATTATAAAGGTGCTACGCCGCGTTTCTGGCTGACCATGAGGGAGGGGAAATCAAAACCCGAGTCGACTCCTACTGAGAAAGCTGGAGGCCACCCCGAAGCCATTCCTCTCTCGGAGCCTGTTGATCCAAGTGTCACCGTACTGGGTGACTTGCATGTAGGAAGGATCACCAAGGCGAGAATTGTCTCGATCAAAGAAACCCAGCTCAACGTGGAGCTAGCAAAAGATGTCCAGGGACGAATTGACGCTTCTGAAGCCTTTGACGCCTGGGAAGAGATCAACGACCGCAAGAAACCGCTGAGACAGTTCTCTGCCAAGCAAGAGCTCACTGTGAAAATACTTGGGGCACACGACACGAGAAACCACAAGTTTTTGCCCTTGTCACATCGTAACTCCAAGCATACAGTGTATGAGCTCTCTTGCAAGGCAAGCGCTATTAAACACCCCAACGCTGAAAATCTCTCATTACAAAGCATTTCATCTGGATCGCGTTGGCTTGCATTTGTCAACAATATTTCTGATTCAGGTCTCTGGGTCAACATCTCTCCTGCTGTTCGTGGAAGAATCCGGGCGACAGACGTTTCAGACGACTTGTCTTTGGTCGCTGACCTGAACACCAACTTCCCACTCGGATCTGCTCTGCGGGTTCAGGTTCTCTCAGTCGATGCTGAGAAGAATAGGTTGGATTTATCTGCGAAATCCGACAACTCCGCAAGCTCAATCACGCTCAAGGATATCTCTGCAGGGCTTGTACTGCCCGGCCGTATTACAAAAATCAGTGATCGAAACATCATCGTTCAGCTGAGTGACCAGGTGGTCGGCGTTGTGGACCTGATTGACATGGCAGATGACTACAGCGAAGCTAACCCAGCAAAATATCAGAAGAATGATGTGCTTCGAGTTTGTGTGCTGAGGGTGGATGTGCCAAATAAGAAGGTTACGTTGTCCACACGACCCTCTAAAGTGCTCAGCTCGTCATTACCGGTCAATGATGCAGAAATTACTTCTATCTCCCAGCTCTCAGTGAACGACGTGGTCCGGGGCTTTGTCCGCAATGTTGCAGACAAGGGTGTTTTTGTCACACTTGGCCATAATATCACTGCGTTCGTCCGGGTTTCGAACCTTTCAGACAGCTTTATCAAAGAGTGGAAAGATCATTTCCAGAGAGATCAGCTGGTCAAAGGGAAAGTCATATTGGTCGATGAGGCTTCTGGCAATGTGCAGATCAGCCTCAGGGAATCAGCCTTGGACCCGAATTACAAAGCTCCATTGAACTTCAATGATGTCAAGCTCGGCGATGTTGTCTCGGGCAAAGTGGTCAAGGCCGAGGCGTTTGGTGTCTTTATCCTGATCGATAACTCTGAAAACGTTCGAGGTCTTTGCCATCGAAGCGAGATCGCTGAACAGAGGATTGAAGATGCAAGCAAACTTTTTAGCGAAGGAGACAAGGTGAAGGCCAAAGTCCTGAAGCTCGACCCTGTGACTCGAAGAGTCAACTTCGGTATGAAGGCTTCTTACTTCGCGGATGAGCTCGATGAAGACAGTGTGGATGACAGCGAGGATGCCGCGTCTGAGGACGAGAGTCTAGCCGACGGCGGCGTTGACCTTGATGAAGACATGGAACGTGCTGAGGAAGATGAGGATGACGACGAGATGGAGTTGGAAAATGACCAGGAAGATAGTATGGATGATGAAGATGATGGAGATGCAGGTTCAAATATCGAAGACGATGACCCCGAGGTAGAAACAACCTCAGAGACAGTCTCATCTACGAAACCAAAAGGTCTCAATGTCGGCGGCTTTGACTGGTATGGTCTCTCGGAGCCCAATCCGTCAAGTAAACGCCCAGCTTCCGACTCAGAAGAAGACAACCTTACCGCTAAAGCATCCAAGAAGAAGAAGAAGAAGCGCGCCAAAATCCAGGTCGACCATACCGCCGATCTTGATCGCGACGGCCCACAGTCGGTTGACGACTACGAGCGGCTCCTCCTGAGCGAGCCTGACTCTTCGCTCCTCTGGCTCCAATACATGGCATTCCACCTCGACCTGGGCGACGCTGACCAGGCACGAAGCATCGGCGAGCGCGCACTGAAATCGATTGGCCTCGGCCAAGAAGCGGAGAAACTCAACGTGTGGATCGCGCTCTTGAACTTGGAGAACGCGTACGGCGACGACGAATCCATCGACGCCATCTTCAAGCGCGCCTGCGAGTACAACGACCCGCAGGAGGTCTACTCCCGCCTCGCGAGCATCTACATTCAATCCGGCAAGCGAGACAAGGCGGATGACCTCTTCCAACGCATGCTCAAGAAATTCACCCGGGACCCTAAGGCCTGGATCAACTACGTGACTTTCCTCTTCGAGACTGGGGTCGACAGCGCCGAAAAAGCCCGCGCACTCCTGCCACGCGCGCTTCAGACCCTCCCGAAATTCACGCACTTCGACCTGACGCTGAAATTCGCGCAGCTGGAATTCAAGCAGAGCAGCGGAACGCCGGAGCGGGGTCGCACGATCTTTGAAGGGCTGCTCAGCGCGTTCCCGAAACGCGTCGACCTGTTCAACGTGCTGCTGGACCTGGAGCTGAAGCTGGACGACAACGAGGCACAGGTGCGGGCGGTGTTTGAGCGGATCTTCTCCGGCGATACTGCGGCTGGCGCGAGAAAGCTGAAGCCCAAGCAGGCGAAGTACTTCTTTAAGAGGTGGCTGGCATTTGAGGAGAGTGTGGCAGAGAGGAGTGGCGATGGCGATGAGAGCAAAATTGAGGCCGTCAAGGCCAGGGCGGCGGAGTGGGTGAGGAGTACTCCTACTACTAATTAACTGCTCATCTACAGCAGTCTGGGAACGAGTGTGAGATTGCGTAAATTGCTGGTGATGCGATTGCGTGGGACCGAACGAGACCAGCAGAAAGGAACGACTATCCCTCCAATGTGCCTGCTGTACCTGCTGGTGTCACGGACAGCGGCAGTCGTGCGCCCATGAGCAGATTGAGAAATAGAAGACCAAAAATATCATGACCGATAAAAGTCACTTGCTTCCCTGTCAAACAGCCCCTTAGGTCCACTTACCCCTGACAATACAGCCTCGTGAACGTGGTGTGGGTTGAACAGTCACACAACAAAGCTTGGAAAACCATCTGACCTAGCAGAAAAGACCATGCATGAAAACTACGATCGAACAAGACAAAAGATATAATTTTATTTGGGTATCGGTTTACTCGAGATCTTGACGCCGTGGATACGCCGCACACTAGACCAAACGCTCGCGGAGACCTTGACGGGCAATTTCCTGCCTTTCAGTCTCTGATCAATCAGCCACAGGCCAACAACAAACTCTTCGCGGCTCAATGCCTTCGCACCAGCAGATGCGACGAGTTCCCACACCTCTTCTAGGACGTCAGAGGGAAGGCGACTGCGCTCCCAGATATCTTTGACCACCACATTGACGACAAGGTCGTTAGCGCCGTCGAATTCGAGATACTCCAGATCACGGTCGATGAGGACCCCACGATTGCCTGCCCAGACGCCTTCATATCGCTTGCGCTCTCGTTCAGTAACCTTATCACGCCATCGTTTCCGATCACCCTCGTGATGCATATTTGGATGGCGTCTCCAGTGGCGTCGGCCACGCTTGGCCACTCCCTCATCTTTGTCATCGTGGTCAGGAGATGTATTTCGCAGTGTGTGCCTCATTGTCCGTGGTGGAGGTGGTTCGAGCTTGGGTGTCTCTGAACCATTGCCAAGACCAAAATGGTTATTGCGTTGCTTGGCCCCATCGAACAGACCAACCGATTTGGATCGACGGCGAGGTTTGGGTGGAGGTGGCTTAAATGCTGGGGAGTGCATACGTGAGGGAACGAGCGAGGATGCTATCGAGCCTGCCACCATAGCATCTGCAAGGGCGTTGACACTCATTTTTGATTGTGAGTCTCGTGCAGGTGAGTGTGAATAGTTGTTATGGCCGGAATTTTGTTGTGCAATCATGGCAGCACGTGCAGGGCGCAATGGAACAGGGGCTGGCATTGGCTTCCTGACGGGTGCGGGTGTGGATTTCACGACTTCACTCTCAGTATCTGTGTGTGGTGGGGCGACTTTGATGTTCGGCGAGTTTGCGCTGATGATGGGTGTATGGAGAAAAGAGGAGTCTCTTGGAGGCGTGCCACTGTGGAGAGATTGTTCACCAGGGGGTGAAAATGTCCTTCTAGCAAATTCATAAGCTGCAGCATTCCTAGTCGCTACTGCCGCTGCCGCAGTCCCCGAGGGTGAAGGACTGGATACTGTCGACGGGTGTGATGGTTGTGAGTTAATATGAGCTATAGATCCGAGATCTTGCTTTTGTCTTTCTCCAGTTCTTTGTGCCGCTAGCTGGCTTGCAACTGCTGCCATAGAAGCCGCGGCTCCAGCTCCGGCGACAGCATTGTGATTTCTAGGCTGTGGTTGTTGAACCTCGTGACTACTACCTGCGCTCATCCCACGTTGTCTAGCGGTGGTCAAAGATTCCCCCGTCAACTGATATGACCCTGTTTTGTCTCTCTTTATTTCTGGTCTCACGGGGCTAGTCCTCGCAGAAGCGGCGACAGCGGCGACAGCAGATGTAGAGCGAGGAGAGTGCGGTAAAATGCCTATTTTTGGAGGAGAGGTGGATGAGGGTTGGCTGGATACCGAAACCGGAAGTCTTTCGGCTGTCAATGCACGGCCACGAGGACCTGCGGATGGGGACGTCTCTTGTGATGGCTGAGCTGGTTTCCTCTTCCCTACTGCAGCTGCCGCAGCGAGTGCACCTGCAGAGGCAGACGGGTTTTGAATGGCGCCGGCATTGATAGGTTTCAACAGTCCAGGGCCGAAGGCATGTGTTGCCCCCCGCAAGGCAGGAGAGGGTGGTGCCGAGGGTCTGGGAGAAGTGGTAGCAGCATTGTGCTGAACGAATGAGGGTTTCGGCGCCACGGGTGGACGCACTGAGCGTTTCTCAGTCATCAATCCATCGACAATTGACCAAATAGAGGTGCAGTAGCATCGAAAGGAGAGGCAGAACGAATGTGGGGTTGTTGGCAATTAGTAACGATAGGTAGCAACTGCAGGGACTCCCATGATCAAGGTTCGACGCTGTTGAAAGGCATAGGGACAAGGTACCAGATGCAGAATACAAGATAGATGGAAGATGTGAGGTGTTCGTCAGCCTGAGTGAGCAAAGTGCAGATTCTCAGCAGTCTTCAATACCAGTTACCAAAGATATGTATGTACATCGGCCTCCGCAACTCCCGATGAGGAGTGCACGTGATGCCGCGCCGACTCGTGACTTGCGACCTGCGACGCGTAAGAGCGCGTGAGGGGGCCGCGTTTTAGGCAGCCACTAGTGCAACGGCGCTACAGACGTCATCTCAGGTCACTTGTCTTACTCAATATTACGGATACTCTGAAATTGAATAACATACGTCCTGTGAACGGCGGTGCAGCTGATTCGTTCAGCTACCGTCGCTGCTGTCGCTACTGTCGGGATATCCTCGAGTGAGCTGTATTTGTGCAGACACAATGTCTGACGACGACGAGATGGACGTCGACCACGAATTCGGTCACAGCGAACATGAAAAATCTCGTGCCGAGGTTGAACGTGAGCTGGATGAAAAGTACCCGAACCGTCCTCACAACAAAGGGAAAACACTTCCATTTCATACTTTGTTTAAGGATCTCTTCGACCCACTTATAGCAAGCAGCAACACTAAGAAAGGTGGACCAAATCAGCGAAAATTGGGCCCAGACGTACGGTCAAAGATGGCTCCTTCGGAAAAGCGAAGAGCCATTATCGAACGGTATATTTCAAGATGGCGTCGAGAGGTTGGTCACGATTTTTACCCTGCCTTTAGGCTAATCATCCCTGAAAAGGATCGCGACCGGGGAATGTACGGTCTCAAGGAAAAGATCCTAGGCAAGCTCTGGGTCAAATTGTTGCAGATCGACAAAAACTCTGATGATGGCATTCAGCTGTTACATTGGAAGGTCCCTGCGAACGGTAAAGCAGCCGGCGACTTCCCTGCAAGATGCTACGAGGTCATTTCCAAGCGTCCATTGTTGACGGAGGTTGGTAACATGACAATTGAAGAAGTCAACGACAATCTGGACAAACTATCTCAAGTGTCGAAGGAAAGCGAACAATTGTCCATTCTGGCTGAGTTCTATAAGCGAATGAGTGCTGATGAACTTGTGTGGTTGATCAGGATCATCCTACGCCAAATGAAGGTCGGTGCCACGGAAAAAACTTTCTTCCACATATGGCATCACGATGCCGAGACTCTTTTCAGTATCTCCAGCAGCCTGCGTAGGGTTTGCTGGGAGTTGTACGACCCAAACATACGGTTAGAGAGCGATGAAACCGATATCACTGCGATGCAATGCTTCCAACCACAGCTTGCACAATCTAATACAAATACACCTCTGCCACGCATGGTGGAGAAGTTGCGACGAGCCGACGCTGAGCAAGAATTCTGGATCGAAGAGAAATTGGACGGCGAACGCATACAGTTACACATGGTGTCAGATGATTCCGTTCCTGGAGGTAAACGGTTTAATTTCTGGTCCCGCAAAGCCAAGGACTACACTTATTTGTACGGCAAGCATCTCTCTGATAAACAAGGATCCTTCACACAATTCCTGCAGGGCGCGTTCGCCGATGACGTTGAGAGTATGATACTGGATGGAGAGATGATAACGTGGGACATGAAACAGGATTCCTTTGTGCCATTCGGAGCCCTAAAGACAGCAGCTTTGGCTGAGACTGCAAACCCCTTCGCCGAGGGTCATAGGCCGCTTCTTCGTGTATTCGACATCCTGTTGTTGAATGGCAGATCTCTGACGCGGTATCAACTACAAGATCGAAGAAAAGCGCTGGAAAGAAGCGTTAAGGGAGTTCATCGTCGGCTGGAGCTGCTCGATCACACAATTGGCACATCAGTCATGGACGTGGAAGTTGAATTGCGAAAGATAATAGCAGCGTCATCCGAGGGCCTGGTGCTGAAGAATCCATATTCCGCATACCGTCTTGACGAGCGGAATGACGACTGGCAGAAAGTCAAGCCCGAATATTTGACTGAATGGGGTGAGACGTTGGATTGCTTGGTGATTGGTGGATTTTATGGTTCGGGGAGAAGGGGTGGTAACTTATCCAGTTTCCTGTGCGGTCTTCGCGCTCCTCGAAGGTCGCAGAATCGTAACAGCCAATCTCAGAAACAAGGCCAGTCCCAGAAGAGTCAATCTCAGAGCCAGTTTCAATCGCAAAGTGAATCACAGACAGATCAGCTGTCATATGTCTTTGTGTCCTTCTTCAAGGTTGGTGGCGGGATGACACAAAATGACTATGCCACGATAAAGCACGAGACAGATGGAAAATGGATTGACTGGGATGCCAAGAACCCGCCCACAGCGTATCTCGATCTCGGGGGGCCAGCCACTATGGCTCGTGAGCGACCTGATGTGTGGATCAAGCCAGAAGATTCGATAGTGCTGGAAGTGAAGGCAGCCAATATCGTGCCAAGCGAAGACTATGGTGCTGGGATGACATTACGGTTTCCACGGTTCTCAAAACTGAGAAGAGACAAGGACTGGCAGACTGCGCTGTCCTTTGACGAAATGCTGGATCAGTGCGACAAGGCTGGCAAAAAGGAAGAAGAGAAGGCTATGGAAATCGACGACAGGAAACGGCAGAAGCGCCAGGCCGCCCCCCGCAAGAAAGTACTCACGGTAGCAGGGTACAATGCGAGGGACGTGAACAGCGTTGAACAGCCACAGGGTCCTCAAGGTGAAGTCTTCAACGGTCTGACCTTTTACATCATGACCGAGTCAGGATTGAACGGATCACAGAAGAAAACGAAGCTGGAGCTCGAAGCCCTAGTCAAAAGCAATGCAGGCAAGATTGTGCAAACTCAGTCTGCTTTGGAAGACATCATCTGTGTTGCAGCTCGCAGAACAGTGCCAGTCGCGAGCCTCATCAAGACGGATAAGAAGGAGATCGTTAGGCCAATGTGGATTTTTGATTGCATCGAGCAAGCACGTCGGGATTTTGCAAGAGGGCTAGCTGAGATGGTGATACCGTATGAAGTCAAGCGGCATTTGTTCTTCGTCCCTGAGAGGCTGCAAGGCATCTGGGACGACAACACAGATGATTTTGGGGACCCGTATGCACGAGACGTGAATATGGAAGAACTCAGTGAGCGGCTATCGAAAATGCCTGATGTGGAGCTTGGTCGGAAGACGTTGGACTTGATTCCGAAGGTGTTTCCGGATTTCATGCAAATGCGAGGAGTTATGTTTCATGGACTGGTCATCTATCTGGATGGTCCTACCCGGTCCCGCGTGGAGAAGAGCAATAAGAAAGGCGAAGGGTCACTTTCAATCACAATGGACAGCGAGATGCTGGCCAGCCACAACATGGTGCTTTTTGCTGGCGGCTGTGTCCAGAAATCACTCAGTCACGAGGTTACGCATATTGTCACGCAAGCGAATTCCGACGTTGCGGGTCTGCGCAAAGAAATTTCTACGTGGAAGAGCAAAATTCCTCGAATCGTTTCGGTCGATTGGATACGTGAGTGCTGGGACGAATGTACGAGGGTCGACGAAGAGAGATTTCCAGCGCTTTGATGGCTAGTGTTGGCAGTATTCAAACCACAGTAGGCAGCTAGCTCCTCAGTGGTACGACTGAGAGGTCCCTCTCCCCCATGGAACCCCGGTACCTTACGAGTAGGGCAGTACTACCTAGGCTATTACCCTAGTAGTTAAGCTGCTCCAGTACAAGGTATTTCTTCTTGGACGACCCAAACCATCGGAGAATGTGCGTAGTGGGTCATCGCTGACGTATTTCAAGGTGATGGACACCAACGCAACGGTGCTCGACAAGCCAACGAGCCTAGGCACCCAGGTAAAAGTGACACACTCGATACCACCCGTCATCCGTGCTAACGGAGGATGTACTGGCTGGGAGACGGCTTTCGCGTGGTTGTAAAGACGGCCATATAGCTGGTCACTCCACCGTTGCAGTCTGAGAGCCTGTTGAATCAGATCATGTCAATCCGACTTTATACCGTTACGTGGCAGGTTGATTGTGTGCAACATGTCGCGTGGCGATTGGCGGTGGTGATGCCTGGATGAGACAACCTCTTGCATGCTTTTTTTTGGGTTCGTTGTGCTGGGATGCCGAGACGAGCTTTGTGTGCCACGAGTAATTAAGGTGAGGCGCAACGGAAGCGGCCGGCTGAGGCCCAGGGCAAAGATGGCAGAGATGGCAGAGATGGCAGAGATGGCAGACATGACGGATGCGAATGCCCAACGAGCGATTACCGACGTGGGAGGAAGCAGCCGCAGCACACACGCACAAATAGATAGACAGATGGATCGACGAGGAGAGATCGCTACGGCTACGATTATTGTTGCCATTAGAAACAGCTGTTTTTTCCTTTACTCAAAGATGGTACGATGCATGGAGTACTCCAGGCAGAGCACACCAGACACACGGGACACACGACATGCCCCCGTGCCTCATTGCTTCTGCCTGCCTATGTGTGTGTGTGTGTGTCTGACGAGGCCATTCTGCGAGGTCTTGGGATGAAAAAGGAAGGCGACAGAGAGAAGCGCGTGGCCGGCTGCACGGGAATCGGATCGAATGCCATGGGAACACCGGGCACCCTGGAACCCCCTTACGGCGGGTGTAAGCGACAGCCAGACACGGCCAGCCTTTAGAAGGACGCTTGGAATGTTCGGACGAGGACCTGGCTCTTGTTAGGCGAGGATGGCGGTGCGAACCACGGGCAGCCTGCCGCCCCAAAGCCAACAAGTAGCGCTCTTCGGACCCCCCTTTCGCCCGTGGATGATGCCTATTTGCTGCAACGCCGGGCGGACTAGAGTAGCCCCGAATTCCAGTTGGCCCCAACAGCAGCCATCACATGCACGCTTACGAGTACGCAAATGAAATCCAGGGACTGGAGGTGGGTTTGAGATTTTTGCTTTAGCTGAGAAACCCGGAATCTACGAGTATGGCTGGTAATGGCAACTGGTAACAGTCCCAGTACTGTAACTGTAAGTGTCATCATGGTTTGACACGGATGGCACCAATGGCACCCAATGGCCAGGCTCCGATACGTGGATAAACACACAACTATGTAATCCTTATCTTGCCTCCCACCTCATCTCATCATTGCGGATGCCGTGAGTCCGTGACCATGTCCTCCATGTCCTCCCGGCCCACGAGCGCCGTCCACCCCCCCCCCTCCACCCGTTCTTAAGTTTCTACCTGAACCTCCTGTTAGGCTGTTACGAGTGCCTGGCTCAAGCTTCTCCTCGGTACTGGCTCCTCCACCCTTGTCCATCCGCCTGCGCCATCGCCCAACTCCCTCGCTCCATCCACATCCATCCCATCCCATCCCATCCCATTCCACTCCATTTTAACTCCTCGTAACCTGTCCATTCAGGCTCACACTCGGCCTCAGCTGCCAACGTCCTCACCCTCTCGCTTGTTATACCCTCACAAGTCATGCTTGATGCCAACTCAAGTCCTACTCTTGTCGTTTCTACGTTTGCCCTTCTGCACACCACGCCGATTCCATTACCTACGCCTCATCGTTCATCTCTATTATAATCGTCAAATCCTTATCATGCTCCCGCGATAACCTAGTTAGCCTCCTTGCTTCATCATCCGCCCGGCGACCACCTCATTCCACCCCCAGACCACAACCATGATGATGGTCCCTCGCTCCTTTGTCCAGAACCCTCTGGCCCTGTCACAGAGGCGGCGGTCGGATTTCGGCGAGAAGGAGGCCTTGTCTACCCAGCGATCTATCAATAGCAGATCTCGCTCTCCGTCGCCTTCAGCCTTATCCCGACCACTGTCGCAGTCGCCAGACTCAGAGACCAGGTATCAACCTTCATCCGACCCTGTAAGAATCCCAAGTCGAAACACCAGAGGCAAACCCCCAAAACCCGAGAGACCTGCTCCGACCACCCTCCAGATTCCCACATCCGCTGCTGCAAACTTGCCTCGGACAGGACCTCCAAGGAGAGAGTCGGTCCAAGACATCCTCTCTTCGACAACAATCCCCATCAGGAAGAAGCCCAGGCAACGGCCGGCCCAGCGCTTACCCAATTGCGACTATGTTGCTGATTTCAGCAAGCTCCTGAGAGATGACGTACAGTCGCAAGGAGACGCACACTTGTCGGGCAGTTGGACAAATCCCCAGTTTGAAGGCCTATTCGGAAATATCGATGGCTTTATCGAGGATCAGGTGATTGTCGGAAGCGAGGGTGTGGATGCCAGTCTCTTATCCACCCGGTCCCTCTCAAGCGACTCCATGCCGTCTTTGGCCTCCCCAGACGACTTCAGCACCAACGACATGCCTAGTGTCTCCCCAGCCACCATCCGATCCCCTGCTGATCCTAGATTACGACAAGTTGCCAGTTCCGAAGACTGTAGCAATCAACATCCTCTGCTTTCTCGAGACGACGATTGCCAATTCAGCGGAGCCTCAACTCCTGAATTGCTGGTATCCTCTCCTCCAAAGCCAAGACGAAGAGATGTTTTAGAACAGAAGGCACATCGTTCTTTTAAATCCAGCCTCACTGCATCATTAAAAGCATTGAAGTCTGCCGCTCAAACTGTGTCCAATATCGCCACCACTCCTCCACTTGTTCCACCCGACGAATTCCTAGGTGCTTCCATTTTCGAGTTTAAACCCGAGCTCACCGATGATCGACGACCTCCTCCATCGGTCGAACCGCCTTCGGCCGCGATGAGGAGATACCTGAACCCGAGGGCGACCATGCCAGCTGATTCACCTGCTCAATTGCATTTCTGGCTGGATGAGAAGCCCGACCCTCATTCGAAAGTTGTGGGAAATCGCAAACCCAAGCTCAAGACCAAGAAGAAGAACCAGCCAGCAAGCTCTAATTCATCGAAGCTGAAGAACTCCAGGAACCGTACCGCTCTACTTCCATCTGTTGTTCAGCTGTCCACATGCATTCCTTCGACAATCCGAACTGCCAACGCGTCAAGTCCGCCAACGTGGCTTGAACCGGATGGAACTCCAAGCAACAAACACCGTGCCGCTCAAGCACTCACCGACGGGACAGCCGACTCTCCCCACGGTGAAGGACAGCCTCGACCTCGAGAGCCTCGCGAGAACAGAGACTTCCTCCGCGTATATGTGTGCGAGCTGAACATGCGTAAATGTGGAAAGTTAGCCGATGAAGCCCATGGCCACGCCAAGTTATGGTTGCCTCCTGTCACCGAGGACAACAAAGACAAGAAGAACAAGCAAGGAGAAGAGATCGAAAAGAAAACCGGCGTGGATCGGTGGCCGAGCTGGACGAGTGATGATATATGAAATGAATCTTTGTAGGCGAAGGTTCTGCCGCACCTTGTCGCCAATGTGTTAGTATGAAAAGAAAGCGATCGAAGCGTCATGTACCTTTTTCTTATGGTTGTTTCATTTTTTTTTCCCTTTCGGTGTTCCGAGATGCATGTTGGGGACGTGCCGGTTGTCCTCACGGACGGGATGGGTTGTATGATCATGAACTGGACAGGAGATTGGAATAAAGCGGTGGTGTCGGGTGCGTACTTGTATATATCGAGGTCCAACGAGAAAGCGCAGTGCAGTGCACAGCTGCCTCGCGGATCTTGTTCCTTACCTTTTTGCTGCCCTTTTTGCTGCCCTTTTTGCTGCCCGTCTTCGTATGTACATAGTTTTTTTCAAGTCGGCATCTGGAGCAGGTAGCGTGCTACTAGCTAAGAAGAAAAGGATGATTTAAGAACGAACGAGCGGGGTGTCTTAGACACATGAATAGGTGCATGTACATATATATATATCTGAATCTCTATATATATCTACACGATCTCATCACTTTTGTCAAGGACGCCGAGAAGAGAAATGCTTATTTCAAGGAGTTGAGTTTGCAACTAAGGAGGTATGTGGCTATATTACTATTTTACTGCACTGCTATAGTACTCTCCGGTGTGCGGTGTCCACTGCCGCCAGTTCAACTCAGTGCGATAATGCCTTGCACTGAGCTGGGTAGCGCGGGACACGAGACAAAGAGGCAAAAGCTGCTTTGTGCTCATTTGGGTGACTATGGTACTCGCAGATCGTAAGGCTGCTAGATAATTAGATTGACGCCAAGCCGGAAATGGAAATATGTTCTTCCAGGCCGCTTTGAAGGTCGCCAAGACTTTCCATTGAAAAGAGTTCACCCGTTATGGAGGCGCTGACCAAAGCATGCCAATATGACAGGCTGCTCAAACCGCGAGCCTTACATACGCTCTCGTCAAACAGCCCATCTACCTTGTCATCAGATGTTTGACAGAGCACATATTCGGCAAGGCGTGTTTCTCACTCGCTACGTGTTCATTGTCCCAGTAGGTCTCTGCTGGATGATTATTTGCCCCAGGTAGTCAACGTGCGATTTCCAGGGGCAGCAATAAGCCAGAGAAGAAGAGGTCATCGTTTGTACCAACTCTGGCGCATGAGTACCTGCCAGAAAGAAAGCGGAACCTGCCAGTCCCTGACACCCACAGCGATGTAGGCCTTGACAAAGCCCCAGCCAGTGACGGAAAACCAGCACAAGACCCACAGGTAGCCGATGATCCGCGGAATGGTTGGAGCTAGCTTTCCTCTAGGGTGTGAATCTTCTCTCCCAATACGAAGTGTTCCGCGGGAGGCGGAGGCTTCCCTCGTGGCTTCCAGTCTGGTGGAAGAAGTGAATTTGTGATACCACTGGATTGTCAGGGCTTCAGCGACAGCTGCCACTGGCTGCATCATGAAGAAGCCCGACATGTCGAGTATAAGCTCCTGCAGTGACAGAGCCTCGTCACGGATCACCGCAAGGCTCGTGATGTGGACGAAGTCGCTGATGCCAAATGCGACGATGAGAATAACTAGGTTGGCTATTAGGGATCTGGCTGGAAGGCGTAGTTGGCGGATGGCAAAGTGGCCGAGGCCCAGCACCGGCTATATGCATCGCTGCTTTAGCTTACATGCGGCAGGTGTAGAGGATCGGAGGAAAGGGTGACAAGTGCGGAGACTTACAAGACGAATATAAGTGTGCCAGAACTTTTCCCAGACGTTGGACACGGTGTAGCAGTCCGCAAGGCTGCCGAATAGGGGTGGCCAGTCCTAGACGCCCGAATCATCGGTCAGTCAGAAGCTAGCGAATCCAATTCTCAAACAAAACGCAAGTGCTGAATTGATCTCGACGCGAGGGTTGCCAACCTCAGGCCTGCTCAAGCCTATCCCCACCAAAACAGCCGCGAGAACCTCGAACTGTAGCGCCATACTGGCATACGTGCACACAAGCATCAACCCCTCCGCAGCCACGACCTCTCTCACCGTCCCCCAATTCCACAGCCAGGCCGCAGGAACAGGCAAGTCGCGACCAACGACAAGAGCAGCATCAAGCGCAAGGTATGCACACGCCGCTCTGCCCAAACAGGCGCGCACGAACGCCGACCTCCCGATCCGCTGTCGAGCCATTGCCTCGTGCGCGCTGCTCACGCGGCGACTCGCGATATTCCAGCCCACGCCGCGCGGACTGCTTGCGAGTGCCGTCGCCCAACAGAGCTTGCGCCATGTCCAGGCTGCTGGTGGCGGCGGAGGGGCCTTGGCCGCTTCATCGTGCCTGCCGCTTGGGCCATCCTTACCGTTGACGTCGTCGACTCGCCAGAAATCTCGCTCGGGGACATGGAGAAGCAGTCTCTCGAGCGTGGGGAGCACCAGCAGCCATGCGCTGGCGATGCCGTACCGTGACTGCCTTGTCGGCCCAACGTTTGCGGGCCAGGGGGATGCTAGGCTCAGGGAGTAGGTGGTGATGATCAGGCCGGCGAAGACAAGCCCCCGGCCGTGGAAGGGAGGTGCTGTGAATGCTAGGATGGGTAGAAACGGGAGGGCGATCACTGGTAAATAGTCTTGTAGTCTTGGTTGACTGTCACTGCTGGGAGGTGGTGAAGCTGAGGCCTTCATTGTTTTTGGGAAATACACGATTGATTTTCACAGCTTTTGCACTGGTTTCTGGCGATAATTCAAGCATGGCGTTGGGATTATTTTGCCAGGGAGAGACCCCTTGTAGGAACCTGGCGTTTACTTAATCTGCTGGGTGGACCATTCTTGCACGTCGATGAAAATCACCAGATAGCAGCGTTTCCCTTGATGGCTCGTGGCTTCGCCCCTCGGCTTGAGTCTTGCTGGTGGCACGAGTAAATATCTCAAGGCAGCCAAGAGTTACCTATGTGGTCTGACATTTGCGCTGCATAGGTCGCATGGCGAGCAGACGACGCCCGCATCGTCTTCGCGAGACACGGCGAGGATGAGTTGTTTCAACTCACTTATAGTACCAAGTGGGTCTGTGACAACCAACCCTAGCCTCTATCATCGATGCCGGAGAAGGAGGAGTGTGAGATTGGTCTTGGAGTTGTTTGCAGTGACTCTTGAAAAACCCTCGGCTCTATCCGACGGTTCGACCTCGGCACTGAAAGGCACATGGCCTCAGCCACTCCAGTGTGGAACTATCCTCCTCAATATCGGAACATCGACAATGATCTTGAATTCGGATGCAACAAAATCCTGGGGAACCCGCTGAGCAAAGCCAACATCTTTTAATCACTTCCATGGGATAGGCCTGATTCCAACTGGACCCCAGACCATATCAATGCTAGATTCCTAAATATACTTCCCGCTTTTTTACTCTAGCGAATACTATCTTCGACGTGTCAAGAACCCCATCGTGGTCGGAGGGCTTTGACTACCGGACTACATGGCTTCCGCTCGGGCTTTGTAAAGCCTTCGAGCGTTCACTGCGTGCGATGTAAGTCGGACCCAGGCACTCCCGAGGAAGGAAAAAGAGTCCCCTACAAGGCAGGCAACCGTACATTGGTCAGCTCATTGACCTTGCCTGCTTCGTAGATCGGCGACGCCCTAGTGAAACTGAAATACCCGTATGGAGGCTTCTTGGATGGTCTATCGATGTATTCGGCTCCCAGAACGCCGGGCGCTCCAGCGAGAATATTCGGCCCTGCCATCACGGTAGAGATGGTCGAAGTGAGCAACACGACCGCTGTCTCCAGAGCGGCACTTCGTGGACAACAGCGAAGATGGCGGTGTCATGTATATCAAGCAGCCACCAGGGCTGTTCTCGGCGTGCTGGGGCGGCCTGATGAGTACGCGGGCGAAGTATCTCGGCGCGAAGGGCGTGGTTGTCGATGGCCGGATCAGGGACGTCGATGAGCACCGCGAGATGGGCTTTCCGGTTAGTCTCATCTTGGCCCCTTTGTCCCGTGGTCTGTTTTGGAAGGCGGATTGGCGTTGACGGTCCCAGGTCTTTGCAAAGTCGACTTCCATCCTAGGCAGTAACACGTTCACAAAGGCTTCAAGAATTAATGTCCCCTCCCAGTTCAAAGGGGATCTTTGGATCCATCCAGGTGATTTCCTGGTTGGAGATGCTGATGGCGTCGTGGTGGTCCCCCCTAGCTTGATCGAGCAGGTGGTTGAGTTGTGCAGACAGTGTGCTGAGATCGATGAGAAAATGCTACTGGGCTTGAAGCATGGGGAGTCCATGGGTGATCTGATCAAAAAAAATAGATCTCAAAAATGAGACAGTGCACTGTATTGACTGTGTCTACTTCCATAGAACTCAAGAAGTTGAAACGAGGAATTCAGCACTTCAATCAGCTCCGAAGAGTGTTTGCGGATTTCGAACCACCAGGAGATCCCATTCTTCATCCGTCAACCAGCTCTTCAGACTCTTCAGCCAGGCCTCATCATCAACTTCTAAGAACGGAGATTCCTGTAGTGCTTCTGCGCGGCTCCGCACTCTCATTCTCAGGGTGTGCGGCCAATGGCTTCCCCACAGCACTCTGTGCTTGTTTGCACCGACTAACGCTTTGGCGAGAAATTCCAAATCGTCATAGTGAGGCTGCATCTCAACTCGCTCGATATGGAGTACTGAGCTTCACACACAGCGCACCATTCCGTAGTATGCTCATGATTGCCTCAAAGCCAGGCTGCTGATCTGGGGAGGCTTGATGCTCTTCTGGAAGCATGCTTGGCGCCTTCAACAAGCCGAAGTGATCGGTAACTAGTGGGATGCCTTTACCCGTAAGTTTTTCCTCGACCCGTGGCTGAAGTTCATCCCAGAATCCAGGATGTGTGGTCGTCATGGTAAGGCTTCACGGTAGGGATAACTGCAAGACGTGCCGTGCATGCTCCCAGAGAGCAAGTTTTTGAAGTGTTACGTCCTCTAAATCATGGTGTCGGTATACATTGACGCGAATACCCCGTACCCCAGTAGCGTCCATGGAAAGCATTTCGTCATCGAGTGTTATCTCAGGGTCAACAACACGAATCACTCTGGTGGCTGAAGCACCAAGACGAGGCACGAAAGCCTTCAACGAGGCCCAGTCACTGCCGTAGGATAGGCTGTGGGTGAGAACGGAGTTGGTGATGCAGAATTGATCCTGGATCGACTGGAACCTCTGAATCGGTGCGGCTGGTGTTGTCAGATGACGTCCTTCATGATATGGGAAAGAGTCCGGTTCAAAGGTGTGATGATGAGTGTCCCAGCTTCCGTTCGGAGCCCGTACTTCTGAGGCACTCTCAGGTCGCAGAGTAGCCCTCTTTGTTGCTGTTACAGTCGTTTCCACGACCGCGAATGTTTCTCTGGTGTGTCGCTACTCGATATTTATTTGAAGCGATTGTATACCCAAAATTGGGAGCACGCAATTAGCATCGAGGAGTATGGCCTGGCAGGTTAGAATCTCAGGTGGCAACTTGGGCGGACATCGCGAGGAGGGTTGCGAGGCTGCGACGATGCGTCGGCCCCCTTTTATAATCGGAAGCCTCCACAGCCTTATGCTTGGCCGTAGTGGAACCATCCTTCCATTCAGCTGTTTCTGATGGCCGCGCTCGGGTGGAGCATTCGCACTTTGAACCGCACAGAGAGTGCTTGGCCTTGCCTAACGTCCGTCCCTTCATTGTCTTCCTCGAAAATCTTGTTGGTCCTTGTCAAGATTGTTGATGGCCTAGTCAAACTTTAGGTCGATTAGCTACAGGCACTCGATTAGCGATGCAAAGAAACAAGGACCACTGTACTAGAATACCTGGGGACCAACTAGTGAAAGCTATGTTTGACAACCTTCTCCGTATCCCCTACCTAGTCTCCTCAATCCCTCGAGAAAGTGTGCGTGCAGGTGCTCGGGGCACGCTTGTGACTTTAGCCATTTGGGCATCTTCCGGTATGCAGGTTCCAGACTTTCGACCCGACGGGCCGGTAAACGCCAACAGGGCCAAACGACGACGATCGTGGATCTTGGCGCAGGGCCTGCAGGGCCTGCAGCTTGCCCCGGGCGTGCGATGATGGACTTGCTGGTAGATGCCCACATCGTATCCGTCCAGAGTTCTTCAACAAAGGAGCTAATCCCTAGACATTCGCTCAGGTGTTGGCAAGAGCCCAACCTTCCGGTGTACGCCGTACCTTGCAGACTGGAACACCCATATACTCGTAAAGTCGGAGCAGGAGCTTGGCAACTTAATAGGAAATGCCCGATGTTACTGAGAGCGAGCTTGCAAGGGGGTGGCTTTTCGCACAGAGGCTGAGTTTGACGATCATCGCTTTACATTCATTGGCTCCCATCCTGGCTGGCTTGACATCTTTCCTGTTTGCTACTCCGGAGTACCAAAGAACAACCAAGGAACCAGTGGCCTTGGAAAAGTAGACAGGGTACAGGAATCATGATCTTGCTAGTCGCAGCAAGGCTATCCGTACGAGGTAGCGAGGGAAGACTTAAAACTACTATTTCCACCCCATACGACCGAAAACGCGTGGGAGTCCTTCAGCACAGGTACGGATACTTATTACTATGGTCAGAGCGCCGCGACAGGCACAAACCAATATTCGCTGTACAACTGGCCATCAATCTCTCCAGCTCCCGCCTTCGACACACGCACTCTGGACAAAGTAGGTCGCCGCCGTCCATCATGGCAACCGTCAACGGGGCTACGGTGGCCTTGGCCCCCCTTCCCCAACCCCGAGGGTTACGTTGTTGACTTCGACCATCCTCAACGAAATCTACTTGTGGGAATCTACTGCGCTGCGGGAATCGACATGGCTTTGGCGGTTCTCTTTCTCGCGCAACGCTTGTATGTGAAAATTGCTGTCCATCGCTCGTTTGGAATTGACGACTGCGCCAAGGCTATCATTCAGACAAAGTCCTTTGAGATTGTATACCAAGAGCGAAACGAATGAGTAATGTTCAACAGCTGAACGTGCGTTGTGTCAGTTCGACGTCGGGCTGAGCTCAAAAGTTACTGCTGCCCCTGGCAGCCCTGTATGATACTTTGCTGTACGGACACCTCAATGTTTACCAGCACAATGATGAAAAGGTTATAGCGTAAAGTGAGTCGAAGACATTGTAATAACCTGGCTGAGTATGCGATTAGCGAGTTCAAAGCAGTTCGGTGATCCTCGTTCCAAGGGCCTTTGTAAGAAGAACACATTACTAGATTGTCTAGACATTATATGCTGCTCAAGACTGCAGCATGATGGGAAGAAGTTAGATCTAGTGGTCCAAAACGAAGATAGCACGCCACACGAATACGAAGTGCCTTGGAAGTTACAAAAAGAATACAACCGTTGATGCATAGGTGCTACGCATAGTACATAGTAGTAATTATGCTGTTCTTTGTTTCTTCTTTATATCTGGGTTATCAAGTGCAGAGAGCGAACCCATCTAGATAGTTGGCAAATCTATTATTCTTGCTTTGAGAGAATCACCACCGTCGTAGCGTCGTACTTTATACTTCTATTAACTTCAGCACGTAAGAGATCTCGTGGTAAGGTGTTAGGAACTGCTCCCCTAACAAGTATATAGCTTATAGGTCCGAGAATACCTCGTACTTATATTTTGCCTGAGATCAAGACGTCCCCGCCGAAACCTTACTACGTAGTTTATTCGGTACTAGAACACTATATATAGTTGTTGGACTTGTTTACTATCGCTATTCTTCGTAGGATAAAGAAAAGAGAGGGAAATAAAGATGTTGTGTATACTAAAAGGAAAGCGAGAAGCGAAAAAGGAGGGGGCAAAAGAAAAAGGAGAGCAAAAAAGGCGGCGACGGGATTCGAACCCGCAATCTCTTGATTCGTAGTCAAGCGCGATACCATTTCGCCACGCCACCTGCAAGGTGCTGTAGGCCCGGGCGGTTCTGGTGAGAACTTGCCAAATGTGACGGAACTAAAAATTATAATAATAACTTAAAATTCTAGCACGTGATAGGGTATCTCCCGGAAACACGACAACAACTGTCTTTTAGTTCAAGTCCTAAGGAAATAAATACAAGGTGACGTCATTTTCTGGAAGCAGTTTCTACCTCTCTTCTGTGTAGCTAGCCTCAAGGATGCGAATAAATGGCGGAAGCCCGCTGCTGAGCAAAGTCTACGAGGGGGAACAGATTTTGCTTCAGTCTTAAAGCCACCCTCGACTACATTCTCACCTTGATTGAAATCTGTTCTAAAAGACACTGTGGCTTGCAGCTGCTAAATCCCTCGTCAGAGGAGGCTGAATCGACTGAGACTGAGCCACAGCTATTCAGCCTGAAAACATGGTGAAGGGATGGCTGCGTTGCAGGGAAATTGTGGGAATGTTTCGGGAGAGCTATTTGGGAGAGCTATTTCTCGGGAGCTCTAAATGCCAAGCGGTGCTAAAGCAATCTTAATCACACCCATTTTGTATGACAACAAGGTCCTCGTTCCACACCGTGCCATCAACTTGCCAATCAACCTCGCCGTCGACGCCTCGCCACGTAAGGCTGAGGTTTAATAAAGCCTCGTTACTCACTCACGGTCCTGTGACTCAGGTATAAAGCCTTGCTAACGGCCCTCCTGTAGCCTTGCCGTACGCTGCCTACGCCTTTTAGGCCGCCTGTTAAGTGCCGCCGGGGCTATAGAGGCAGGCGGCACTGCCTAGAGCGCCTTAGGCGAAGTAGGTAACGGTGTACGGCGCGGCCGAGGCCTCTTAGGAGTCCTTATAGGTAAAGCTATAGGTAGTGACCTTAGAGGGCTCTCTAGGATACTTTAAGAGAGTACTCGTCGCCTTATTTCTATAGTATCCTCCCCCTCTTCGAATAGTTTTAGCCCGTACAAGGTATATTCTAATATCTCATCCATTAATTACTCTATTTCCTGGGTCTCTTGTTGCCTTGCCTGTTGGAGCTCTCTCGAGCGCTCCTGACGGCGCCGTCGATCCGCCATTTCACTAGCTAATAATGCTCGTTTATTAGCTCTTCCGTGAGGGTTCCGGCGCGCTAGGTAGCTCTGGCGTACGAGATCTAGTTGGCTAAACGGGGTTTACTGTAGTTGATAGCTCCTCTAGGTGTTGCGTAAAAGAGTACTCGTTATTAACTCGATATATCTACTTATTTAGCCCTCAATACGTAACGATTCAACGTTAAATCGATGTCTCTCTTGTGGATCTAAATACCCTCGTAGCTGTGCTAATTAGCTAATAAGTGACGGCGTAATTTGACTCCCTAGCGCCTATAAAGGAGGGTTTTAAGGGGGAGGAGGTGCCTGAGGCACTAGTAAATTTGTATAAGGTCTTTGGACGCTATTATGAGGCCCTGGCGTTGGATAAAAAGGTATTCAATTAGTAGATTGAATAGAAGGCCCATTTAGCTACCAGCGCGGATGAACCAAGGTCTTTAATATAGCCAAATCCTCTAAATACGCCTTTTTTAGCTAGTGGCGGTAGGCAATGCCAAAGCGTAGTAGAACCTCGCATTCACAGCCACTTTGCGGTGGTATCACGTCCTGCCCATTGCTTATTTGCTCATCGAGAGCAGCCTACTCTCTCTCAAGGCGTATTACGGCGTATTTAGAGACTTTAAAGCGGAGCTGGTAAAAAGGAGGACTCTAGGCGAGTCGAGAGTAACTGGCCGCGGAGTTAGCCTCGTCTTGATCGATATCCTTAATTACGGAGTTGATCTTGCTCATAAGCCTTTTTACTAAGTCCTTAAGTAATAATTAAGCATTAACTAGCTCTCTAATAGTGTCATAATACGACTTACTTCTTTAGCTACTCGAGGCGCCTAAATTAGCGTATTTACGAGTATAAAAATAGGCTACCTTTTGCTCCTTTAGCATCTAAGTCTCCTCTAGGTATTCGGCGAATAATAGGCCCACGGATTTACCTAGGACTTAACGATTTATTACGAGGTCCTCTAAGGTTATTAATTTAAGGTATTCCTAGTATTTCGCCTTATAAATCGATTTTATATTATCCTACGGAGTACCCAATTGCCTTATCTTTGTCTCCATCGCCTAGACGGCGTGCTAGTTACAAAATTACTGTTTTACGGCTAGAAAGTGCTCCGGAATCGACGCCGTAAGGCCCTTATTTTAATCGCTAATAATAACCCGTGGAGGAGCGTAGGTAGGCTTAAATGGCCGTATAAAGTAGTGATCCTTAAGGCACTTCCAAAAGAAGCTATACGACGCCTTGTTCTCCTTAGGGCACTAGGAGAAGGCGATTAGAAAGGTTTTACCGCTATTTAACTAGCTAACAGCGACTAGGAGAGGTATCTTTAGCCGGTTTATATTGAAAGTACCGTCGATAACGAGGTAAAAATTACTTATAAAGCGCTATAAGACCCTTATTAATTTTAGGTAAGTAAACTAGGCTTATATAAGCTTTCTACTACTAACTTTACCTTACTTAGTACTTAAAACCTCACTCCTAGTCTTATAAATCTAGTTATTCTCTTGTAATTTAGCGAGGAGACCGAGAATCGACTTCTTATCCTTACCGTCTATCGGTTGCCTCCTTACTATATTATAGAATTCTCTACTAGATAAATATAGGGTAAAATCCTCGCTTTCTAAGATCCTCCGCGAATCCGAGTATACAATTTAAGTATTGCGATGAGCTATGGCCCTCGCTAGGAGTTCCTAGAACTTATAGAGGTGCTTTTTATAAGCAGGATATATAGTAATAGGGTTTTCTATAAGTTCATAACCGTAATGATTAAGTAAAACTTATATGAGTCTCTATTCTCTGCCGTGGGAGCTATCTATTCGATCGAGAGCTATAAAACTAACTCGTACGTACTAGGAATAGTTAGTTTGACGGATATTTATAAGCTCTCGCTTACGGCGAGAAGTGACAGCGCCGTCCTCGTTACGCCTCACTCGATCCTCTAAATCGCGAGTATTAAGAGTCTCTTTACCGTAGTGAATATACTTAATGACAACCGTAGGAGAGAGTTTACTTCCTCCGCCCTTGCGAACGATATCGAAGCCTTTTGCCAACGCAAAGACCCTTAAACGCGCCTCTACCTCGCTTTTACCAGCGAAAACCTCTCCTGGAACCGGATCCTGGCGCCAGTTTAAGGGCTGAGCGTTAATATAACGCTCGATGAGGTCTCTATAATGATTAAAGCAGCCTAGAGGCGCAATCCAAGGTGAAGAGGAGGTTATTTTGATACTGGTGAAGAGGAGGAGTCACAAACACTAAATTTGGCTATACAAAAGGTCGACGGCGAGGTATCGATGCAAGAATACAACTAGCGATGCTGTACGATGGAAAGAGATGGCTGTGCGGCCAGAATCACGCCCAAAATGGACTCCCTTGGCATGCCAAGGCATATCTTGGCATTTAGAGCTCCCGAGAAATAGCTCTCCCAAATAGCTCTCCCGAAACATTCCCGAAATTGTGGCACAGCATCCTTTCCACCAAACTCTATCTTCTCCCGCTGACTGGGAATGCCGGATTGAGCCAGAAAGCCTATGCTGGAGTTCACCAGCCACGATGGAGGTGACAACTGCATCCTAAAATGACACCGTCGCACTGGCCCGCAGTTCTCAAAGGTTTGTGGTCCAGAGCCGCTCGGTGTGCGGGTTGACACTTGCTGGTGCTTGACTAGCTCCCTAAGCAATCCAATCATTTTATTGTGGACGGCCAATATGGAAATCGTAGTCTTGGGCTAGCCAACCTCGATGGTCTCCAAACCATCGATGTCGCAGAAGTCTTCGATACTGCCTATTGATATCAGCATTCGGTGAAACAATATTCACAGCAACGTCACAATGGCCCACTTCAGTTTTGCATTTATACTTGCTCATGCCATCTTGGAGGACGTTTATCTCATGCTCCAACTTGGCCCATCTCAAGCCGAATTCCATTCCTGCTGTTCCCTTCATCTTTAACCAGGCGCCAATAATGGTCACCCTACCACACAGAATGCATAATTGTGATTCCTTTACGACAACGCGGCCCAAAGCGAATTCTAAGCATCGCCTATCAGTGCTTGCTGAGGAGATTCCACTACCAGGAGCACCCCCCGTGATTGACTTTTCTGGTAAGTAGAGGCACATCATATTCTTCTTGACTCGACTAATCGGCTCGGCAGCATTCTATGGGAATAATCAATCCGAGAAGCAGCGCCTCGTGGACGAAGTTCGACAAGCATGTTTAGCGAAAGGGTTCTTCCAGATTGTGAACCATAGTGTTTCCGAAGAACTCCAATCTGCAATGTTTAGCAGTCCAAGGACCTTTTCTCTCTTTCTAGCGAAAAGAAGTTGAAACTTGATAAAGGTTGGTGGGGGGAGAAGCAGTCGACTCGTCAATGCTGACTCTTGCGTCATTATAGCTCAACACCCAAATAAGCTTGGATAGGAGCCTGTTCGATCCCAAAACTTCGAAGGGAAGACCGCTGGAGACTTGAAAGAAGGGTTTTTCATTGGGCGAAAACTTCCGGCCGATCATGAATATGTCAAAGAAGGAAGGATTCATTGTGGTCAAAATGCCTATCCACAGAGTGTGCCAGACCCGTTGTTCTTCGAGCAGACAGTCGACAGATACCATGCAACCATGACAGGATTAGCGGAAGATGTGCTCAGTGTGATCGCTATGACATTAGACCTTGATCCAGCCTACTTTCGAGAATTCTGCAGCGAGCCTGCTGCTGTCTTGAGACTGTTGCACTATCCCCCTCAGGCTCCCGACGCTAGCGAGGATGAGCGAGGTGAGAGAAACCACAGCCTATTTGTTCTAACCATTTGACTGACTCTAGTAGGCATCGGTGCGCACACTGGTTTCGGCGGGATCACACTTCTTCTGCAGGATGAAGTGGGAGGCCTCCAGGTTTTCGATGAACCCACTCTCTCATGGATCGATGTCAAGCCTACGCCCGGTGCCTTTGTGGTCAATTTGGGCAATGTGATGATGAGATGGTCCAATGACCGATATGTTTCAAATCTCCATCGCGTCATCAACAGCAGCGGCAAGGAACGCTACAGTATACCGTTCTTCTATTCAGGTAACCCTGACTTCGTGATTGGGTGCCTTCCGGGGTGCGAGGACGGGTCGAGAGGGTCCAAATATGACCCTATGAAGGTCCAGGACTGGATCTTTGGGCGGCATACCAACACATTCAAGGAAGCCAAAGGATTAAATGAGCTGTCAGCCCTTGCAAAAGTGGCGTGATGGAGTATCGGTCAGAGGCTACGCAGCCTTTTTTTCGGGTTTATTCATCTACCAGGTTTAAGTTGCTTAGTCACCATGCGTCAGCAGCCTTCCCGGCCGTGTATAGACGATCAGCATACCAGCGTCACCTACCTTTTTGTTCCCTTCATTCTTCAACTAAATACGAGTCAATTGTACTTTCTTCAAGCTATTCATCTGCTACACAATCCTGCTAACTTGATTGGGAAGTTAGACGAGGCGGGTAGCTGCAGAGATTATTCTCAATTGAGCAACTTAACTTATACCACTCCAGGTTTCCTAACAAGACACGACTGCTAACCAGCTATCTGCTGAATTTTCAATCACACAAAATCCAAAATCAACAGTTCATGGCTAATATAGGAGTCCACCAACCTTCAGAACATATATGAGCCTCCAGCCCACGGTTGTTTGCGGTCACACCAACAGCTGGTACTTGATGCGTTCAACAGTGCGGTATTCAGTATTATGTTATGTCCAACGCAAACGAGAAGTTGCATCATGCTAACGATGTGGGGAATCCATCAAGCAAGTTTTCTCGGCAAAGGCCCAATGTTCCTGAGGTATCAACAGTCAACCAACCGAGCCTAGCCAAAGTCCTTGCACCATTCGGCTCAAGCCTTTCAAGCCTTTCAAGCATAGGCCAGAATTTATCGCCAGCAGAAGAACATGCAAGCGCTTTTCGAGTCGAGTTGACCGCCCCATCTAAGCCTTACTCGTCAGAAACAACTTCTTCCTCCTCATCCAGACGAATTGCCCACAAGGGAACATCTCAGGATGCAAGCCCAACTCCACCCAACGTCTTCCATTCTTTATCAGGTCCAGATAAAGTTGCGACCTCCCACACACAAAACGTAGGCCATTTCCCATATTCGCTTGCCGCAAGAGCGTCAACAGAAGGAAGAAGCCTCTCTGATGAGGTAATTCCATTGCATCGCCGGTTGGCAAAAGTCAATAGTCCGGCCCACAACCCAGGCATTGGGAGAGATGTGAAGGGATCCGCTGTAGCTTCCCAAGATACGGTATTTAGTACAACCAAAGAACTACAGGTAGTACTATCTGCAACGAAAAAGAGGGGAGCGAATCAGAAATTGAATATACCTCGCTTGGAGAACACTACTCCCACTCAGGCCGGCAAACATGACGTGGATCAACCTGTGATGACTGGAAGAAAAGCCAAAATTTCCAAGAAACGAGAAAAGCCTCATGCTGTCTCTATTGCCAGGGTTACGAAGCCTAGCCGACGTCCGGGCCAACAGTTTGAGATGCAATGGCGTGTCGGTCAAGCTCCCAGGATTGGACTGCAACAAAGCCATGAGCAGATACAATATGAGCGTATTGTATCTTCAATAACACGTTACTACTCTGGAAATTCTGAGGCCCGTTGGAAGACTGCACTGTCTCAGAGTACGGCAAAATTGGATCAGAACTTTGAGTCGCTGCGGTACATGGGGTTGGTAGTCACTGTAGCTGCCCTCGTCACGGCGGGTCGCTCCTTGCAAGCCTATGAAGCACTGGACAAAATAATTCCGACGGCCCGAAATATGCTGTTGTCCCAGCACCCGATGAGCTTCTGGCTTCTTGTTGATCAGATCATGGACACATCGCACACCGTACTGGGTAAACTGCGTGCAGAAATTACCAAAAATCTTGCTAGCCTTGCGAGCAGTCTGCTGGGCCCCTCGCATCCGTTCACCATACTCCTCCACACTCGCTTGACAGACGAGCAGAAACGAGTATTGCGGATGAAAGCTCAAATGGTTGTTCATCAAGAGATGGTACGTGTCTTTGGCCTATATGAGTATCAGACTTTTATCCAGTTCGGATACACTGCACGGACGGTTTTGGAAGGTGGGGACCCAGGAGGAGCCATCAACATGATTAGCCAGATAAATGAAGTCCTGGAACGGCAATATGGCCTCAACTCCGCCATGCCGACGCTTGGAATGATTGAACAAGCTCGGTATGAATTTGTCAGTGGCTCCTCAAGTGTAATGCTGGAGTGCTTGCTGGCAGATGCTCTTCGACGCAATCATATACTCTTGACCGGAGGCGCGAACGGACAAGGCCAGACCTTGGATAAGGCAGAATCTGCACTCCGGAACGACGGGCTGTTGTTCATGCGTATCGGAGCACTGAGAATGCTCGGACGCGTCCACGTGCGGAGGAGGAATTTCGGAGCCGCGATACATCATTTCGAGCAGGCCGTGGTGGCTGCTCGACCGCTTCTGAAGCCAGGATGTAACACCATCAGAATGTATGAGGCCGACCTCGAGATTGCAAAACTTCTCGAGGTCGAGCAGGCGATGGGCGTTCTAGGCGCTAGTGATCCATCTGATCGACTTGCGAATCCAATGAGTATTACGCAGTGGGTCCCGGCAGAAGATAGGATGTAGCTGACTGTCTCGATAAAGATTGCAGCACCTCAGTCCGGTTTGAGCGAGGTTTTCATATATACACGATTATCCTTAGAGAGAGCCTCGAAGTCCATCATCCTTGGGGAAAGGTAAAATAACCCAATGCAAGTACAAATAAAAACATAGGTACACGATCCATCATTCAACCTTCTCCCTTGCTGCTTCAGCCTTGGGGTGGCTGATGGAAGTGGCACAAGGCTGCATCCATAGGGCTATTGCGTCACGATTACTTGGTATCCCCACCACCGTAAATCCGCTCCTGATCGCCCATAGTGCGTACACAGTACTCGTAGGAAGCACTGGGACGTCTTACTGGGCACCACGTACCGCTGAAACCAATAACTATGCCGGGGACACCCGCCGCTTCTCATTGACGAGTTGATCTCCAGGTGGGGGACGAGGGGCAACACCAAAATTTCATGTTTGTTGATTCATTTCTACATCCAATTATTGACAAAGGCCTCTGTCTCGGCTCGATCCTCATCGACGAAAATACCGCTTACCACCGTGCTCTCGGCAACCACGTTGCATTTGATCTCTTACTGGGAGAAGTGTCCAAATTGCATTCAAACCACCAACTAGCTTCGCATCGCAGCTGACGTACCACACCCTCTCTAAACATGGCTGTCGAAGCTATCACGACCATCTCGCCGACCACCAACAAACCCGTCCTCACACGACACGGCCTCGCACCCGAGGATATCCTAAAACTCGGGGTGACTGCACAGGCGGCGCAGAAATCCTATCTCCAGACCCACGCAACACTCTCCAGCCGGCAGCAGATCGTCGCGCGCGCACTCGAACTCCTCCTCCAACGACAAGATGAGCTGGCACTGGAGTTGACGGAGCAAATGGGTCGCCCGATCGCATATACAGCCAAGGAGATCACGACGGCGGTGAAGCGAGCAGAGTACCTGAACAAGATCGCGCCGGAGGTGATCGACGTGGAGTACCCAGGCGAGGCGGAGGCAGGGTTCAAGCGATACCTGCGCCGGGAGCCGGTCGGGGTGGTGCTGGTGATATTTGCGTGGAATTATCCGTACCTGATCCTCGTCAACAGCTTGATTCCCGCGCTGCTGGCCGGGAACAGCGTCATTCTCAAGCCGAGCCCGCAGACGCCGACGATCGTCGAGCATGTCGTGGAGATCTTCAAGGAGGCCGGCCTACCGGAGAATGTAATGCAGTATCTTCACTGCGGCTCGCCGACGGATCTGCAGCCGTTGATCCTCAGTCCGGACGTCAATCATATCTGCTTTACGGGCTCGGTGGCGGGTGGGCTGGCGATTCAGCAGATCGCGGCCTCGCGCGTCAATGTCTCGGTCGGCCTGGAGCTCGGTGGGAAGGATCCCGCATACATCCGGGCAGATGTGGACGCGGCGTGGGCAGCTGAGGAAATCGTGGACGGCGCTATATTCAACTCTGGGCAATCGTGCTGCTCGATCGAGCGCGTCTATGTGCATGAAGACATTTACGATAGGTTTGTCGATGCGGTCAAGAAGATCCTGGCTGGGTACCGCCTAGGCGACCCGTCGGAAAAGGCGACGCACATCGGTCCCGTGGTGTCCTCGCGGTCCAAAGACGCCATTGCGGCGCAGGTGAAAGACGCACTTTCTAAAGGCGCCAAAGACGAGACACCATCAAACGCGACCTTCTCCTCGCCTCCGTCTACAGGAGGAAATTGGGTGGCCCCCGTGCTTCTCACGCATGTCAATCACGACATGGCCGTGATGACAGAGGAGACATTCGGGCCCGTGATTCCCGTGCAGAAAGTGTCGTCGGACGACGAGGCCGTCTCGCTGATGAACGACAGCGTGTTTGGCTTGACGGCGTCGGTCTGGACCAAAGACATCGCTGCGGGCGAGAAGCTGGCCCGCCACGTTCAGGCTGGCACTGTCTTCGTCAATCGCGCGGATTTCCCGAGCCCTGATCTTGCCTGGACCGGCTGGAAGGATAGCGGCAAAGGTGTCACATTGAGCAGGTTTGGTTTTGACCAGTTCCTCAAGTTGCAGAGTGTCCATGTTAAGGAGCATCCTAAGTAGTACGAGGATGAAAACGGATCTTAAGAAGAGTGGGAGAGTATCGCTGGTATGTCGGACTATGAGATTGGCCAGTTCAGAAACGGTTCATCAACTACTGGTTCGCATTGGTGGGTAGGATGGTCTCGCATTTGGTGTTCGTAGTACCGGCGTATATGCCTACTCGCAGTTGCAGTATCGAAATATGGAAGAACGTAGCTGAATGTTTGATTTCTTGCATGGCAGTTGTTTTGGCCCATGAAGAGGCTTACCAGACCACCATGCACTAACTAACAACCTGACTCTAAGTACGGGGTCATAGAAGCGAAAATTAAAGTACAGTTTCGAATGAAAATGAGCTGAAATCGAAAGATCTTTACAGCTCATTGGGCCCTCCAGTTCATTCATCCTCATGCTGATATTGGTTCGTTTAATCATCATCATCTTCTATGTCGACATCGATGGCGTCGGGATTTGCTGCCACCCCAGTGACTGGTTTCTCTTCTTGCTTCGAAGCTGGAGGCTGATTTCCCCCCTCAGGGCCAGAACTTGCCGCTACGAATCCCACTGGCGCACGGGCTTGCCGCTCCAATGCGGCCATTGCATCAACGTTTCTATCGGGCTCGTCCTGATCGCCTGCATCTGGTGTAGATGCCACAGCAGCTTGGCCTCTCTTCACCGCCTGGCTTGCGATGTAATTGACGTCTGTGTTGAACTTGGCTGCCACGCTCCTCTTGACTCTAAGCATTTCCTTGAATGTGTCCTCGTTACCGTGGGCGACCTCGAACTTCTCCCATACAACCCAGAAAGAGTTGTCCACACGTGGGTCCGCAAACTGGCTTGCGTGGCCGTAGATGGCTCTTGCTCGATCGATCTCACCCAGCCTTCGTTCCATCTCGGCAAACTTGAGGCACATAGCTTTGGCCTCGGCATCAGGAAGCGCCGCAATTGCACGCTCGTAAATTGGCCGAGTCGAAGTCAGTCCGAAATTGGAGGCGGATTTGGAAATGTAGAACTCGAACATGGCCAGTCGATCGCCATCCGAGACGGAGCGAGTTGCTCGCTCGTATACGCGCATGGCCGACCGAGCGAGTCCACGCTCCTCCTCCAAATCACCATACATTAGGTAGATGGCTTTGGCGAACTCGGGAGGGCAGTTTTCCACAGCTTGTTCGAAAAGGTCACGGAGGCGTTCGATGCCAATTTTGTGATTGACAGCTTTGGTCAGATAGAGGTTCCACAGCTCGAAGGCGACTGGGTAGCTGAAGACGTCAAGCCCACGTTCGTATACCTTGAAAGACTCCTCGTAGTATCCCGCCTCCTCTAGAAGATTTGCATAATTGACAATGGTGTTTGGAGTAGCAATGCGAAGTTCCAAAACGCGATCGTATGCCGCCCGTGCCTCATCCAGAGTTCCGACAGACTCGACCAGGTCGATGTAGAAGGACCACACTTTCCAAGATTTGTGCACTCTCTGTTGTGGTGAAAGTGTCTCGTCGAAATATTCGACGGTGCTTCGTTTGGGTGCCTGCACAGCTTTGGCCATGACTTTCATTGCTCCGTCAAAATTGTCATTGCGAAGTTCCATCTCGGCCCATCCTACCCACGTCTCTGCCAGCTCCGCGACTGACTTGTAGGGTACCTTGACTGACTTATCTAGAATGAGCCTGGCCGTTTCTAAGTCACCCGCTTCCTCATAGAATTTCGCATAGTTAAGCCACAGCTCATGGAATTTGCCAATGGCCCTTTTTGGCGCAATAGCGGCAATTGCATCAGTATAGGTCTGCACGACTTCTTCCTTGTTGTCGCTCCAGAGTGCGACCCGCTTCTGCCATTCTACAACGTTGTTTGGGTTCTGCCGCAAGAGGACATCGTTCACTAAGAACGGCCGCCGATCCATCAAGTGCTCAAAACGCATCATGCGCATGTCCACATCGTAATCCTTCTCTGCGTCAACGACGCCCTTCGCAGCACGGATAGAGGCGGCGTCCATGAGCGTAGAGAGGATTGATTCTTCGAACTCGACATAAGCATCGAATATCATGGTGAAATCTCGCACGGTCATAACTGTAGTAACCCCCTCCTCGAAGACGTCTCGGGCTCGTTCAAAATCTCCGCGGGTGATCCAGTAGGTAGCAAGGCCTGCCCAAAGCTTGCCCCTCTGGTCTGCGAATCTTTCTATGCCACTTCGAATGATGGTATCGGCATCGAAAGACGAGACCGAGCTGTCCCCAAGCTCCCTCGCCTTGCTGACCATCAACTCAACCATCTCACTCCAGAGTTGAAATTCACTCTTGATGTGCTTGGATTTGAATTTGGGATTGTCCAGAATGCGGATGTATTGCTTGACGGCGTCCAGATAGTGACCATTGTCGACCAACAGATCTATGTAATCCTCAACGTCTTCAGGGTGCGCCTGAACATATCGGGCCCATATCTTCACAGCTGTCTCTCCGGATGCTGAGTTGGCAAAGGACTTATACAATTTCCATATGCGATTATGCTGTGTAATGGGTAGAGCTCGTAGGGCGCGATCGAACGTTCTTCGCGTCTTGGTGACGTATGGCTGGCGGAGCAGAAATGTGAGGTACATCTCCCAGACGACTGGCATCTTATTCAAGAGAACAAGGGCTCGCTCGAAGAGTGCATTGACTTTCGTGAATTCTGCTCGGTACTTGACAGGGTTTTTCTTCTTCAGATGTTTGACCCTGAAGCTCAGATACATCTTCCATAGTTTGTAGGACCTCGGAAGTCGTATGCACGCCCTCTCTTGAACAAATGCCTGCTCATGTATCGTACCATTGCGCATCTTGTAATCGATGTATGTAAGCCACGGTCGAATGCTCCCGGGATTGCGGAGGACATCTTGTTCGTAGATGGCGTCCTCGCTGGCAATCAGGTAGAAATCGGGTTTGAGGGAGTGAGAGGGTACCATGGAGACGGTCGACCTGGAGTCTGGGACCCGTACGATTCCAGGCATCGCAAGCGGTGTCGTGTCGTGCAGAAGGACGAAGCTCGCGTTTCAGAAAATGCGAAACTAACTGGCACCTCTCCGAGAAGATCAGGCGCCTGATAGAACAGGCAGGTCTAGCGAGGGAGTTATTCGGTAGAACGTTTAGCCTGAACAAGTCTTGGCAGCCTTAGGTGTGCCCGCAGCCTTGCATGAGCAGCCATCTAGAGCAGCAGCTGCGGTGACTTCTGTCACTTCATGCTGTATCTCCCTAACATTCCCATCCTATACCTCACCCGCGAGACAGACAAAGGGCGCAGGTGCGCTTGACATCCAATATGTCCTCAGGCGCAGGGGTATGCTATCTTTGTGGTGCGTGACATGACCAGTGCTAACACGATCCAGCGGGAGGCCGTCTTCCCAACCCGACAGGCCTTGGGCCAAATGAACAGTAAGCTGAAGGGCGCTCAGACAGGCCACAGCTTGCTCAAGAGGAAGAGTGAGGCTTTGACGAAGTAAGGAAATAGCGCACTGGTTCTTGTACATATGCTAACTATAAGTTCTAGGCGGTTTAGAGGTGGGCAATATTAAGAGCCTCTGTTCGATGCTGTGCTGAACCATTACAGAAATTCTCAAGCGAATTGATGAAGCGAAAAGAAAGATGGGCAGAGTGATGCAGATTGCTTCATTCTCGCTCGCGGAGGTCAGCTACGCCGTCGGCGGAGACATTGGCTATCAAATCCAAGAGTCTGTCAAGAATGCACGCTTCAGGATTAAGACCAAACAAGAGAATGTTTCTGGCGTTTTCCTGCCTCAGTTCGAAGGCTTCACAAAAGACGAGATCAATGACTTTGGCTTGACCGGCCTTGGAAAAGGTGGTCAGCAAGTCCAGCGGTGCCGAGAAACATACACTAGGGCCGTCGAAGCACTAGTCGAGCTCGCAAGTCTGCAGACAGCCTTTGTTATTCTGGATGAAGTTATCAAGGTGGTTAATAGGCGAGGTATAATGTCTCACACACGATCTGGGTGGCGTATGCTAACGACTCAGTTAACGCTATTGAACATGTTATCATCCCACGAACTGAGAACACTATCAAGTGTATGGCGGACCTCCTTTCGCTGTATATGCGCTAACGAGACAATAGATATCAACTCCGAACTCGACGAGCTTGACCGTGAAGAGTTCTACAGATTGAAGAAGGTTTCCAACAAGAAACAGCGAGACCAAGCAGCCGCGGATAAGGAGATTCTTGCACAGAGAGAGAAAAATAAAAACGCAGCAGCGACATCGGAGAATCAGGAGGCCGCAGATGTGCTGGGTGAGCATGAAGATGACGATGTTATCTTTTAAGACTACTCATGCTTACAAACGCCTACCGAATCTACCACCCAGCCCGCCTTTATGCAAGGGTATCAAGCCTGTAAACCTAACTCCAGTAGAGAATATGATGCTTTTCATGACGGCGTTGGAAGCTGCAGCCATATTTAAGCTCGTTGATAAGTGACTCTGATACCTTTTCCCTCGTCACCAAGCTGCATCCCCGCGGTGGCCTCCTTTGCACTGATGGCACCAGCCTCCGCTTCGTATTCCACGAATGCGATGCCTTTTCTCCCGGGCACCATTCTGACCTCCTTGAAACCTTCGAATCGGCTGAATATCCTCGACAAACCATCGGCATCGTAGCTGTCCGGGAGATCGCGCAGGAACAAAATCTTGTTCGGAGGCAAGTACTCGTCCGGTATGATCGCAGCATTATTCGTGCCAGAGGCCTTGAGACCCGCACCTTTGACAGCTTTGACGGGTCTCGCGGCCAGACCAGACGGATCCTGCGGTCCAGCAGCTGGTGCCGGCCGCTTCAATTTCTGTTGTGTTGCCTCCAACGCCTGCTTCCTCTCTTTTTCTGCAAGTCTCGCCCTCTTCCACTTCTCGAGACCTTGCTCCCCGTCTTCTCTCAGGACAGTGGCATCGGACCTAGTCCGTGCGAACTCTAGTTGCATGGGCTTATCGAAAAGCTCGAAGCCGTTGACTTCTTCGATCGCCGCGGCTGCAGCTTCAGGTTTGTCGAAGACAATGAATGCCTGGCCTTTCGCTTTGAGGTTGGTCTTCGCGACGAGGTCGACGATGGTGCCAAACTCGGAGAAAATCTCGGTCAGTGCGGTTTTCAGTGCGTCGACCTTTATCCGCTCTTCGAGGTTCTTGACGTAGATTCTGCGTTCAAATATATTAGCATCGTGACCTCGGTGTGCGCAAGAGGGATGTCGCTCATACGTCGAACTGGGAGGGTTTTGCGTTGCGCTCGCCATCACCGATACGTGGTAAGTAGAGAAGTTCGAGAGACCGATAACCCTGTATATACTGCCATTCAATAATAGTTTGCACAACACGTGGGGAGCGGGCAGTGACGAGGCTTTACAGACGATGTCCTCTCCCTTAGGGTCACATGAGATGCCTTGGCTGTGGTCACGTGCGCTATTATTTTCTTGCCGCTTTTAATGCGCAGGAAAGGGACGAGAATCACATCCGCCTCATCAGCGATTTCGCAATGTGGGGAACTGCTCTTGCTGTCGCTTTCACCTCGACAGCATCGTCCACTATTGCGAAACGTGTTTATTGTTCTATGCTCATTCATCACCTGACGGACTTGATTTACCTTATGAAAATTCAGGCTATGCTGTTTATTGAGAAAAACTATTCGGCGTGAAATTAATTATTACCAGGCTCCAAAACCAGCTCAAAGTTAACTCTTAGCTTGTCAGGCAAACGCGCGAGGATCTTATGTCCATGCTCGTTGGTCCCGTGAGCCTTCCCGTGTGGCATGCGGCCTATTGTCTTTGCTCCCTCTTCGTTTGATGGTTTGAATATCACAAGACGGATCGCAAAAGGCCTTCTGTCAAGAGCAGCCCTCATGAGGACGGAACCTAAACAGTCACCCGCCACACAGCATCTTTCTCCATTACCGCTCTATGCTTATAAGGCATATTCAGCATGCGATGCCGAACGGTCCAATGGAGAACTGGATCCGAGCCCATAATAGGGCGGGGCAGAGCCATATTCATACCCATCCTCGCAGCCCAAACTTTCGTAGAAGGGTTGAAGAAGTGGTAAGTGACCGGCCAAAATTCCGTGAGCCACCAGAACACCTTCAACAGATGTTGGTCATTCATGGGCTGCAGGCTTTCAAAATAGTCTTCAAGCTGCTCTGGTACCAATTCTGTACTTGCTTGGCTTGTATGGCCATCGGGGGTATAGTAAGGTCAAAAAAGCCTCTCCTCTTGACTGGGCTTTTGATGGGAGTCAGCAGACTCGACCTTCTTGTTTTCGGTGGCAAGCCTAATTCGTAATACTTAAGCAGAGAAGGCGATGGACCAAGAACTGGTTCTTCCAGCCTTGAGTACCTTGGCCACAGATCATGGACATCGAGACTCATCTCCGCCAGGGTCTTGGTGTTGAAGATAATACCCGTATCACATTCAAAGCACTACCGAATCATCCACCGTAAGGGTATGTTTGAGAGCCTGTGACGCTCCTCGTTGCGTACGGCACCACCTCCCACGTCGCAGTGACAATTCGCGAACCAGACTTCTAGGAGGTCGGTTTTTGCAGGCCTCTGAGGCTTATGATGCCTCCCATGGGCCAACTCGGATGCCTTCATTCCGGCTTGTATGTTCCCTTTCATCATGTGAGGTTTCACGGGTCCGCCATTGAGAGCTTCGTGCTTGTGGGCAGACCCGTTAGCTTGCTCAGGTCTCAGCCTTTCCGTCAGTGTTGAAGTAGTGCTCCCTCGCAGATCCTCCGGACTCACAAAGTCGGCCCCTTCAAAGCGACATAGCTTGAACTTAGCACGGCGTTCGTCCAAAGCCATAGCATGTCTCACATAGTGACATTTTGCTCGGGCTGTGGTGCTGAAAGGCAATTCTCGCGGGATGAAGCCAACGCTTGCAACGCTATCAAAAAGTCCAAGGAAGTAAATGCTGACATTGGTGCAGAATGTTTTCTTAACCTGTGCACTATCCTCCCGCCCTTTGGGACTGTCATCCTTGTAAAAGTCGTAGGCAAAAGGTATTTGAGCAACGTTCCGTTTTGGTAAAAGCCCAACCTTGTGGACCATTCTAGCCAAACAGCGGGCCGTATATGCTCCCCTAGAGAAGCCGGAAATGCATATTTCGTCGCCTTTTTTGTACGTATGCATTAAAAAAATTATATGCGTCTCTGATGTGAAGTCCTAGAAGACTCCCGACAGCCATGTCAAGGGTAGCTTCAAAGCCAGTGCCGAGTCCGTGATCACTGTAAGTACCAATTCCAGCTTGGTAGTACGTGTTCTGATATTTGTCATCTTTCTTCAGACAGCTAACCAGATGCACGATATTACTATTATCGCCGTCAAATTTATCCCTTGTTCCATCCAAGCAAACAACAATAGTTGGTCCATGATTTTGAAGTTTTTCTGCGTCCTTCAATGCAGGGATCTTTGCTGGAAGTTGTACCGATGTGAGACCCTCCTTTGCTGGAGGACTTGTACAAGGTTCAGTTTCTGAGGACTGGGCTGGGTAAGTATGTCGACGCCACCGATGCGAGGTTTCCATGGTGTGGACGGATCCCTCAAATAATTAGAACACGTTACTGAAAACTTCTAACGAGAAGTCCTGGTGTTTAAAGTTCGATTGTGCTAGCTTCACAGTAGTCGCCCACGACCAACCGCCCTGGGCGTTTTCTACCATGCCGATCTTGGCAGCTTCTGCAGGACTTCCATCGGGTTTGCCGGGCGCAACGCTGTGGAATTTGGAGTGGTGCTCGTGGTATAATTGCTGGATTTCGGAGACGCTCCTATGGCGGTGGGCGTCCGACTCGAATAATCCCACAGCAAGACCGTCTATAGTCAAGCGTTCTTTGACGTCTTGCGTGGTAATAGGGTCAGCCAACATGATAGCTAGCCCGGCAAGGCCGAGTGCGAAAAGAACATATATGGCTTTAAGTGCGATGAGGACATAAAGCGGTAATACGGGCACTTTGGTCACAAGGACGTTATTGAATCGTTCTCGCTCGAAGATGTTCTGGGAAGGTATCATAATTCCGGCCGCCAAGGCAGTAGCAGCCTGAGAGAACTGATTGCGAAAGAGTTGGCGAGCAGGTCTGGTTGGTGCTGATATGCAGCCAATGCCGCCGCATCTTGAGGGCTAAGGTGGCCGAGGGCAGAATTCATGGTAAAGGCCGCTGAGAAGATAGCCCCATAGGCAGGATCTGCCAGTTTTAGTGCATAGAGATTGCCTGCCACGACTCCGCCGTCGGTCCAATTATACTTTGCCTCGTATACTGCCATTGAGCAGTTTAACACAAAGACCGGATCACCTGATTCATCATAGCCAAGATAATGATTGTCGCGCATGTAGCTAAATTGGTCTGCTGAGGTGTCGATAGAGGAAAGCCCTTGGACCACATCAAGAAAGGAGCGGGATATATTGAGGTGAAGAGCCCTTTGGACGCATTGCTGCTGACGGGACTAATCAATGCACTATCATTGAAGAATTGTATACCGCTGGTTGACTGATTAGCAGGTCCTGTAGCAGATGTCGGGTCCACTCCCACTGCTCCAGACCATGCAAAAGATGGGGCGGTATAGTTTCCGCAGGTGAAACCAGTGCCGTTGCAATTCTGTGTTATGATCCGACATTGTGTGGTCACTGCAAAGGTATCGGTGGTGAAGTCCTGAGAGGAACTGCTACGCTTGTCCCCAAGGAAGTAATGCTGCGAATCGTACGAGCCGGCTGTGACATTGATGACGAAATTTGTGTAAGAGTTATTCATCAACACTTCAGCGGCTTCTTGGGCATGCTGCAAGCCAAACCTCTCGGCACCGGTGGACGCATTCCAATCAGTAATGCTACAGGGATAGTCACAGGTGGATGAGCTATCGCCTATACAGGGCAGTTGATGCCACAGAGAACTGCAAATGTTGGAATTCAGCTCACGGCCGTACGCAAAAGTTTGGTTGGACGCCGTCAAGATGTCGACAGTTGCTGGTTGTGTGGCTACACCAAACCAGCTGTCAACTCCTTGTATAGCAAGACTGAAATTTCAACCGTCAGTGCTGTTAATCAGAAGAAGTTGCGGGGAATGAAATTACGACTTTAGACTTACGTTAGAAGACGAAGGCAAGGGGCACCGGCTGGACTAGCGATTCGTGGTTTTGGAAGCGATACTTTAAGGTATCCCACAGGGGCCGGATGCCACTTCCGCTGAGCAAGCTGATAAGAATTGACACTTGGTGAGGTGTTGGCATTAATTTTTGGTTCTTCAACTTCGTGACATTGATGATTCGACGTCCGGCAAAAAAGGCTACAAGGGCCATTGATGTGCTTGTGATAAAGGGCATAACTTTGCCGGTTGTATAAGCAACCGTATGCAAGGTGCCAGGTGGACTGGATTTAGTGGCCCACAGCTAATAAACACTATCGCCTCCAGCTTTGAGCTTACTGATTTCAGTCAATGCTTGGTTGACGAAATCTGTTGTCTGAACTTGGGCAACGTCTTGAATTACCATGTATGGCTCTTTGATCTGGTTCTTGAATATGAGTGACAGTAGTACTGTACAGACAGCAGCGACCGGAACGCAAGGGAAGAAAGCCCCTATCAGCAGCGATAGCGTTGGCCCCTCCATAATCTCGTGCTGAGCATCCCCAATTGATACGAATGGCGATTGTGGAATAAGGTCTTCATTTTCGGAGGCATTTTGTTCACTCTTTGTCAGTGATGGTGTAGGCGGATCTGCAGTTGGTGTCGCTTTGACTGAGTCCATTCCCCGAGCAGAGCTCGGTTTCAACCACATCTAGAAGAAGGATGTGAGCATAAAAATAGTAGCGTAAAATAATTTCTTAGAAACAGAAAGCTGTTAATAGAAGAAACTGTTTGAAAATTCAACAGGTGCATAGTCCTTCTTTAATTTCGATGGGTCAAGAAGTCGCAAATTTCAAAATCTTTTGAAGCACAATAGCCAGCCAGAAACCGGTAGTCAGCGAATGCCCAATAATCGTTAGTAACAGCACGATAGAACATCACTCCATGTATCGCAGGATTGGCCTACTTCAAGTCAACCCTGGTAGTGTCCTGGTCCAAGTAAAGCTTCGTTTGCCGAGAGACGAACAATGAAGCGGGACATTCAAAATAGGTAAGAGATCCAGCTGGGCTGTGCTGAATTCTCTCCGGACAACTCGGAGGACGCAGAACAGGCCGCGTACAAGTACTACATTCCCTATTCACCGAGGTTCTTGAAAGTGCGACTCACCTGCAGCCCTGCGTGCCCAGACACGACAAGTGAGGCGTGCAGCAATGCTTGAGAAAACAAGCTCATTCATCAACGCCACCACCTGGATCTCGGGCAATTTTGCCGACCTTCTTTCTGGGCCGCAAGGTTCAGAAGCAGATTCGAAGCAGCAGCCAAGCAACAGCATTGGTCAAGAGATGCATATGCATTCTCAAATCCGACCCACACAGAATTGCCATGTGTTAAACCAGGGCCCAGACTGTGTGGGATCATCGTTTGTACACTCGCAAGGGCAGCAAGATTGAACCCTACAAGCCTTAGGCAACACAGTACCCTGGAAGCCATAGGCGGCATATGTCGAGATCACTGAAGTACCCGATAAGGAAAATAACTTTCAACATACTCCAACAGTGATCGTCGCCCCAAATCTTGAGCTCGCTCGCTGAAGAAGGCGGCAAGGACGCCAGTGCATCGGTTCTAATCAACAGACCCAGACCTTTGAGGCGCCTGGCTCAGCCCTAGGATCCTCCTACTTTAGGAACATCCAACACCATCTGACACTTGAAGGTTGAAGGCCGGTTACGACTTCCAAGCGCGTTTCAAGAAAGTGCCAACCAACTTTCAAATTTGCACGACCGTATTTGTCAGACGCAGTCGCATAGGGCTGTTATAGTAGCGCGTCGCATCGCATGCGAACATCACCTTCACCACTATTTACATCAGCCATGTACAGCCTTGCCACTCGCTTTCTTGACCCACTCTCACCCACTATTGTCTGGTAGGTTATACAGCAAGACCACCTATACCCTTTTTGCCATAATTAGGGCTGCTTGTTCTTTTGTATATAAAACCCGCGAGCCTTGCACTGCTGGTTACGACTACAAAGACGACTTCGAAAACGATGCCCAGAGACAAACCGGACGGACAAATCATATCGATCTTTACTAAGCGCAAGTTCTTTCACTGGACAAGACTGCGCGCAGCTCCATACTATGACAGTTCTACTAGATGCTTTAGTATCATCAGCAGATGAGTCAATGAGATTTCGCACCTGAGCAGGATACATCAGAACATCATAGACACAATCACCATTAAGATAGGTTGACGCAACCGTGCTCAGCCTCCTATTCCCGTTACCATGAATGGGAACTAGTCCCTTCGCTTTGGCGCTATAGCCAAGGACATAAGCTCGATGCTGCCGGAAAGACATCCGATCAATAATCTTGAAAGGTACCCAGCGTAGACTGGAAAAGCGCTGCTGAGGAGCAATGTAGGAAGGAACGACCATCGTTCATTAGGTCGTACCATCTGTACGTGATAAGCAGCTTGCAGTTTTCTGAAAGAGCAATGTCATGTTCTAACAGACCTTTGTCAGACCATATTATGCACATCTCTGTTGGCCTTTTACCTCGATTTTATCCTATTGAGTGGGCTCAGGGACAAAAATTAGCCTAATTTTCAAGGCCAGAGTATCATAATCTCACATAAGCATACTAGTTGTGGATCGTTTAGAATAGGAGGTCTACTATTTCAAGTAAGGATAGAATTTCAGGGATGGGGCCCGAATGCTCGCCAACGACGTATTGTCCTTCCGCAGAAGAAAGAGACAGTCTTATGGTATCAATTGAATGCTAAGACCAGGTTGAACCCCCCCCCTCAATCCGCTTGGTGGATGCTTCTTTATACTACCATACCAGCCTTCGCAGATGCTGATAATATCCGAGATACCTTTTTTCCTGCTCCGTTCATTCTTCCCGCTTCATAGCCTGGTACTTGTACGCAATGCTGGTCTTACGACCCGATGTTCTTATGAACAAAGGTCGGACATATCACCAATTTTTCATCCCATGGTGCGCACACGCCCCGGTCCTTTTGTACCATCATTGCGTCGGTCATGCTAGAATCAATCTCAATGTCGTAGAGTTGATATATTCTAGCAAGAGTGAGATGGAGACCGATATCCGCCATATGCTTCCCAATGCAGTTTCTTGGACCGTAGCTAAATGGCCGGGACATGTTCCTCATCTCGGCTGTTGCATTCAACCATCGCTCAGGAATATATTCAGTAGGGTTATGAAAGACCTTTGGGTCACGACACGTCACGTATGCCGGGGTGGCGACTTGAACTCCGGCGGGAATAAAGTGATCACCGACCATTTTGCCTGGCGAGACGCGCGGAAAACCAGCGCTAAGGGGCCCCCAGATTCGAAGAGTTTCTTGAATGCAAGCTTTCAAGTACTCCTGAGTGATTGGTGCATATTAGTGATAGCAAAACAAGAAATGGATCAGTATTATTCTCTTACCAATTTCTCCGTCTCTTCGTAGGTGGGCTGATGACTCGGGTCTGGGAATGCTGACCGAATCTCATTGAGTAGCTTGCTTCTTACCTCAGGTCGTCGGCCAATTTCCCAGATCGTGTATACTGTGGTCACAGCAGTAGTGTCGCTTCCTGCCACCAGGAAGAGAATCGTATTTTCAACCAGCTCTGGAAGTGTTAGCTTGCTGCCTGTGTCTGCGTCAACGGCGTCCACCAGGTTCCGTAGGAATGTCCCTTTCGCAAAATCCCCATCCTTTTCAGTCTTGGCATAAAAGTCGTTTACAGACTTTTGCGCGAATTCGATCAGTCTGTTCAAGCCTTTGTAGCCATCTTGGATCTTCTTGATAGGGACGTAACGTAGCTGCGGGAAGAAAGCTTGTGTAGGTACAACCACCATGAAGGCGTCCAAATCATCGTGGTTCAAGGGTCCATTTCCAGAAACAGAGTCGAACGAGGTCCCGAAACTGAAGTATGTAGTTATGTCTAGGTAGTGATCCATCATCTTCGAGAAAATGTCTACTGATCTGCGCTCTCTCGCCGCAGGAGCAAAGACAATATCGACTAATGTTGCCACTTTCTGCCAGATCATTGGTTCATCCTGAAGTAGCCCCTTCAAAGAGAAGGCGTGAGACACTAGTCGTCTCAGCCGAGCGTGCGCCGCTTTGTTCCTCTCATTCAGGATACTGACTGCTCCCGTTGCGGTAAACATATCATAGAATACCTTTTCCTTTTGGCAGGGATTGGAAGATTGGCCGTAAATATCTTGCCACGATTTCATATCGGAGAAATAGAGTTCATTTGTGCCAACCCTTACTGGGCTACCATACTTCTCGAGCATTTTGTGCTGCCATCGAATTCGATTCATCTTGAACATTGCCAACATCGGGTAGATCGATGTAAATTTGGCAAGAAAGGGGCCTGGGTATTTGGCCAAAGGATGGAAAAAAATGCAATATATAATTCTTGTTACAATACCTACCAATGGTAGGATTAGTAAAATTAGCGGCCGAGGAGAGGTCTGTAGTTGAGCCATCGTAGTCGGGAAATGCGTGGCTGTGTAATCAAATGAGACCACAATAGATTTTCCTTAGGCTCTTTCGTAAACTCCCACAAGAGCTGGTAGAATACATGCCACGATTGAAATACTTTTGGAAATAGCCCTTCACATCATTCCAAACGGAAAGAGGACTATGGTCGACATTCAACTTCTTGGAACCTCGGACTATTTGGAGCGATCTATCACGTCTTATTGGTGCTGTACTGTATACCTCCGAGCTCCCATGGGTCTCGGAGTAAACATTTCGTCTCGGTCCGGGTTGTGTTAGAGTGCTTTGGGCCTGCAAGGCACCAGGCAGATCCCTTAGCGTGGCACTTTGACCAAAACGGTTGAACCAGTGCTGATCACATTGGAGATCCTGGAGTAGGATCTTTCCCTATCGTGGATAGTTTCGCTAGCAAATCGAACTAATAGTCAAACAAAAGGTGATGCATGTGCGGACAAATTTGAGTCAGTTTCTATTCGTTTCCGACCCGGATTCAAATCCCAATCCTGTCTTAGGTCACTAGAATATAACACCTCTAGCATCTATTACATGGGATTTACTGCAATCCTTGTTGGTGGTTAATTTGGCTCGTCTTTAAATAAATTAAAGAGGAAAGCTGTGAGTTGAAGGGTGAAACTTGTTTCAGGTGTTCCAAGAGTAGGGATGTTGTATGTAAACCTCGCTGTCGGTGCCAGTACCTGGCTGCCAGACTCCCCACATTTCCAGATTCCAGTCGTCATTCGGATTCCAATTTTGCCACTAGATATTGATTAGAATCAGCAACTGTCGTATTTTGAGTTGAAGGTGTCCTCACATCTCTGGTAATTCCATTTCCGTCAGTTGCAGGCTCACTCATTGGCTCCGGGCTAGAAAATGAAGAATTGGCAGTTGGCAGATTCTCTACATCAGAGTGAATGTGACTGGGAGCTCCGATGGGAGTCTCCACTGCGCTGCGAGCGAGAATTGCAACGTCTTTCACCAGCGGCACTGACCACTGCGAATCTGTAGAGTATTCGAGCCGGGCAAAATATCCGGTGGCAACGTCCATCAAGTAGAGATCCGTCCTGGAAGAACCCAGGGAAGGATCGTGCAGGATGCCAATGAATAGGTTCACTACAGCATATAAGGGAGAATAGTAGGCCACCCTAAGATTTGGGTTAGCGAATGAAGTGCAGTTGCACTGTCCAACAAATGACTTACGACATAGGACAACTTGCGTCGATTTGGATCAACCGACAGTCTAATATAACGGCTCTCGATGTCTCTGCGACAATTGCGCAGGAGTTGACAATTTGGGATTGGAATTCAGAATATCGCTCCAATCCGATGATGTCGCGAAACCAGGGATGTGCTAGGGTTGTATGAATATCCCAAACCAGGTTGTAATACAAAAATTGTAATGATATAGCTTGCCGCATATCAAGGCCAGCCGGAAGCTCCGTCAACTTCATTGGGAGGTCAATTTGACACTGATTCTGTAGATTTATGCGCAAATCTTCCAGCTTCACGTCAAGTTTAAGCACATTGTCAACTAGTTCTTGCGGGGCCTGGCGACACCCTGCTGCTTTGGAGAGCATCTTCCGTGTAATGGAGGACAGGTGACTAATTTTGATATATGCCTGAATATATCTCATGCTTACCGAGCCATCTGTTCCGTTGGGATTGGGTAAATTACAATTAATTTCTTCATCATCGATGATCTGTTCTGGAGATTAATTTCTGCATTTCGAGAGACAGCTTTCGGGTTTGAGAGGACTAACCGAAGGTCGACCTGAACGGCAAGAAATTTGTTTGTCGAGACAATAGATAGCCCAGAACACGCTTTGCCGTAGCGATTTCTCCCCTTCAGGTAGCTTCCAGGATGGCGATGGCCGGGTATGTAATCCTTGCCCACATGCAAGTCGATATGCAGTCGCAACGAGTATGTATTGTACCATTCGGCATGACACAGCTTCCGCAAAGTAAGCCTTTCTCAAGTTAGCTTCGCAAAGTTTCGACTATTTGAGAGGGTGAAACTACCATTAGGGTCAATGCCTGTGCGCCCATCACCGAAGTCCGAAAACAAAGAATTTCTGTATGTACAGAAAGCGCGTTCTCGAAATATGACCAGGACTCTTGCTGAGCTTCGGAATAAGACGCTGTCTTGGACGATACCACTCGACATCCATAAGCGAAGATGATGTTTCGCATTGCGAACCACGAAAAGTTATCCTCATTTTTTGAGCTTTTGTAAAATGAACGGAGTCTCGATTCGAAACATGAACGCTGAACTATTCCCAGGGCTGCTTCAGGAGTTTCTTCAAAGAAGGCCTTGGTGAATCTGAGGGCGTCATCAAACCCAGGCTCCTCTTTCCGGCGCTTTGTCGGTTGTTTCTCCAGCTTTAGCATCCGTGCCACATTTTGTGTGAAATCATTTGCAGTGGCTTGAAAATCAGGCTGTTTCAATTTCACCCGTTCTTTGACCCAGGCTATACCAGCTAATGAGCAGATCGACATGCTAGTCCTGGGACCCCAGTACTCAATGTCCTCCCTGAAAGTGTGATAGCCACCAGTATCTTGACAGTTGGATATAGCAACTGAGTATACTGGGCTTTCTAGGCGCTCCCAGGGTGCTTCGCCAGAATCGAACTGTGAGGGTGTCTTCATCATGACTGGCCGTATGCTACTCGGTGGCGGAGTTAACGCCCCTTGATCGCGATGAAATATCTCGGTAGATATTTCTACAGCTCTGTAGGGTTGTCCAGATTCCAAGGGATCATGGCATCGCGGCTGACTTGGTGTTGAGTGTCTTCCTTGAAGTTTATTTGGGACGGAGACATCATTTAACTGCTAAAGTTAGTTCAACGCTCCATCTGCTTTTACTGCGAATATGTCACCTGGTAGCCAATTGAATCTGGCGGTTGACTTTTCAAATTCCCAGAGGAGCCCACCGTGTCAAACAGGTCTTTAACATGATCAAGTCGCTGTGACACCGAGCGCAGCTCATCTCGTTTTCTCTTCTGGCGACGCCGACGTGGAGTGAAATTGCATCCTAGCCCGTGCTTAACACAGTTGCTACATGGATTGTTGCCCGCACATCGGATCTTCTTGACTCTGCAAAAATCGCATGCATGTGAACCCTTGGGGATAGCAGTTCCGAAAGGGAGGTTACTGTGTTGATCATCAACAGTCGAGTATAACATTATCAAGAACTAGAAAGGAAGGCTCCTGGTAACATTGGGGTTCGATTATCGTCACAAATATCGCAACGTAACCAAATTCTATGCACCCTGTAGAAACATCGACAGAAAGCTACACTCTTTCGCATTTCGGTTTGATGCGACTGCTCTCGAAGCTCCTTTTTGTGACGTAACAAACTGAACAATGAGGGGCAATGCCAATGCGTGTTATTTACCTCTAAGTGGTTGGGGTAAAACCTGGGGTTCCGACACAGCAAGCCAAAGCTACTTGGCTTTGTAGGGGACAAATACACCTTTTAAGCCCTAGCCAGTGCAGAATGCTGGGTCCGTGGACCAACATGTCGACCACAGCTTCAAAAGCGTTTGCCCCTAAGGCATAATTGCGAGGAAGTTTGATACCTTTCCATCCGACGCAGAGGCAGCAGTGTACTTAGCATGTAGATGCTTAGACACAACTTCTTGGTGTGAAGACGTTCGGTTTTTGGTTAGTTTCGGATCCCTAGATCTCGCAACCAACATTGTATCTCCCAGTTGTGCCTTGAGCCGAAACTCCGGTTCCCGAAGCGGGGTATGGAGTTGGCTGAGCTAACTCAACGCATCATTAACTAGGTCATGGATATAGCGAGACTAAATCTCGATTTCAGACTACAGTGTAAGAGTTGCACACAAGGTTTACGTTGTAACCGTGAAGATTGGGAATGCCTAACCAGAAAAATGAATACGATCAACTCCGGAATGGGAATAGTTGAGTGATGTTAAACAGAATTTTTGCCTTCATTGCAGAGTATAAGCCCTTAGAATCTTTGTTTTCTGTTCCGTACTGAGGTCGCTAGCTACATGGAGGCTTTCCACTTTGACAATATTGCGTGCAAAGCTTGCCCCAAGTTGCATGATTGGGACTATCATCACTAAACGCACGTAAAATAATGGCCGGAAGCGTTTTTCGCTTCGGACGAGGTTCCCCTGCGTAAGGTCTCTTTCCGAAGGGCTCGGAATGAGCCAACGTTCTTCTAATTTGATATTCAGACTCACAAAGGGCTTCATGGCCAGCCCTCTCAGTAAACGGGTATCGTTTAGACTTCCGCGGTGAAGACAGTCGTGCATATTGAACTCGAAGCTTGGTTCGAGTATTATGAGGTTCTCATCAGAGCCATGGTCTGGAGGCTTTGATACTGCGCGATACACATTGATGTACAGCCTCTCACCAGTCGCATGGCTATCCCTGATAATTGTGATTTCTTTGCTGTCCAGGGCCGTCTATTTACATATCTCGTCCCCACTTGCAAAAGTACCTGGTCCATTCATCGCCAAGTTCAGCAGGTGGTGGCTTGCCTATCACGGATGGCGAGGAGACTTCCACCGGCTCCTGACAGTTCTGCATGCAAAATACAGCGACGTTGTACGAATTGGTCCGGATGAAGTTATCACTATCTCTCCAGACGCTGTCAAGAAGATATACGGTATGTCCATGTGGTGAAAATGTCACAGAAGGCTTCATCATGGTTGATGCTCACTTTTCTAGGTGCGGGATCTCAATTTCGCAAAAGCGAATGGTATCTCCCTCAACAAGGTCAAGTCAACGAAAGTTCGACTTATTTGCCGAAAGAGACATCGTCACTCATCGTAACCACAGACGTCTGGTGAATAACGCTTATGCCACCAGTTCATTAAAAGAGCTTGAGCCTTACATGGACAGCTCTATCGCATGCTTTATGAATGCCTTGTATCATCTGCAGGGACAGTCTATAGATATGGGTCTCTGGCTCCAGCTATTTGCATTTGGTATTGTGATTGATGCATGTGTTGAAGAATCCTACAAACCTACTGACAAACATAGATGTTATTGGCGAAGTGACCTTTTCACAGCGCTTCGGCTTGATGGACATTGGCAAGGAATCGGATGTCATTAAGCAAATCAAAAACGTCTTGAAATCGACATCGTGGGTCGGACAGGTGCCATACATCTACAAGATCCACCAACTGCTAAGTCCAATCGTTGGGAACAGGCTCTCCCTCACAGCAAGGAACGGAAGTCTCCGTCAGTTCACAGCGGATCAGGTACAGTCCAGGGTATTGCGTGGAAGCGATCATCGGGATATGTTGGGAAGATTCCTAGAGATCAACAAAGCTAAGCCGATTGACTTTGATGAAGCTGCTCTTCTTTCAATGACTGCAAGCAATGTAGCGGCAGGTAGTGATACTACTGCAATATCGCTCCGGTCCATGTTATATTACCTACTTAAGGGCTCCAGGTGTATGCAAAAGCTTGTAACAGAAATCGAAAAGACGACAGAGGGAATGCCGCCATACTCAGTAGTGACCTATGAGCAAGCTACTGCGATGCCATATCTCCAAGCTGTGATGAATGAGGCAATGCGAATCCACTCTATCGTTGGCCACAGCATGCAACGAGTTGTTCCTAGGGAAGGCATTCAGATTGGACAATACTACATCCCAAGCGAAGTATGTCGTGTTCAAGTGTAAAAGGATTTTTCGCTAACGGATCTAGGTCATAATAGGTACAAGCCCTTACGTACTCGGTCGATCCGAAGGCATTTATGGACCTGACGCCAAAACTTTTCGCCCGGAGAGATGGCTTGAGGATGGAAAGAAATATGATCTTTGTAAGTCAAACGTTCATCGGTGCGCTTGCCTAAGTCTGATGATAATCTTGAAATAGGGTCAGGTTATCTTGCTTTTGGAGGTGCTTCAAGATTGTGCATCGGTAAAAGTAATGGAAACCCTCTAGATGAAGGCGCTTTTGGAAATGACTAATATGCTTGATAGATATTAGCCTGATGGAAATGTCCAAGGTATGAGCATCAACAGCTTACAGTGCGATGAGTTTTTGCTTATCTGATATGAGGTTCTCGTCACTCTACTACGGAATTTCGTGGTAGAGCTTGCCTATGCTGATTCTGAATGGCAAGAGGCTTGCTAGTAGGTGGACAAGAGTTAAGTATGCTGGTAATTTTGCTAATAGTTGCAGCGTGTTCGTCCACCAAACAGGGTTGAATGTTAGACTGCGTCCACGAGAAGTTCAAATTGTCTATTAAAGAATTTTTCCTACTGTCGCTTCGAAAGATTTCATGTGTCATGGCCATGGCATAGAGGACACTTTGGAACGAAATAGATTAAGTCCCATAGCGTAAAACATGACTCAAATGTGCCAAACTGTAGATCCTTACTGAAGCTGCGTGTGAAGCACTACCAAGTTGGTAAAGAGCGGACTCTGAAGGCAACATACTGTCTCGGGAGTAAGCACAGTTCTGCTTTAATGAGAACTTCTCAAACCCTAAAAACCCGCAGCTTTTATCTCTGCCATCAATCTAACCACCAATGGTCTTTTCCTCTCCATGATATTCCTCGACAGGTTCATCTCCTTTAGCATCCTTCACCTCGTATCGATCAAGTGGGGCGTCAATTTTAGCGTTGAACTCTTTTGTTGGGTCAATCAAGAAAGCGGTGGCTGATCGATATTAGCCAGGGACTTGGTACATAGGAGATCGGTAGGCTCAATCGTGCAAACTTACCTGCAATGCCCAAAAGGGCAAAAGCGGCTGCACAAATAAAGACATCGCGAAAGCCGATGGTGAAGGCAGACTTCAAGGCTGCTCCTGCCGCTTCCACGACCTCAAGGTTAACACCAGGCAGCTGCAGTGCCGTATTGACGGCACCAGCATTCAGATCGGCAATGAGAGGCCCAATGGAATCCTCGGGCACCCCTAAAGGAATGACGGCGTTGGCTACCTTTGGGAACAAATTCTGTGAGAGCCCACGATTGAATAATGCACTATAGATAGCCACAGCTACTGATCCACCTGTACTTCTGATGGAGCCCATAAGACCAGAAGTGACAGCGATAAGCTCCGGCGGAGTGGAAAGCTGGGCGGTGGTGTAAAGCGTGATAACGCCGCATCCTAAGCCGGACCCATAGAATGTAATATAACCCCAGAAATGTGACTCTGGTGTAGACGAAGTGACTGAGGCCATCAGTGTAGCATAGATGAGAAAGCCAACGTTGGAGGCAATAGCAGCTGCTTTCACAGTTTTAGTTTGATAGATGTAGCCTCCAATGAGGAAGGACATCAATAACAGACAGATGAATGCAATGCTGTAGCAAACCAACACTCGGAAAGTTGAGATTCCGGTGTTGATCACTTGCATCGAATAGGGGAAGTATATGTTGGCAGACATGAAGACATAGCCTTCGATGAACACCGCCACCAGAGCAATTGGGAAGTTCTGGTTTCGGTTTTTGAAGAGTTCATGGTGGAAAAGCCCGTCTTTCCGAACCTTCCACTCGTAGCCGATCAGAATCAAGATGAAAACCACTCCAATGAGAAATGGTGCCACAATGTGGGCGTTCGGCCAGTTGAAGGGGTTCTGAGAATAGGAGAGGCCCAGACAGAGCAGCACCAGACCTGCAACGTACAAGAAGAATCCAACCCAGTCAAGGCTGCGAATCTTTTCATGAAAGCTCAAGGACAGCTCAAGGTCTCTGGGTGGTGGATTGTACAGGGTAGCCAGCATGATGGTGGAAATAATATAGATACCTGCACAGATATACCAGTACGTCCGAAATCCTGTCGGATTGTTATTTGTCAACGCACCGCCTACAAGCAGGCTGAACAGGGATCCAACTGCAATGGCAGCATTGCAGCAACCTTGAGCAAAAGAGCGGTATTTGCGAGGCATAGTTTCAGACGCAACAGCGTGAACAAGGGGCTGTGCACCAAATGATGTGCCACCGACCACGAATCCCGCAATCGCCATCTCCATTGAGGAGGCTCTAGCAACGATGATGCTCCCGACGAAACCCAAGGACGTCGGGATCACCAGGAACCATTTCCGCCCCCAGAGGTCTGCGGCTCGTGCGATAGGAGGGATAGTAGCGGCCGTCAGGATATTAATGGCCGAGGCAGGCCATGATGAGATCGATTCACCGCCGATAACAGCAGCGATGGATCGAGCATAAACACCTGCCCCCACAATGAACAACATCTGACAAAAGTATTGACTGCATAGCGCCTGTCATAGCCACCTGTCAGCTCGTGTTAGTGTCTGATTTGGAATAAAACTTACAAGCAGGAGAGCAAATTCCTTTTTATGGTTCCACACCACAATCTCCTCTTCAAGCGCTTCTAGGTGTGAGGATGTCCGCTGGACATCCGTGTTAGACTTTGTCATTTCAGATTCGATGTCACCTCAAATTCGCATAGATAACTTTCTTGGATGGTTTGGTACAAGCTAAAGAACGTTTAGAGAATAATCTCGAGGACCGAAGCAGTCAGTTTGTGTTGATCGCTGCAGTGAACTCCCACAGACCCGATAAGGTCCCTGGTCATTCTTGTAGGGCAAGCCGGATCTCCATATCACGACCAGATTCGGAATCTGGGGTCTGTGGAGAACCCTCACGGCTTCGATGGCTCTAGGTTAGCCATCTTGCTAACATCAACTAGAAGATCAAATGTTGAACAAAATGGTTTGCTTGTGTGGAACCAGGTTCCGTCGCGAAGATTATTCTGGTAAGGGGTAATACGCGCTTATTCCGATTCGTCAGCTCAAATATCTGCCAGGGTTCGGGAGACGGTGGGGTCGTTGCAAGGCTGTAGATTTGGTAGCTTCCTGACCTAGGGAGCTTGAAGAGCGGGCTAGAACTTTGGCTCCAGCAAGGGGATTTGTCAATAAGCGATCGGCATCCTTTGGTCCAGTGGCAGTCTAGAACGGCCGCCAAAGTGTCTCTTCATCCATGGTACTGGTGTTCGACGTGTTCTTAAAGAAGGAAGGCCATGGCGTACTTGTCCAGTCAGAAGTGGAGGAGATCCGTGAATATCTGTGACTCAATGTAGAAATCTCTCTGCTAGCATTGATTAGACTATCTATGTCGTTTGAACTTTCCCGCTCTGACATATCCACCCTCAATTTGTATCCATGTGGGCCAACATATCGACTGTACCATGTATAACATGAACTAGCTAGATCAAAGCGCGGCGCCTTGCTACTATACCCTTGGCCTAGAAAGGAGGCTTTTCCAAGACCAACAATCAATATTTTCCACCAATAGGGCCTTTAACCTTGACAAGAAACTAGTGCCCAGCTGCTCAAAGCATCTTTTGCCAAACGTCTATCCTGCCGCATTGGTACTTTGCCTCCGTAGAATTAAAATCCTCTAGTCGTCACAGATTGCTAGTGTTCATGAAAGATGCATCATCTTCTTGCCCATAGTGGAAAGGTAAAGCGAGTAAATTGCAGTTTGATTTCAAAGAGTCTACCAAGCTAAGACCGGCTTGATGGTCTGAAACAAAATTAGCGCTTTTCAGACCATGGATGAAGGAACTGACCACTCCCGTTTCCATATCGTGGACTGCCTGATCTATTTCCGTAGCACGATACGTCTTACACAACACGTTGATGGGAAAGCTCCCAGCCTGGAACATTTTGACGAGGCGGGGTATAAGCTGATGAATTGTCAATACCATTTAAACAGTTGGGAAGTCCAAAAGCTCACCTCCTGAGGATTAGCGTAAGCGCCGGTGACTCCTACAATCTTTTTACAACGGATAAGCATATCCATCGCCTCGACGCTCAGGTTTTCCCCAGGGAGCGGTGTTCCCACAATCGCAAGTGTTCCCTGCTGGGCAAGCGATTTGATGCCGCTGTTGATCAACTTGGTCGAGCCTGTCGCATCGATGACAAAGTCGACGCCACCGGGGCATGTATCGCGAATGGCAGCTTCAATGTCTTGATTCTTCGTCCCGTCTATGACATGCGTTGCTCCTAGAGACTTTGCTAGCTCTAGCCTTGATTCAACAATGTCAATGGCGACTATTCGAGCCACATCTAGGCATTTAGCGGCCATGAGCGCACAAAGTCCTACGCTGCCCATACCCAGTACAGCAATGCTGCTTTTTGAAGTTGGTTTCAATACATCCAGAACAGTTCCAGCGCCGGTCATAAAACCACAGCCTAGAGGTGCCAAAAAGGCTAAATCTTCAACTGGGCCAGGATATTTGACCACGACTCTAGAGTCGCAGACCGCAAATTTGGAGAACGATGATTGACCAAAGAGGGGACTCCTGATGAAATCGCCGTTTGGACGACGAATAGTGGTATCCTCGAGACCTCTTGTGCCTCCGAAGTTTGTCAGGGCAATACTGGAACAGGCGCCCTTTTTTCCCTCATTGCATCCTGTGCAATTCATGCAAGAAGCGAAACCCAAAATTACTCGGTCACCGACTTCCAGCCCCGAGTTCCTGAGACCATTGCCCAACTTGACGACGACTCCTGCCCCTTCGTGGCCAGCTACCACCGGGAATCCACCGATGGGCATTTTCCCATGCTGTATGACAAGATCCTATAGTTGAAGGCAGGGTAAGATTCAGTTTTTTTCCCATTCCCCGCCTTTGAAGGAAAAAGGCGTCTCAATAGTGTCTCTTACCGTGTGGCATACTCCAGAATACTTTATCTCTACCAGGAGCTCCTGTTCTCTTACTCCATCCAAGACAACATCCTCGAGGACGAATGGTGCTCCGGGCTTGTTGATGACAAGTGCTTTGGTAGGAATAGATTCCTCGGATAATGACACCATTGCTGCCAATCTTGCTCTTCTTTTGGCGTGCCTCTAAGGAGATCTTTGAAGGGTGTGCATTTAAATTTCCAATAGATTCTTCATCTGTGGTATTCGAATTTCTCGGGGAAATACCTTCAGCAGCTTCGGGATGAAATTATCCATCTCCTCGGTCGGGATAGAGATATCTCCTTCCATTTGCTATGCAATTAATCCAATCATGGCCAATTCTCCCCACGGAATGAGCAACGGAATAGCAATGGAGATCAAGAAGATCGGAAGTCGTCAAAGGATGTACGAATCACATCGAGTTGGGGATTGCTTCTCCACATTTCGTCCCCGGACCTTTAATTTTCCTCCGAAACTCCGGGCCTCCGGCATGCATGAAAAGGTGGGAACTCGCGCCCTAAAAATGCTAACTAGAATTTTATGGCCAGCTGGTTCTGGTGAGCGGCTAAAAGTGTCAGGTTTATTCTCTACTGCTAAAGCGGCTGATTATTGCCCTCTGCTGAGGCGTATCTCTCGACGTTAAGTGCCTCGGCAATTTATTATTGCGTACGACAGGTAGATACGGGCCACAAAGCACAATCAATGTATCAAGATGCTATAATTCCTTCTTCCTGATTTCCCAATCATTTCTACAGTGATATATAGACGCTCTTTACTTCGGTCCAGAAGTCTGTGCAATATTTGGACAACTCCCGCCCATCGCCACTCTGTTTCCAGCCTCCAAACGGCATGTCGACGACCAAGTTCGGCGACGAGCAATTAATACCCACATTCCCTGCCTCGAGAGCTTTGGCCACCCTCAGCGCGCGTGATAGATCCTTGGTGAAGACGCTCGAATATAGCCCAAATTCAGAGTCATTGGCAAGCTTGATGACCTCTGCCTCATGACTGAATGTGCTGATACACAAAACCGGTCCAAAGATCTCCTCTTTCATGATCCTCGAGTTCTCTGGAGCATTGAAAATGATAGTCGGCTCAATGAAATACCCTGTGGTGCCTAAGCGGCCACCGCCCAATGGGACGCTGAAGTTGTTCTCTTTGGCGTAGTTGAGAAAGGACAGAACTTGGTCGAATTGAGCCTTATCAGCCTGTGGGCCTCGTCCTGAGCCTGGGAGGAGCGGATCCGCCGCGGGGAAGAACTGGGTCATGGCGGTCTTCATAGAGTCGAGAAAATTGTCTGCGACAGACTCATGGACATAGATACGAGAAGTGGCCATGCAATTCTGTCCACTGTTCACGAGGATACTAACAGCGGCAGCTGGGACAGCCTTGGCCAAATCTGCGTCCTCGAAAATTAGGAGTGGAGACTTGCCGCCTAGTTCGAGAGTTACATTCTTAAGGTTGGACTCCGCAGCGGCTTTCTTTATCTCGCGGCCTGCAATTGTACTGCCCGTAAAGCTCACCTTGCGGATATCCATGTGCTTAGCAATCGCTTCGCCACAGGGACGGCCGTAGCCGGACAGAATATTCAAAACCCCCTTAGGGAGACCAATTTCCCGGGCTAGGCGACCGAGGACGAGGGAGGACAGAGGGGATTTTTCGGACGACTTTGCCACCAAGGTGTTGCCTGTGGCGAGGGCTGGACCAAGCTTAAAGATCAACATAAGTAAGGGCACATTCCAAGGTGTAATGGCACCACAGACGCCGTAAGGTTGGCGAAAAGTTAGGTTTACATAACCTGGGGTGTTGAGACTTGAATCTCCGGTGACATCGAATGCTTTGTTAGAGAAATAGCGTAGGAAGTGAACTGACAACTTGATGGAAACTATGGTAAGTAGAAGATTAGTACCGTGGTTCCTACACTTCTGTGGGAAGTAGCTTACAATCATCGACGTAGGGCTTGCCCATGGTGATTGCCTCCAGGTAAGCAATCTCATCGCCATTGCGTTCGATGGCATCTGCAAGTTTGTTCAAGTAACCAGTCCGCTCACCAGCAGATAATCCCGACCAAGCCGGGAATGCCTCTCTTGCAGCCTTGACAGCGAGATCAACATCTTGAGAATCAGCCTCGTAGACAGACGCAGCAATATTCTCGGTGGTTGGGTTGTAGATGTCAATTTTTTTGCCAGATATCGATGGTACAAATTCTCCATTGATAAAGAGCTTGTCTTCTATGAAAGTGGGCTTATAAGGCTCCTTATAATCAGCATTCTCAACCGCAACCGGTGCCATTGTAACCACTTATTGTCAGTAATATGGTCGACGAAAGCAATATACGTGTTATGAAAGCAAAGGAGAGGCCGAGTTTCCCGGCATCCTTATACCCCGAGACGTCGGACGGGCCCAGTCTTACCAGTGGTTGCAAGCCGTGCTGCTTTCACACCAAAGATCTGCCGAGTGCTTTTTGGGCAACGCTCTAGAGCCCTAAGACACTGGGGTCCGAACAGGTTTTTCCTGTAATGCCGAAAGAATCCCTGCCCCAGTACGAACGTCTGCTCCGCGGCTCGTGGGCAACTATTGAGACAGGATACCGCGAGGCACTTGTGTTCACTCAGTGGCGACTTAGATCAAGCACCGGGCAAATATCAGTCAGATCTACACGCGAATTTAGAATTCCAAGCGGGACGAAGCAGAAACGGAATGGCTGTCCCGTTCCGTGACCTGTTCCGCAGCACACTAAGCACTGTTTTTTCTAAAGGCGTGTCAAGGCGGCTGACTAGTTTTCCTTACAGCCAGCCAGCTCGCTTATTCCTGCAGTCTGCTGCACAAAAGACTGACCCCGACCGAACCTCGGTATGCCCTCCGCGGTAGGGTGGGACTTTTTTTTGGCGCTGATACCACCTCAGAAAAGCAGAAACAGATTTAGGTCTACAAAAGGGCAATTATGACTATACTAGCTGATTTCTATGCAGTTTCGCATGAGAGCTTGCAAAGCAGCTGTGCTTGATGCAAAGATATACCCCGCAAAACTTGTATCCTGTTTTGACACGTGCCGAGCACTGTCTCTGGACCTCTTCACGGGCATACTAGATAACAAGAATAAAAGCCTCTACGCCAGCTTTAATAGCAGTAAGATAGATAACTATATTTACAGATTCCTAGTAGACTGGTCTGTAGTTATTATTATCATTACTCTTACTTTTATTAAGAACTATATGCTAAAAGAGAACCGAGAAACATCAGTTTACTTATATTTATACTATTTTACCTACATAAACATGTTTTAATCACCACGACTTCTCGCTTCTAAGTCAGAACCTAGGTTACACAGTGACGTGATGCCGACTAAAGACAACGATGCCAGTGGTAGTTGCTTGTGGGCATGGACCTCCTCAGCATGAGCTCCAACAGAGAGGATGAAGGCTTAACCCCGTCCTACCCCACATGAACCGGCTTGACCACGCCGACAGATCCCAACCCCATCAGTAACAAGGCTGCGTTATTGGGGTAAGGCAATATTGACTACATCACCACCATGCTAGATACAAATACATAGTACCACCTAGTATGTCCTCTCGCAATCAAACGGGGTTGAAATCATACTGGAAACACCACTCGCTACCAGAAATAACTTGAAACAATCCCTCCTTGCTTCTCAACACAGAGCAACATGCCAATCGATAAATCGTGGCCCGGATACGCCAAAGGCCAAATACCGGATTTAGGGATCGATTGGGCATGGCAAGACGCCCTACCAGCCGACGAACCAAATCGAGACCCTCTCGTGGCTTACATACCCTTGGGTTACGAGAAAAAGACTCTCCCCAGAGGCTGGCAGAAGACATCAGAAAACAAAGCACTCGAACTCGACATCATCTTTGAGAAAGACGTCGAGATCATTCTAAGGGATGGCGTCAAAATCTACACCGACATTTATCGTCCAGCCGACACGGGAGGAAAGAAGATTCCTGTAATCGTGGCCTACTCGCCATACGGCAAGGGAGGTGCAGGAGCAAATCTAATGGATGTTGTTCCATATCGAGTGGGAGTGCCGAAAAACCGCCAGAGCGGTCTAGAGAAATTTGAAGGGTCAGCGAGCAAAATCCCGCCTCTGAACTTTGGGTGACTCTAGCTGATAACACCTACAGCCCCGACCCTAATGAGTGGTGCCGGCGCGGCTACGCAATTCTGGACCCTAACGCAAGAGGATCATTCGACTCGGAAGGCGATTTGTATTTCTTCGGCCCTAAAGACGGTGCGTAAGGAACAGCTCAGATATCCATCTAAAATTTTCCATCGAGGTGTCCAGTCTCACTTTCTTTGCTAATTTATCCTGTTGTAGGCGAAGATTGCCATGATATCATTGAATATGCAGCCAAGCTAGATTGGTGCAATGGTGCAGTGGGTATGGCGGGAAACTCATGGTTAGGGATTTCGCAGTACTGGGCTGCCATGACTCAACCACCCCATCTAAAAGCAATTGCTCCCTGGGAAGGCTACAGCGATCTCTATCGTGACATGATGAGGCGCGGTGGGATTCCTTGGGCTCCCTTCCTGAAATGGGTTCTCTTAGGCGTACCAGGTTCGTCGACATCTACCCCTCTATATGTCTTCGTGTAATACACTTGAAAGAAATAATAGGCTAACAAAATTAGGCCGGGGTAGGCAAGAGGATGTGCCAACCATGGCCTTTCAGCATGAATTCTTTGACAAGTACTGGGAGAATAAACGCGTCGACTTTTCCAAAATCAACATTCCGTCCTACTTTCTCGGCTCGTATTCCTCAATGCTACATACAGTAGGAGCTGTAAGGGCGTGGCGAGACACGAATACGGATAAGAAATGGCTCCGATTCCACCCGCATCAAGAGTGGTACGAAGACTATTATCATTCTTCCGTCGAGGATCTGGACCGCTTTTTCGCAAGGTATCTTAAGGGAGAAGAGAACGGCTGGGAAGCGACTCCAAAAGTGCGCGTGTCGCTGTACCGCTATGGAGACAAAGTAAGTATATTGATCTTGGTAGCGGAGATATACTGATACCAAGATCTTTAGTATCCTGTCTACGATCAGGCTGAAGTCGATTATCCGATTCCTCGAACTAAGTACACCAAACTATTTCTTACTCCAGACCATAGGTTGACGGATAGATCTAACAAGTTAGACGCGGGCTCGACAGCCGTCCACTCCTACGACTCTACGACTCGTGATATGCTTACCTATGACTATACATTCAGAGAGAAGACAACCCTAGCTGGATTCTCGATGCTTCGGATATTTGTGTCATGCAAGGAGCACAACGACCTCGATATTTACGTAATGCTGCGTAAAATTTCAGTTGATGGAGAGCTTATGGAGCAGTCCAACGTCCCATTACACGAACTGCCACAAGAGGTAAAGAGCGTTAAGGACATGAAGAATGTTAATCCGGTCAAATACTTGGGCCCGACGGGTATGCTCCGAGCTTCACACCGCGAAATAGATCCTAAGAAATCGACCGATTACTGGCCTTTCCACCCTCATCTTCGAACACAATATCTCGAACCTCTGGGAGCCGTGGTCGAGTTGAATATTGGTATCTGGCCGATGGGAGTAGTTTATGACAAGGGCGAGGGCCTGCGGCTTCAGATCTCGGGCAAGACGATGGCACTTCCAGAATGGGACAATCCGCATGTCAAGCTCCAAGAGCCTGTCTTCAACAAAGGCATGCACAATGTTCATCTGGGTAGCGACTTTGCCACCGAGAGTTATCTTCTCGTGCCTAGGCTATAAGTCGGTTTGCAGGTAACTATTGTGTAGATTGTCAGTACATTATACGTGAATCGATTGTCAACGTGATCTTGTGCTTTATATGCTTACATACGAACTAAACTAACCTGAGGTCTGAAACCTAAGCGACTTGAGACCCAGAGGTGAAATTGCTTCTAAGTTTCCTAGGCTCTTTTGTTGTATTGCTGGAGGGCTGCCAAACACCACCGGATTTGAAGGCTGGAAAGGGAATGCGATTTCTTTTGATAACAGAGAGAAAAGGAGAAGCTAAGAAGGAAAGATCGACCACCTTATCGTTTCCTGCGTTCTAAATCATCCACGTACAGTCGCAGTGCCTTACCCAGTACTGGAACGATGCCCCACAGGACAGGTCCGTCAAACATCAGGGCCCAAGCATAAATGATTCGAGCATAAATCGGACGAGCAGCCAAATTGGCCGGCAACTTTACCTCGGCCAACGTCTCCAGAACCATTGCTTCGATACTTTTTTCTTCGGGGTTCCAGTGGCTTTTAGCCGAGGCTTGATAGAGTGCCTCGAGCCACTTGCTGAGAAATATGCCTTGATAGAGACAACATAACACTAAGTCAGAAACGGATGAATCGCAAGCTTTTGGAGAGGGAGACAAGGAAGAGGGGAGACTCACAGCATTCGAATGAATGGAGGTGTAATTGAACACTCCACACCAAAGGGGTCGTCCGCCCTATCAGGTTGATTCCAATCCTGACGAAGGTGTTCAGCAAGCGAGTCGCATGAAGTGCCGCTGTTGTCGACGCCTTGGACCTCTCAACATCGTTGAACCGTGTGGCGATCGCATTTGCAATGGTTCCCGGGTCTTGAGTCCGTACCGCGGCTCTGGAGAGCGCGGAGCTTACGCAGAGTCCTATATACGCGACGGGCAACATTGCAGCTGAAATGAACAACATGGGGTCATCCGTGCTGCGTAGAGACGTCGATGATGCAATGCCAGAGTCACCCATGGCTTGCCACTTCTGCAGCGAGTATGCAATACGTGACAACCCTGCGGATTCTTCCTGGCCGATGCACGCCTGTCGAAGATGCCATATATTCTGCAGGACTGCGCTCAGCAGGACATACCTCCCGAAGCTGCTGCAGGGTAGGGCTTGTGCTTTTGACGGAGAAACGAGGCAGTGGAATGCCTCTGAGAACGAGGGTGAGGGAGGCCCTCGTTTCCTGTGCTCGTTCCAGACATGTGTATCTCCTGCGAGCCACTCAGCTGTTCCGCAGGGTAGCTCCATGTCAACCTCGGAATTGACCAAGCAAGGCGGAACATTATAAGCAATAGTCAAGGTGTTGAAGAAACAATAGACCACGAAATTTGTTCTAGACGAGAAACGAGTCAGGTATCATGCTACAAGAGGAGAGACTACCCCAACACTTACCGTTTAGCCGTTTCAATTTCAATCCACTCTCTCCACGACTCTTGGACATCCAGGCTTCCGTCGGGCCGGCGACTTGTCGGAGGACGGGCGGAGCGTATAATCTGGTAGGAGGTTTCAGTGACTGTAAGGGTGAACTCAGGAATGCATCAGAGACGGGCTTACGTGACCGATAGTAGCCTGGTATGCCAACGCTTGTTGGACAGTATCAAAGTTACCCACCAAACTTCCGAATACCATGGTGAAAAGCAGACATTGCACGACCCAAGGCGTTTGAGTTAGAGTCGTGAAAGGTGAATCTTCAATCTGTCATCCTGTCAGCGACGAGCAAATTGATCTGGCAGAGAGAGCCTGGGCCGGCTGACATAACTACTAATGGACAGTCGCGCGGTCCGGTGAAGCTGCAAGGCAATGTCTCGTTCATCGTGGGAATTTGCCCCGATGGCAGCAATTGCTAACAATAAGGAAGGATGAGCCGTCTGACTGTGCCAAGTAGGTACATGTATGCATGGCACGTAGATTAGAAACAAGTCAAAAAAGGCCATGATATAGCGCTCTAGCGCTATGCACGAAGGCATTGTCACATCCGCATCGACGTTCGCCTACATCCGTTGTATGTCAGCAGGTCCAAGCGATGCGAGACGGAACCTTACAGATTCAGACACGTGTCTGGCTTCATCAATGAGCTCCATGCGTTTACTTTCCATAACTGAAAAGACGGCGGAGGAGTATGACTGCTGTGGGCGAGGATTGGAGTGTAGATTCAACTCAGTGGGACTGAATGCTGGCAGTCCAGTTCCGGCTAAAGGAAGCATGCCCGGTTGTAATTGAAGATAGGAAGTTATGGGCTGGAAGCCGGCTTCGGGCCGTGGTACATCATGCCTGAACACGTTCAATCTGAGGTCCAGATCGGCTAGCCCAGGAGAGTCGGGTGGGCTCTCCCTAGAATCACTCTGTTGGTTGGGGAGAGAAGGCAATGGATCAAAATACATTTCATCCAAGGAGTTGCCAAGTTGTCGGGGTCTTGACATCGCGCCCATGGAATCTCTTGCGGGAGCTGACGACCTGACCTCGGCACTGCGATCCAGATGTTGCAGGTCCCATTGGAGGGCTGTCTGGGAGGTGGTGTTCTCACAGGCTGATGGTATGAACGTGGATGGGTTTGAGGACGACTGTGTTGCTGTATGGGGCGGGGGCTGTGAAGTTCCAGTCCGCAATGGCCTCGGACTCGCAACGTTGCCGCCGAGTTCGGTGCGACTGGACGAAAGCGATGGGTCTGCAGTGTCATCACGATTGGGGGCGGGGACCAGCTCGGGGTGTTTGCGTGTGATGTGCCTCTTAACAAGATCTTTCCTGGTAAACGTCGCTTCGCAGTGAGGACAAGAGAATGGCCGTTCTTTGCGGTCTGCAGAGTTACCATCAGCTATAGGTGCAAAACATTTCCTACCCCGACACAATCGAGAGCCTTACGGGATCTTTCATGCCGAAGGAGATGCTCGGCGCGAGAGAAGGCTTGTGGACAAATCGAACATCGATGGCGTCGTCTCGGCCTCGCAGCTTGAACAGTAGGTGAAGTTCCTCTTCGCTGTTGCTCCTCAGCCGGGGATGCTGGGTGTCCTTGACCATCCCTTGACTCCAATACATGCGCAGACCAATTTCCCACCACCGTCGCATCTGGAACGATGGTGGCATTGGCCGCACAGCTGACTTGAGGGGCCTGACTCGAGGTAGCCCCGCCATTCGACAATGGGGTACCTGAGCCTTGACTGAGAGCGCGAGGAGCACGAGGCCTAACGTCGATGGCCGGAAACGTGGTAGACTTCGGAAACCATCTCATTGCAAAAAGCACGATTGTCTGAAGCCCCCGGACTTGAAAATGTTCTGGCTCCGCTGTAAGCGAACAGGTAGTCAGGGTAGAGTTGCTTGACGACGTGCGTTGGTGGAGTAGAAACGGTGGGAGGTCGAGTTGGTGACTAGTTGGTTTGGCCGAGAATCCAATTTCAGTGTTCCCCAAGGTGGGGCACCCGTGGCGGGGTCCCGGGGTTGGTTCGCCAGGTGTTCATTCGCATTCGCTTTGGCGGGGATCCTAAGCGGGGCACGGAGTTGGGGACAGCGCACTACTTCGAACTCTGTCGTTTCCCAAAAGAGTACGCTGATGGCCATGGGGGTTGGGGAGTGTCCCAGAACCTATTACTCAAGGGGGATCAGCGGCGAGCACATGGAGGCTCGCCTCCGAACACTGTGCGGTTGGTCTTCAGCCTTGGAGAGACCGCAGCGGACGGGGCGAATTCCCTCCAACGGGTGATTTATCCATGTGCGAGGCCCGGCGTCGAAAGAAAACAATCTAGGAAGTTTTCTGACCACTGGCATCTTCGTTCTCAGGTAACAAGGTATGATGGCGATCAACATATCGGCTCAATACGTCCAACTCTTTCAACCTGCGACTCTCGCACTCGTCATCCTCTTCACTCTTACGGTCGGCATTTACACGGTGAGAGCGGTACAATGGCATCGAAGATACAAGTTTCCTCCCAGTCCACCAGGAAGACTGCCTGTTGTAGGCCATTCCTGGGTTCTTCCTAAGGAATTTCACGGCGACAAAGCCAAAGAATGGGGTGAGTTCTGGCAATTGTCTGTTTCCCTGCGGCAGCAGCCAGGCTGTATGGTCTACTGACGGAAATCTCCACCCCCAGCCGATCAATTAGGAACGGAACTGATGTATCTTCGCCTTGGAGGAGTCAACTGGGTATTCCTAAACTCGTCGCGAGTCGTGGAAGATTTGATGGAAAAGCGATCGTCGATCTACTCTAGTCGTCCAGTTTTCGCAATGGTTGGAGAGATCATGTCTAGGATGAAGCGACTGGTACTCCAACCTTACGGACCAGAATGGCGAGAACTGCGCAAAGTCATGCATATACTGCTTACTGGAAGGTCTGCCGACTCCTACCGAGTTTTGGAAGACATGGAATCTCGGCAAGCCATGTACGAAATGCTCCAAAGGCCAGAGGAGTGGTATCTTCATACCATCCGATTCGCAGCTTCTTGTGAGCCTCTAATTTTTTCTTTTCTTGACACGTGAAGCAGAGCGAGGTGCACTGACAAAGTCATCGATAGTTACAATTGGCATGGTGTATGGCGTTCGACAGGATGGACACTCTGACCTATTTCAGAAGGTTTCTGACGCTCAAGACGAGTTCTTGCGAAACAACGTTCCGGGCACGTGGCTCGTCGACGATTATCCCCAACTCCGTCGTCTACCGAAGTTCCTACAGTGGTGGCGACACTACGGGGAGAAGGTCTATCAGGTCACCCGCGATGCATTTAATGGGTACTATGATGCGATGCAGGATAACGTGGCGAAGGGAACCCAGGCCGAATGCTTTGCGACCAAGTTCTATCGAGAGAGCGATGCCCAGGGCGGCCCAAAATTCGACTTCGATCAAAAGCTCTTCACCACAGGCGGCCTAATCGAGGCTGGGAGCGATACGACCAAAAATCAACTCAACATGTTGATAGCAGCGTTAGCGAGTGATTCGAATACTTGGGTGGCAAAAGCCCGGCGAGAACTCGATGCCGTTTGTGGAGCAAATGCGGAAAGACTACCTACCTTTGAAGATATGCCGAACCTCCCTTACATTCAGGCCATCATCAAGGAGACGATGAGATGGCGACCCAACGTGAATCCTACTGGATTCCCTCACGCTCTGATTCGTGACGACGAATATGAAGGGTACCGTTTCCCTGCTGGAACCGTTGTGACGATCAACAATTGGGCCATCTCCTTGAATCCCAGAGAATATACTAACCCTACAAAATTTGACCCTGACCGATTTATGAACGATGATCTGTGGAACCCCACGAAGGGCCATTATGGCTACGGCGCCGGGCGGAGGACGTGTGCTGGAGTAAAAGTGGCGCAAAACTCTATGTTTATCTTCTTCAGTCGATTGATTTATTGCTTTGACGTGGAGGAAGACAAGGTGAGAAAACCTCCCTCCCTACCGCTTCAACTCTTGTTTCCCTTTTCTCCTCCACCACTCGAGCATGGTCTATTTGTCCGCGATCCCCCTGATTCGCTACCTGCTGCTATCTCAAAGATTGGCTAGCTAACAGTACTGACCATCTTAGAACGATCCAATCGACACATACCACATCGCTCTGACTCCCCCTCCGGGCAAAGCAACTGATCCACCATTTACCGCCAAGATCAGCGTTCGAAGTGAAGCACATAAAGAACTGATCATGAGAGAATGGAAGAACACGACGTTCCCAATCTGATTTCATCAAAGACGGACGCGGACACCTATGGTACCAACTTCCTGTAGTTCGTCTTAGCTAGAACACAATCAAAACTGGATTAAGTAGGAAGCAAGTTCTTCCTTGGTTTAGGGTGCAGATTTAATGGATTAGTTTCACTCCTCCCATCTTAGGGATATGTATACAGCATGCCATCTTAGAGCTGGCAAAGAATTTCTCCTATTTCGTGTCAACGCTGCGGCCTCCTCTAACAAGATCTCTTAAAACTTCAGAGGACAGCCGGTCGCTTTCCTGTCTGGTCAGTTTGCTATATGCCCTGGACCCCTTTCGCCTCTTCAACGAGCCCGTCCTCCAACAAATCCTCCACTGGTGTGTACAATCGCATGACCCCAAAAAGAGTAGCCACTTGAAACTCCTCATCTGTGTTCATACGATGAAAAAATTGCCTATCCTTCTCCGACATGTTGTTGGGGTCCTGTTCTACCATGCGCTTAAAATCTTGAGAACCTGTGTTGCTCACCGTTGCGAAGACCTCTTTGCGTTTGTCGCACGCTCTCTGCAGCAGTGTTTCAGGCGCTTTTCCTTGGATGACCAATATCAGAGCGTCAGAGATGCACCCGGCGTCTGTCATGCCCGTGGTCAACCCAAACCCGCCGATGGGGTTGTTCAAGTGCGCCGCATCTCCGGCCAACAGCACGCGACCGACTTTGTACTCCTTGACTTGTCTCTGATGGACCCGGTATTGAGAGCAATTGACAATTTCATAGGGGTCGTCTCCAGGGAGGATCTCCTTGAGGCGCAAAGGAGCCTCAAGGATGACCTGCTCGTTCGATTTACCAGCGCCGGTTGCGTACGCGACTCTCCACGGGTCATTTCCGGGTCCGGCGCGACCAGCAACCGCCCAATGTTCGCCTCCAATTAGGAAATTCGCCGCACCCCAACCATACTTGGGGAAGGGGAAATGGATGTTCATGGCGACAAAGCTCTCGGGCCAGGAGAACCCTTCGAGGGATTGGCCGATGAACTTCCTCGTCGCCGAACGTCCGCCGTCGCAGCCCAGGACCCAGTCGGCCTTGATCGTGAACTGTTCCCCACCCGAAGGAGACACTTCGGCCGTCACCGACGTTTCATCTTGGGCAAGCCCAACGAGGGCGTGGTCAAAATGGATCGTTGTGGTAGGAAACTGCGAGCAATACTCGGTCAACACCTTCACCAGCAGGTGCTGTCCGCACTGCAACGCGTAAGGTTTGACCAGCCGTGTATCACCCCGCTTCGCAAGCAGTCCCCAGTTCATCTCGGCCAAGAGGTCTCCTCCCATCTTCCTCCATCCCCAAACGGCGTTCTCGTCGGCAAAACAGACCTTCTTCACTTCCTCGAGCACACCGAGTTTGTGCAGGTCAGAGAGCACGGGCGCACTGTCTTCGAGGTAATTCATCTGTCAGCCCTCCACCCTATTTGACATATGCATAACAGATCCTGCTCGCGTGGCTGAAGGAGGAGGAACGTACGTATAAGTCAAGGCCTTGGGAATCGGCGGGATCTCTTTGTCCTGTTACGTTTCTCAAGTGGTCAGAGGAAGCTTTGGTCGCCAAAAAAAAGAGCAAAGTATTGAAACCCTCCTTCAGCAAGTATGTCAAATGGGATCGACGTGAGCACCGCTTACCAACTCTATCACTGTAACCTTTATCCCAGCGTGAGATAACTTCGAGGCACACATCATGCCTACAGGGCCTGCCCCGACAATGAGTACATGTGTATCTTTTGCCATGTTCTATTGTTTTCGAGTTTTGTGACTGTTAGTCAATATTGACAAGGTTGCACACCCTTGGGTCCGACATGGGCTGGGGGCTCTACCAACTTCAGATGGAATTGCCATTGTCACTGCCTCTTTCCTGCTAAGCTAGCGATGGAACTATTCAACGGTGGTGCAAAACGATGTTCTTGTGTGGAGGCAGATTTGTGAGGGTCTTAGAATTAAATGGCAAAATACAACGCTTCGACTCGCTAGTGAAACTGCCCCAGTAATGGCAATGACCAAACTCTGATCACAATGTTACCGTTGGGGTGTAGTGACCGAAGCATATTGTAGGATAAAGAGGCGGTATTATGGGTGAGTGGGGAAGATTCTCAACTGTAGCCTGAGGGAGGTGGGGTAGGTATTCGCGGTCAACTCATCTGACACTCCCAGAGCCTTCTGGACGTGTGAGCACACCTGGTACTGAACAGCATCTTAAGAAAGACCTACAGTAGTCGTATTGAGCATCACATCCTCCGAGGCAGCAGAACTCTACGGCCTTAATGTCCCTCTGCCTTGGAGCCTGCCTGCTCATGGCGTGTTGAATGGCCATGGCCTTAATTTCTGTAGGACAACGTTTATAAACTTGAATACAGCGACTTGAGAGACATGATTCAATATTCTGGACAGGTCTCTACATGAGTAGCTCACTCTGCAGATAGGAAAACGGTACTTTGGAAACCGTCCTCAAACTTCTTCACTCACAAACGTGAGCCACACCTTCCGGTCTCTGGGGCCAAATCGAATTCGACCGTGCCAGTAAACATCCTGAACTGATGAAAACGGCGGAAACGCAGTCCCGCTTTCTCTCCGATCTTCACAATGTCTGAAAATGTCCTCTCCTTGCCACCCATCAACACCATGGTGCTTAGCGACATCACGTGGCAGGTGCTTGGGTATGCCGACTGCTCTGCTGGGAGGTGTTGAGAGGCTGGAGCGTTGGCCGTGCTTGGTGGTGTGATCAAGCTGGGGACAATAAGTTCGTTTACAAGGACTCTGGCCCGTGGATTTTTCTTGAGCGCCGGGATTAGCTGGCGGAGGAGCTCGGCTGAGACGTCGTCTTCATAGTCACGACTACACAGGAGTTCTTCAGTGTTGAGTAGTCAAGAAGAGCAGGGAGGCACTTACACGACACCACGAAGCCAGTAGACATCAGCGATGGTTGTTTGCGGGGTGAAGTAATCGTGGGCTTCGATTTTGATCCGACCGGCCGCGATCTCGTCCTCATAACCCTTGAATGTCTGGTCAAATATTAGTTGAATTCAAGTATTGAGCCAGCGAGGGACGCGACGTACTTCTTTGATGATAGGAATCATCGGCTCGAGGTCCTGGCAAACAATGTTGAGGTGAGGATAATTCTTTTTCACATCTAGAGCCACGCTCCCAGGACCACAACCAACATCACAGAGAGTGGCCCCGAAAGAATCCCATGGTAAATCTGTCCGTGTCGCCAGAACAGTGATGCTGCTTAACCACGGGATGCCGGTAATCCACTTCTCCATTCTTTTCGAACCCTCGGGGCTGTTCAGCCAAGGGCCGACGCCAACGTCAACGCCAAAGGCCTTCGCAAACGCCCCCTTCCCAGGATCGATGTCGTGTTTGTTGACCGGATCTTTCATGGCTGGGACCCAGCCAAGTCCCGCTTGATAACCCTCTTCGGTCTCTATCAGCATCATTCCTGTCGCCCCGGTCTCCGACCGCAACTCGTAGCTATGTCGATTGTTACGGAAGACATCAGGGGCAACTTCGGCAAAGATATGACGATGGCAAAGGAGGTGCATGACCGAACCTAACTTGTGCTCATCCGTATCGCACAACTTGGCGAGGTGGCCGAGTGACACTTCGCCTCCATTCTCGATGATTTTATCTGCGACTTTGAAGTCCGCCGCCACCCCTAATGCGACGGTACTGTTGTTGGCAATGCATTCCGTCACCAGTTTGATCTTTGTGGGCGTGAGCAAGGCGATTAGTGCCTCACAGTCAGCCACGATCTTTTGGGAAGCTTCCCACGCCGCTCGAGGTGGGAGTTCCTGGTCATACGTATTCCACGGTGTGGGCTCGAATAGGTGGCCTGTGTCATCGCCGAGAACTTCTTGAAGGATACCACCTTGTTTGGCAATGTTGACGAGTAAATTGTGCAGTAACGACATTTTCTATTCGGAAGCGAGGACCTGGGAACGAAGATTTTACTTGCAATAGGCCGCCTCGGCTGTCGGGGAAACGGCAATGATAGTGGCTTGTAAGTGTTATTTCGTCCACCAAATATGTTAGAACAAGATCATCGTCTGATCAAGACTTGCTTTGATGAGACGGCGAAGTCCTGATCCGGATCTAAAGGTCGTTGCTTGCGTGGTGAGGTGGGTCTGCATCTCCTGTAACCCGGCGGCAAAAGAGACCGACCCGAAAGGCCCTCCGCCCGTTCCCCACCATCCCCATTGCGGCCTTGTGTACCCATGGCTTTGCCGGACGCCTCTATGACCAATTCGGGAAAGAGGAAAAACTCTACAAGTTGGTGCCATGCATACTATAGTTGAGAGCGTCTCGTAGCTGAGACAGACGCGGTGTTCTAAGCTCGAGAGACCTTGTATCTTTGCATTTGAGGACGGTGACTTGAGCAGCAGTTGAAGACAAGATATGTATAGAGGTACTGGACCAGATGGTGTCGCCAGGCCCAATTCAAGTGGGATTACGGTGATCATTATCGGGCTCGGGTATGCGGGTGCCGTCGCTGCTGTGGAATGTCATCGAAAAGGACACAAGGTCATCGTGTTTGAGCAAGCACCCGACATCAAGGCTTTAGGTGAGTACACTACCTCCTTCGCGTGTCGAAAATTGTGCGGAAGCAAAGGTCGAAGGAAGTGTTAGATCAACTGATACATTCTTCCTCAGGCGATGTCATCGGTATCACCGGCAACGCTGCCCAGATTATCTCCAAATGGGGCGACGGCAAGGTCCACAAACGCATCGAGCCCTTTTTGTCCGATTATGCTCGCATGAATATCTACAACACTAAAGGCGAGCGCCTTTGGAGCCACACAATGCTAGGATATTCTGCCGGGTCCGGCTATGCGGCGAATCGCGGCGATTTGGCAGTCATCTTCTACTCTCATGTTAGGGACCTGGGCATCGAAGTGCATCTGGGCAAGCGGGTGACTAAGTACTTCGAGAACGAGGCCGAAGCTGGTGTTGTCGTTGATGGGAAGCGATATGCAGCCGACTGTGTGCTTGCATGTGACGGTGTGCACTCTAAAGCGCGTGGGTTTATCATTGGACGCTCCGACTCTCCCCATTCCACAGGATATGCCGTCTATCGAGCATGGTATAATGGAGACAACGCATCTCAAGACCCTGATCTGGCCTGGCTCGTCGAAGGGCCCCACGACAAAATGGAAACCTATATTGGACCTGACGTGCATTGTATCATTGGAACGGGACGAGGCTGTAAGGATATCGTCTGGACCTGCACCCACAAAGACACCTATGACATTGCTGAGTCGTGGTCATTCCCTGGCAAGATTGAAGACGCACTCAAAGTAGTGGAAGGCTGGGATCCTAAGGTGACCAAGGTCATCAGCAAGACACCTCCAGATCAGCTGGTCGACTATAAGCTGCTCTGGAGGGATCCCCTGCCCGGATGGGTTTCGAATCATGGCAGGATGATGCTCGTCGGCGACTCGGCTCACCCTTTTCTTCCCACCTCGGGTCAAGGTGCCGGCCAGGCTGTCGAGGACGCTGCGACGGTTGCCATATGTCTCGAACTGGCTGGGAAGAATCGGATTTCTCTCGCTCTCCGGGCGTCGGAGAAGATTAGGTGAGCAACGGTCTCATCACAAACTGTGTGGTGTTCACTCTTTACTAACCATTTCAGGTATGCTCGAGCCACGCTTGCCCAACGTATTGGAGTCGAAACGCGCGATGCCTGGCACAAGACCGACTGGAATGCAGTCAAGAAGAATCCCAAGCTGTTGGAGATGCCTCGTCCTGATTGGCTCTTTGGCCATGATCCCCAAGAATACGCCTATGAGGAATTTGAAACAGCTGTACACGCCGTTGAGACCGGGTGTGAGTATATTCCGCGAAACATCCCACCCCCAGGACAGACACATAGGACGGGGGACTTCAGTGGCAAGAAGCTGAAGGCCTGGAAGGCTCCTATGCTGCGCCCCAAGCTGTAAGCAGGGCAGCGTATTTGCCGTGCATCACTGTAATAGCTTCAGTGTTTCTAAATGCCCTTCTGCGTGGTGGAGCAGAGGGAGTGTGATCAAAAGGAGTGAATGAACTGGGGGTTTTTGGCCGTCAGTGGAGCTACCAGAACAGAACAGCGATGTTGCCTCCTTAGATGTCCTCTATATAGCTTATCTCCTTGTGACAACTCATCATTTCGTGGTAGTATGGAATCTTTGGCCCAAGCTCGGCACCGGCTTTGATTGTGACTGATTCACTCAGCGGCATTTTTGGTGTGAAGCAAGATATATAAAACTTGCCCAGGAATCAGTATTAGATACCATAGGTAGCTTTGGAATCCTCGAAGACTTCAAGCTCGAACATGTTCCTGGAACAGCCCTATTGAACGATGAGTTGCAGCCAATCCACGCTGTGGGCCTGAAACATGGGACAGGCAAGTATTCCCATATCTTTCTGGTCCCGCAACCATCGGAAGACCCAAACGATCCCCTGGTGCGTGAACTCATAACGCTGTTTCCGTAGTGTCCGGCTAACTAGGTAACACTCACACCCAGAACTGGCCCCTATGGCAGAAGGATCTCTGCCTGTTTACTAGACTCCTCGGCACACTACTCTTTCCCGGCGTCTTGGTTTCCATTCTATCGCCGGCGACCTACCCCATGTCTGCAGAATTCGGCACGACTCTTACGGCCATTGCCCAGCTGACAGGGTACTGTCTCCTCTGCGTTGGATCCTTCGGTATATTTGTCTCCGCAATGTCTCGTCTCTGGGGCAAGCGACCGCAATTCTTGCTTGCCTCGCTCTCAGGTATCATCGGTACTCTGGTAGGCGAATGCGCGAGAAATTACAACAGCATCCTTGCCGCTCGCCTCCTTCAAGGATTCAGTGTTGCCGCTTAGGAGAGTTTGATCGTTGCTTTTGTCGGGGACATGTACTTCGTCTACCAACGCGGATCGTGTGTGACTCTATTTCAGCTGGTGTCGAATACGATCGCGGTCCTTGCGCCAATCATCTCGGGTGTCATCTACACTCATTTGGGCTGGCGCTACATATTCCATATCGCTCAACCGTTTCTGTGCCTACACTCGATTCTGGCCTTCTTTTTCTTGCCTGAAACAGCATACAACCGCCACTCGATCTACAACACTGGCACTGCATCCACCTAGAATGTCGTGGAGCTTGAGCATGTGGACTATGCCAAGGGACCCGGCAGCCAGGTGGATACCGTAGAGGCCGATGCTCAAGTACTACCTCGGCGGAAGACGTGGGTTCAGAGGCTCGCCATCTGCAATGGGCGCTTTACCAAAACGAATTCATTCAAACTCATCCTTGGCCCCTTTGTTGTCCTACTCAACCCTGCCACCGTTTGGGGCTGTCTTATGCAAGGGATCAGCTCGGCCTGGTGGGTAGCGACATCGTTCGTATTGGCGTAAATATGGGGGGTTTGCACCATACAACCTCGATGCAGCTGCGGTGGGCTATCTCTATACTGGCCCTTTTATCGGCGGAACCCTCGGAGTCATCTTGATGGTGATGACATCCGATCCGCTTTGCGGATGGGTCGCCCGCAAGAACGGAGGCATTTATGAGCCTGAATTCCGCATCTACCCAATTGTGATCGCAGTTGCTACCGGCGCCATCGGCCTTTTCCTCTTCGGTTCCATGATTGACGCAGGAAAAGGTTACTACGTCGGCAGCGTCCTCCATGGCATCTACGGGATTTCCGTCAATGTTGCTGGTGCTGTTATGAACGCATACGTGGTTGACGCGTACATAGGAATGCACTGAGATGCTGATAATCGCTATGATCTTCAAGAACTTCTTCTTCTACTCTCTGTCCTCCTACATTAACAACTGGTTGGCTCGGGTGGGACCAACAAAGTATTTTGACGTCCAGGGCACTGTGGTCATGGGAATCTACGCCACGTCCATTCCCATGTATCTTTATGGAAAGAGAGTAAGAGGTTGGTGGCGACGACGTGGTTCGATCCGAAGGCTGGGTGGAATGCCTCGGTGATGGTCCGATGGCGTGCCGTGGGAGATAGTCCGACGAGGGGATGAGCTTTGACTGCCACAAGATAAGTGAGTAGTTACCTACGTTCCCTCATGCGGGCTCACAGAAGTCATTGGCGGCTCAAGGCTGGTGGCATAGTTTAAATGTATCTACAAAGTCAAGGGTCTCACTTCTCAACCGAAGAAGCCCAGTTCAACGACTGTACAGACTTATTCGCCGACAATGTTGGAGTTGATAGAGTGGCAAGTAAGAGGCGGGGAAAGCACAAAGCGGGGCAAGATGTGGGCCTACCCAAGTTGCTGTAGTACATATAGCAAGACCCCAGGCTCCAAATTGGTGAAGTCCCATTTATTGGGCTGTTTCACCCCCTCCCCTCTTCCAATATTTTGAAGGTTTCCCTGCCCCCGAAGATCTTGATACCTCCCTCTTGATCACTTTCTCTCGACGATCGAAAGCCCATCGACCATGGCTGAATCACTGACCAAAGAAAAAGGCGCCGCAGTCACCGAGAGGTTGCGATCCGGCCGAGCATGTCTAGGGTGCAGGAAGCGCAAGAGTCGCTGCGATGGAGCGCAACCCACCTGTAACTATTGTGGCAGGCGAAATTTGCCATGCTCATACGCCACCCAAAGACGAAGGAAGCCGGCTCCTGAGAACAGGTAACGCAGTAGATATCATGGGAGGAACATTGTTACTGAGATGTGTCAGAGGTCTCGTCCCAGCCGGCGAAGAAGGGTCAAGCCTTGACCACGATCTATCGACATCCCGGGGCATAGAAGGCGGGAGGACGACGCCCCAACTTTTCCCCAGCAATATGACTCCAAAACTCCTGGAAGGCAGCCTGTTACCTGCTATCGCGTCCGATGATAGCTATGGTGGATCAGTCCCATCACTCGACCATGACAGCGACGAAGAACTGCAAATTCAAGCTGAATCTCTCGACATCGTGGAGCACGGTGGGTGTGCAACCCTTCCGTCTCACGCGAACAGGAAGCGATAGAGCTGACAGTAACATCTCCAGACCAGGCAACCATGCACACCGCTCTTGGTGATTTTGGTCTCACCTTATATGCCATGGGGATGGCCAGTAAGCCTGCAGATCCAGGCTCGAGATCTGACCTTTTTCGTAAGAAGAGCAGAATCAACGGCGTAATCCGGGGCCTCAGCGAGCTGCACCCTGACAATTTCAACCTTCCGCCAGGCACCCTTGCCAACCGCCTCGTGGACCTCTTTTTTGAGCATGTCCACCCTCTATATCCTTTTGTTCATCGACCAAGCTTCATTAAGCGCCTCAATGAGACCTATAGCGGGATGCAACGGGAAATCGACGTCCCGTGGCAGGCCACTCTGAATCTTGTCTTTGCCTTCGGATCCGATTACTTGGACCTTACCCTTACTGAAACCTATGCAATGGGCCGGTGTTTTCTACAGCATGCCACCGAATTAATTCTTTCTGTCTGCTTCGACACGTCTACTCTCGAAGTCGTGCAGGCACTGTTACTGCTGAGCTGCCACTTGCAGAGTAACATGCAGTACCAGAGGGTCTGGACGAGTATAGGGACTCTATATCGGGCTGCCCAGGGCCTCGGGCTGCACATGGACCCTGGATCATGGCGCATCAGTTCCATCGAGAAGGAAATTCGAAGGCGAATATGGTGGGGTATTTATTCCCTGGATCGGTATATCAGCAGCCCTTCAGGATTTGCGAAGGATTTTTGCGCTGACTCTCTCTCCTAGATTCACCAGTCTGAAGTGCGGCCGTCCGCCCGCTGTCAACATTGAGTCTCTGCCGGTCGAGCCGCCAGCCGTAGTACGAGACGAGCAAATTACCGAAGCAGGCATCACAGGATTGGTCCAGGACACTGGTATTCCTTGTTCGTCTCATTTTTTCAATGCCATGGTTCAGCTAGCCCACATCGCTGAGTCTATCCTGGTCTCCATTTCCAAAGACACGCCCTGGTCACTGCCGGGCCGCAACACAAATGTCGCAGAGGCGACTGATTTGGAACCAATTCACTTCATCATTCAGCTGGGGCTGGTGATGGAACAAGAAGGCAAACTCCGGTCCTGGCTTGACAGCCTACCCGCTCACCTACAATTCAAGGCAGTCTGTCAGAGCGAAAAGATTCGGACACAGCAGAGCATGCTTCGCGTTCGCTACCTGCACACGCGACTGATGACGCACCGGCAAAATTTGCTGTCTCTGATACAGTGTGACCGCAAGCGACTTGACTCGCTCGAAGACGATTTCCTACAAACGGCCGTTATGGGAAGTGTCCGAACCTGTGCCCAGTGCGCGTGTGATATCACCGAGATGGTGAAAAATTCGGCTGCGACTCAGAACATGGGGCCATGGTGGTACAATGTGCAATGTGAGTTCTTGCCATCCATTTTGGACGTTTCAGCTCAGATTTAATATGTCGTAAACCCCTCCAAAACATCCAAAAATTCTCAAAGAGACTCTTGAAGCATTTTGGAATCACTATTCAGATTCGTGCCACTGACACTGCACGGGATAGTTATTTTCACCTCACTCGGAATCCTCTTTGCCGTCCAAACGAGAGCCGCGATCGCCGAACACGTCGACATCGAAGGCGTCACCTCTGCCGTTGACTCCGCATTGGACTATTTGCGGCTTCTGGGTGATGTCAATGGGGTCCTGGTCCGGTGTCGAAGTTATTTTGAATCGTTGAAAGCACGAACCGAGACTAGAAAAAGGTCACCAAGAGGCCTCGCTGTGAATGAGACTACCCAAGGAGACCACGAAGCAGAATTGACAGGACCCGGAGAAATGCTCGGAGCCAAACCAATAGAGATCCCCCTCAGTATGGATGGGAGTGAATATGATCATGGACTTGACAATCATGATCGTTGGCCTGAGGCGAACTTCGGCGGAATTGAGAATTTGGAATCGGAGACAGTGGATCTGTTCCTAGATCACTTGATGACAGATTTGGACTTTGACTTTACCTGACAAGGGGATTGTCCCCCTCAATTGAATCATGGCTCTTGGGACATTTCATCAGCCTGTAAGTAGTGGGAGTTTTCGCGTTCTTTAAGGCCGACTACCTGAGGACTGTCCGGCACTGGAGTCGCTGAGCTATGCCCCCTACCATCGTCACATCAATGGAACGTTGCCCCACCACCACAATCAAATATCTGACCCGTAATAAACTGCGCCTCTGGACTGGCAATGAAATTTATCGTATACGCAATATCCTCGGGCCTCCCATTACGTTTCACACACTGCTTTTGCAGCAACCGATCAAACAACGGATGCGATCCGTCCTCCCGGCCATGGAGCTTCCACACCGCCGGCGTCCTGATCAACCCGGGTAAGATAATGTTCGCCGTCACCCCGGGCCCGGCCTCGACGGCGGTGGAACGTGTAAATCCCATCACCGCCGCCTTTGAAGTCACATACGCCGAGAGACCTGGGTCTGGGAGTTGCAAGGTCCCCGACGAGGTGTTGATGATTCGTCCGTACCCAGCCTCTTGCATGTGCGGCAGCACGGCCTTGGTCAGGTAGAAACACGCCATGACGTTGACGTCCATGACCTTCTTGAAACTGTCACCGGGGTGGCCCACAATGGGGATGAAAGGGTATACGGCCGCGAGCTGGATGAGGACGTCAATCTTACCATGAGTCCGGACCACGTCGTCCACCATCGAGTTGACGCTGGCTTCGTCGGCGGCATTGCAGACCCGGATTTCCGCCTTCCCTTCCAGTTTCTCTGCCGGAGAGCTTGCTAGCTCTGCGCCGTATTGGGCTGCGTCGATCTTCGCGGCGACCTGCTGGAGTTTGTCCTCTTGAACATCAACCATAATCACTGTGGCGCCCTGACGCACAAACAGCTTCGAAGCCACTTCCCCGATCCCCTGTGCGGCACCTGTGATCAGCACCACTTGTCCCGCGTATTTGTCCGGGTAGACTTTGATAGGCGGGATGCGGGAGCCCGGCTCGATTTCCCAATTCTCCATGGCTGCAGAGGTTCTCTGTAAATGGGTTTTGTCTGTCTTTTGTTTTCGTCGCTCTGGGTGCGAAGACAAAGAAAGAATAGGGGACTTGGGGACTTCAATCTAGCGTGATTGGCGCCACGCGTGCTCTGGATGAGTCGTCTATTTCCCTGGTCTGAACTGGGCATATGAAAAAGATCTTTCCCACAAATATAAAAATCACTCTCACACACTGTCTGCGAGAATAACAAAGTACACCCGCTCAAGTACGCCTTCTCGCGACCGTACCTCCTTCCTTTTGTCAACAATGCGGGTGGGCCCTCTCTTGAGTTGCTCCGCTGGGCGGGGAAAGATGTCGAACTTAGGTATGATCTAAAGGACTGCGTGTTGCTCACCGATCCATCGCCGCTTTCCCTTTCTACGAAGAAGATTATGGAGGCTGCCAGAGCTATGATATTTGTGCTGTCTGGCTCCGAAGTACTTTGACCAACAGAGTAAGGTACCCCACAGCCCCATCCCTCGTTTGACATGGGATATGGTGGGGTTGATGGGGTAGGATGGTTGGGCCAAATAATAAGGAAAGTCTAGCGAGCGCTGAGCAGAGCTTCTCCCACCCTCATACTGACTGTATGGAGTACGGAGGCGTGCACCAAAAGTTGAGACTGCGCTAGTGTAAAATGACACATATTTATAATGACGCCCAGCCAGCTTAAAAGACAGACTTTATTTTAATCGTGCTTCCAGGGCAACAGCCCCTAGACTAACTTAGGCCCTAAGACAGACCTAATAGCTTCGAGATTGAGGTGAAGTTAGGAAGGTCTCCTAGGGAGTTCTAGGTAAACTTTGTCTCTAAGAATACCTGGAAGGTCTCAAAATAATTAAGGCGTCAGACCGATATAGATCATAACACATGACGATCCCTCGTCATTTCAAATGGCTCGATCTCAACTTTTGGTGCACGCCTTCGTACTCCGGACTTCTACCAGCTAAATGTCTCTTGATCCCGCGTGACCCCTCTTAAAGCATACCAGCGCAGGATTGACTGGGTTCTCCAGCGTCGCCAAAGCTCGCCAGACGGGTCTTCTCCCACCGAGGTCGAACCGAAAAGCAAAGGGCACCAAGTTACGGAGAGTGATATGGGGAATTGTGCGGGCGTGTCAACGCAGAGGATTCACGGTGCACAGCCACTAAGAGTAATGCGACTCATCGTTATTGTCTCATTTCCTTGTGCTGTACTAGCGAGCGCAAGGAAGTGTCAAGCAATGACCCCAAACGTAGCTAGCTCTTCACATCCACAGGGACGATATCATACACCCTGGCCATACATACTGTTGGAATCAGGCTTTCATGAGCGCCAACAGCGCCTGTTTCACAACTCCTTGCGTTAACAACTCCTGTCTTGCTCTGTTGTTAAACAAGCCGTCTCAGTGCTCGGGGCCTCCTTGCATGTAGTCTCGAACGCAATTGCATAGAGATTTATATAGAGAATTGTTCCTGCAAGCATCGTTGCGGCGGCCAACCAATATACAATTCATTCTACAGACTGAATCCAACACGTACACAAGGATTAAATGAGCATTGTCCCCAAGAAACCTCCCCTCTTGATATTCTTCCTCTCAGGAGCCGGTGATTTCAGGCCACAACTTCAGCATGGCTCCCCCGCGGCTTCTCCTCGGCCTGCTGTGCTGCGACGGATCCAGCGAGCCTGGCATCATTGGTGTCCGTGCAGACATAAGTCTTGAACTTCCGAGCCGGCACGCGTTTCTCAAACATTTCATCAATCTCTTCCAACGTGCGGTCCTTAGTTTCGGGCATGAAGAAAAATATGAAAATGAAGTAGGCAAAGTTGGACCCAAACCAAATCCACGAGTATTTCGGACCCTATCCGAGACACACACGTAATTAGCCAGGTCACCATTATACTGTGCAATGGGGTGCTATATGGAAGGGTGCTATGGAAGGGATGAGGGCAGGGAAAGACTTACCCAGTTGAGATCCTGTGGATTGATGAAGTACGGAACGGTGAAAGAGATGAGCCACGCTCCGAGGAAACCGATCGCGTTGGCAATGCCCAGGGTGAAACTCCTCAATCTGTTAGAGGGGATCTCCCCAGCCACCAAGTAGAGGTATGGAGCTGTGCACATGGTGTAGATAAAGATGTGGAGGATGACAAAAGCAACTAGACAACGGCTGGCGGCGAGGGAGTTGTCGCCTGAACTGTAGGTAGCGCCGATTATGAGCATGCAAATACCCTGCCCCGCTGCACCGAGGAGCAAAAGAAAGCGTCGTCCAACTCTGGTGATCACATACAGCGAGATGAGAACTCCCGCCAAACCGGCACAGTTCATACCCACGCTTTCTTCGAAAGGTTTGTTCTCGCCGGCAATGGCAAAGAAATATGTACCATAGACGAGGAAGAAGAGATTGCCGGTGGCCGAGAGCGAGAGGACTAGGCAGATGGAGAGGATCGAACGACGTTTATTGGTGCCATGGAACATATCTGCCACTCTAATGCCCTTTGCTAGCGAGCGCTCGATGCGAACGGCTTCTACCATTTCGTTCAGCTCGGCTTGGATCATACTATTAGTCGTGTCTGACGGCCGAAGCGTCACCAGGCTCTTGCGAGCCTGGTCGTGGAGGTCGTGGTCGATCAGCCAACGAGGAGTCTCCGGCATGAATACCAGGATCAACATAAGGAAAGTCGGAATGATTAGTAGACAGCCACAGGGTATCAAGTAGGACGAACGGTCCGGGCGGGCCGCTGTGTAGTTGTCGACAACCGACCCCAGGATGCTTCCAAGTGCAATGCAGAATTGGTACATTCCTAGGAGAGCACCACGGAGTTGTGGCACAGAAGTCTCTTGGATGTAGAGCTGTGTTTCAACCATGAAAAGACCATTTGCAAGGCCAATGATAACACGGCTGGCGTAGAGGGCGGCAAATTCAGTCGAAGCCAACATGAGAATTGCTACAATCCAAGGTCAGCCTCTGTCTACCCGCGTCCCAGAAATGCAGCTGAAGATTCAGCTTCCACTTACCACCTACATGGTTCAAAATGCAGCCCAGGAATAACGCCGCTCGACGTCCTATATACTTGCCCAGGGGTCCCACACAGAGACACGCGGCAAACGCACCTGTTCATGAGCCTGTCAGTCATTTTCTCAGTGCAGCCCGCACGGAACAATACTCACCGACGGTCATAAGTGAGTTGATCAGTTGTTGCACGGTGCTGTCGATTCCCCAGCCGATTGCTGAGGTAGGATCTTCGTATCCGAATACCTTAAGGAATCCTGGCATGGCCTGCAGACCACCGAGCAATCCATAGTCCATACCTGCGAGCCCAACACAGGTTAGATCAGACGGGACTTCCGCATACTTTGTCAATCGAGATTCTCGCAACTTACCGTACTGAGTAGTGGCCAGACACGCAAGACAAGCGATGCCAAAGCCCTTGCGGTGGTGCCATATGGAGCCGTAGGCGACTGGCAAGACCTCAACATGCTGAGTCTCGACATTTTGATCCACGGTGGACCTTTGCGCAGGAACCGTAGTCGTCGCGGTGACTTCCGCAGTGGATCCCATGGTGCTGATACTGACCGAACAAAGACTTGGTATTTTACACGATATTTAAAGATCGCACGAGGGGCTACCAGAGCATCATGGAATGGTCGAGCGGGTATTCTGCCAACATTATATGCTCACGGGCGAAGTGGGTGAAAGCGGCACAGCCGATCTTTTTGCCCCGGACTTTTCAAGCTTTGCCCCCCCATCTGGGGTCCCTAAACCCGATAACTAGCCGGAACTCACCTAGTGCAGAGCACGTTCATGTCGTTACTTCATGCACTAGATAGATAGAGCGGAAGCGAATAACTAAAGTAGGTTTGACTACCAAATAGCCTCCTCCCAGACGCCACAAATCATATCCAAAGTGGAAAACTATCGAGACAACGTGGAGATCCAAGCGCGAAGGGGAAAACTCTTGTCTTGGCCGGCCGACAGTCTCAATCGATACCCCGATCTCTATCTCAGATTCTCAGATTTCTCTTTTCCAAGCCGGTGGGATTTACTTGCGAGCCTCCCAAACACCCAGCTCGCAGCCCGGGTGTCGAGAACCCCCCCCCCCCCCGCGGGGGACAGCTACATGGGAAGGTGAGCCGGTTTTCGAAGAGTGCCGAAGGCCAAATTCCAATGCAGTGGGTCACGGACTTCTCCCTCTCTTCGTTCAATTCGAACGCGTGATGCAAAACCGACATCGAGCCATCCAGACCCAAGACAACATGGCGCGGACCCTGCGATTGTCCGTGGTGGGGGACTACGAAAGCCGAAGACGACTTGCTGTACTACAGTTCTGTTTAGGAACATACGCCGGGGTGGGGAAATGCGAAAGCCGATGACTAGACAATCTCCACCAACAACGGCGGGGACAATTCTTGCCGTGAAGGTAACAAGGTGGGTTATGTGGAGGAGGCAGACCCCATCCTTCTCTCTCACTGATAAACATGCCTAATTTGGACGGATTAGGGTTGTTTGGCTAGAACCGAGTGCTAGCGGCCTGTTTCTTCATGAATACAACACATTGGATTTCTCCGATTCATGGAGAGAGACAACCTACACAGGTCAGCGAGAACTTCGAGCGAAAATCCAGACCATTATCTCTACCCCAACCTGTCGAACACCCTGAACCCTTCGGTAGTGGACCGTGGAGTTTGTCCCTCATCTAATGGGTTTCTCGGAATGGTGTGACTCAAGGCACCAAATCCTAGCTCGGGGGCTCTAAAGGGTGTCCACCCAGAGACCTTTGGTCGCAGCACCACATCCCTACCATTCCCCCAAGACGGCACCCAACAAGTCTACGTCGAACTCTCGACCCTGGGCGCAGGTTCCATAGCTTAATGAAGCTACTCAAACCAAGAGCTTACGATGACCCCAACAAGACCTAGTTCTAGCCTTCCTTGCTGCCTTCCTTGCTACCATCAGACCAAAGCCGGTGACCGAGCTGCCAGGCCCAGACCAGACTTGAATCAACGACGAGATTCCTCTGTGGAGACCGCTGGGGCATTTCCTTCATGCCCTTGACATCTTTGGCGATGGCAGCTTCTACGTCACTAGTGCGCCCGGTCACGTTCAAGGGCACATTAACCGTCTTGCTCGTATCGGTCCCCAGCGTCTCGTCCTTTTGAAGAGTGAGTTATGCCATTTCCTCCCGTGGCTGGAGGAGGCCTGCACCAGTTCCAGGTTTCCGAAGGCGAAGGCTCGATGAAGAGCGTTCATATGGACGACGCGGCGACAGCGACTCACATTGCCAATATAAGAAGCATGGTCAGAGCCGCGGGCCATAGCTTCTCGTTCGAGGTGGTCCTGGCGCATGATATAGGATGGAGTCTGGAAAATAGCGACACTATCTTGCCCGGCAAGTTCTCACTTTTGGAAAGGAATTTGCTATAGTATAGTATCATAGAGAAGCCATATCAACGTACTCTTTTCTATTCTTTTCTCAATTGCCTTTTTTGCTCTCTTTCCCTGTTTCTACTTTGTCTTGTGTCAAGTTTCGTTGACAACGTCTAGACGGTCAGATCAAGTAGCAGTAAGTACGATCCCTTCCCGCATACTTTTTGTTACTCCTCAGTTCTTCACTCTCCGTTTGATGAAGCAATCCATAGCCGCTTGCTTCACAAGCCACCAATTCGTCGTCTTCCATGCCTCTTCAGGATTCACAAGCTCGATCTCAAAGGCGCGGATTATCTGCGGTATCACCTTGGACATCTCCATGAGGCTGATGTTCTTCCCCAAGCACGTGCGTGCCCCAAGACCAAACTGTGTGCTATGGGTTAGCCTTTACAGCTTCCAGAGTTTGATTGCCAAAAGGAAGAAACACAGAGGTGAAGCAAAACCTTACCTCGAGAAAATAGCGGTCCATCTTCCTGACTGATTCCTGTGACACAAGCCATCGCTCAGGGATGAAAGATTCGACATCGCTGCCGAAAACATTCTCGTTTCGATGTGCTACCCAGGAGTTGATACCGACGGTGGTCTCAAGACAAAGGGCCGAATTAGCAAAAGGAGCGTACTTTGAGAGAGAAACAACAAAGTCGAGACGGCACTTACTCCTTCTGGTAGATCATACCCGAGCAACACTGTTCCGCCCTCTGGCACTACTCTTGCCAAAGTAAACCCGGTCGATGGATGCAACCTCATGGCTTCCTTTAGTACTGCTTGAAGATAAGGCAACTTTAAGGCTTCCCTGTACTTGATTACCGCCGAAAGTCTGCTTGTTCGGTCCGCCTCGTCGATCTCGCTCCGCAACTTGGCAAGCTTCTCAGGGTTCATGCACAGAAAGTAGACGATCGCGCGCAAAGCGATCGCAGTTGTGTCGGATCCGGCTCCCCTGGTGAGAGCGTCGTCAGTAACTTGGTTCCTGGGTTTTCAGGAAGAATCTACATACACAAGCACCATACACATCTTGTAGACTTCTCTCATTGGAAAATCGTTCGGCTTCTGGTTGTGGGCCTGAATGAATCGGGACAAGAAGTCTGGGTGCTGAGCCCCATCTTTCACGCGACTCTCCACACTAACTCTGCTGAACTATAGCGGTCTTTCAGTAAAAGCCTGAGTGCCATGGGGACGGCCAGAAAGATAATCGCCTTGAGAAATACAAAATTGGTTGATGCTGGAAATGACCGCGAGCATATAGATCACATACCTCTTTCAGACTTCTGAAAGGATCGCTGCCCGGGAAAAGATACGACATCACTGAAGTGTAAGGTCCATGTAGCTCTGGAATTGTCCCCATCTTAGCAGAGTAGGAGAGAAAGCCATCCAAGGTCTTCATGATGTCGCCCACATCTTCGCCTTTCTCAAGGAAGCCAAACCGTCTCGCAAACTGAGCCATGTTAGTGGCAACTGAGGTAGGTGGAGCTGAGAGAGTTAGCTAGGTACCGTGACTTCCCCGATAACGTCAAAGGCATAGCATTGTAGCCAGTGGGCCATGTCGATGGGCTTCTTTTTGTCTGCGAACTCTCCCAACCGAGTCTCAAACATAGTCACACAATCGCTGATAAAATCCTCCATCTCCATGACTGCAGTCATGGAAAATGCGGCGGACACCATTCGGCGATCGTGGGCATGGCGCTGAATGTTGGAATCGGTGAATAAAGAGTGAGCGCCTGGCGGATCGGATGCTTCATACCAGCGTGCCTGCGGGAACGCGCTAACTATTAGCCCAAGAAACAGGGCCGGAGCAAGCGTTACCGCAGAGCTTGCAGACCTTTCTATACCGGGATCCAGGACCATAGATAATTCTGAGGCTTTCCTCAGGATCGTCGATGCTCACCTCAGTGGGGCCGATTCGGACAATTGGGCCTAATTTATCCCGTCGGTTAGAATTGCAGCAGAACGCAGACGCCAATTTTCTGGTAGCTTACCATATTTCTGATGCAGTCTGATGTTCTCCCACTCCATATGCTCTTGGAGGGTTTTGTGGACTTTCCATAATTTCGTAACGCTTGCCAGCCAGGGACCAGGGATCTTTCGTAATGGGGTCAGGTACCGAGCGCTGAGGACTTGCCCTAAAGCGAGGGCCGCAACAATGAGGAGAAGAGCAGTAGGAGAAATTCTCCCCAGGACTGTTTTTGTCGCATCCACGAGGTGTGCCATTTTAATCTCAAAGGGTTTTGTGGAATGTACAGGCCAAGAGGGTTCATCTAACTAATATCAATGGAGGGATATCTGAGAGAATGCTGAATGGTCTAGCACCTACCCCACCGGGGGTGACTGAGCCACACGAGAATTCCACGGCCTTGATGCCGAGCACGGGAAATAGCAACCAATTCAACAGGGAAGACGTTAAAGAAATCGGCCCGTTGAGATGTGGATCAGCATCTTGGGGGAGCTGAGAGTACTTCTGCAGTTCGGTGAACAAATCTAAGAGCTCCGGATGTCACCCTTGACCCTTTTTGCAGCTGGTCGTCAATCCTCCTCGAACGAGGTAACAGATGTCGTTCTAATTGCTGTGGCGAGATACGCTGAAATTTAAGCTCACGTAAAGAACAATCCTGTTAGTGTTATACATTGTTTCCCCCCTTTAAAGCAAGGCAATGGTAGTCGCCGCGAATCTACAGAGCCTATGTACAGGCGTAGCCACGTGGTTATGATTCCAAGGATTTTTCAAATTCCTAAATTTATATTGAGATTAATAATACACTTGAAGAAACAAAGATACGTTAAAGATTACAATAAAACCAAAATGAGTATTTATTAATCGATCTCGTAAGTAGCGTATATCTATCAATATTATATTAATCGAGGAGGTAGCCACTCCTACCTCGCGCCTAATTCAGAAATAGTTCTTAAGTGAATCACTTATGAGATCTCACTTTTTGTTCGTGGACCTGCACCTTCCGTCCCATCTTGCTCATTAGTTTGACAGGGCACGGCTTAGAAATAAGTATGAAATCGGTCATCAGGATCTCACAACAAGCTCGTTCAGTGAAACCTTCCCAGAGTTCCATCCAGGACAAAGTGCAGAATTTCTTCTTGATCTACAGATGCCATGTAAGTTCAGCGATTGTGGGCGCTCGTATACTTAGTTGGCAGCTTTTGCGTGCCGTCAAGGCTAAGAGCACAGTGACTCAAAAGCAAATGATTCTCCACGCAGATCCTACCTTCCTTGACGTTTGTCGCGTGGCGACAATGTAGCCATGTGTGAGAATGAATTTCCTTGGGGAAGATGGCACCGCCGCACCACCCTTGTAAACCGAAGAGACCCAACAATACACTCTCAAGAAAATGAGAGGCTCAAGAGACTATGATCCCTGATCGAGGTGGGGAATGTCATACTCTCACTGGGCCAAGTTGAACATCGTAGGCAGACCGCGTGTTGTTGCGTTTTGGCATTTCAACCAGCTAAGGGCTGCACCACATTGCAAATTTCTCAAGTACAAGAGGTAAGGAAGAAGACGAAATTTTCTGGCTAAGCAACTAGACGCAGTTGAAATTAGGTAAAAATCTCAATGGAATGTGCGACGATCTGTGCGGGTTCTTGCGCATTTGTGCCCCATGACTATACATACATTTACGATTGGAAACCCACCAACAACACATCCCAGGCCTCTGGTTCTAACAGTCGTTCTTCTGAAGTACGCGCATCGAATATGAGTCATGCGAGTCGACACGCGCCAGGATTGCTACGCTGTTGCATGAGTCCAGCCCATATATAAGGTGCTTGCCCCACTCTCTCCTGACTGCCTCGACACAAGGCCATATTTCTTTGTTCCACTTTCAGCCATCTGCAAAATATCCAATAAATCTTTGAATTCTACCTTCTTCGACAACTTATCTTCTGATTCATCGGCATCTGGCCGCATCTGACAGCCAAGCACCACCTTGCGTCAGAATGTCTTCCAGTTTATCAGTATGTATATATGATAGCCTAGTCATTGCTTTATGTGGCTGCAGCTCTTCCAGCTCAAGCAGCTTGATTATACCCTAGCTGATCTCATGTTTGACTTTGCAGGACCAGATTTCAACCATGTCGAGCACTACTACCGACGACGCCCGAAGCCTGCCTACTCCTTGGATGATAAGATTTTTCGAGCAGCATCATAACGATTTCATCAGCACCCAATATTGTCCAGGACAGGAGTTCATCATGCAGATTCTCAGAAAGGCAAATTTCTGCAAACTTAGTTTGGTGGATGGGCTTGAAAGACCACTAGAAACATGGCTCACCGACCCGAAATTCATCATCGACGACCTCTTTTACAAAAGAATTCGACCAGCCCTCGTCCTAGCGTCAAGATTCATTTGGAACAGCGCAGACTTTTTCGACAACACCTGGAATCATGAAATCCACTCCGAAGGCAACAAGATCTACTCTATCCACGATCTCGAGACTTCCTATGAACAAAAGCACAACTGGATCTCTAAAGTTTTAGGCAATATCAGTAGCTTCCAGATGTTTACAGGCTGACATAAAGATGAACATGACGGCCACGCAACACTACACTACGGGCAGCACACAGAGAATGGCACTAATATCTCCCACGACGCCTACGATAAAGTCAGGATGTGCGCTCTACAGCTCAACCATCAATTTCACAAGTTCTTCACCCACCCCTCATACAACAAGTGGTCAACAGAGACAGTCCAAAGGACGCTTTACATCCTAGCAACGACGATTCCACACGAGATCGTCCATCTGTGTTACAGATTCAGATGGCAGAGAGAACTTGGTACAGGAATGGCCGCCCCACAGGAAGAGCCACTTTACAAGAAAAGTGACCCTACAGCAGAACTCGGACTCGCCTGGAAACGATGGGCATTTGGAGGAACCCCAGACATAAAATACGATAATGGATACACACCCTACACCGGGGCCAAAGCGTTGGGTAATCTCGACCTCAACCAGGTCTGCTGCTGGAGTGGATGCCAGCCACAGACGATCATGAAAGTCAAGGCCTCGGACGCCTCAGACATCCCCCCCTTTTTTGACCCTATGTGTTGGCGCCTGTGGATAATCCTACGAAGCGGCAAGCACCCGGACTATGACGAAGTGGTCGGAAAAAACTTCATTGATACGATGAAAGCAGCCCAGCAGATGATGGAGTTCCGGGCTGTCCATGGTGGAAGTCTCCCTCGGGTCGACCAAATCCAGCGTGTGGAGTTGAGAGAGGAGTTCTGGGACACTCGGACCAGAGCCAGTGCCAATGGGGAGAAGGTTGTGACCCAATCACCACCATCACACCGCAGACAACCGTCAACCTCACCTTCAACCTCGACAACTACAGCATCATTATCATCTTCATCCTCGACCTCCTCCTCAAGGCCATCCTCAAGGCCATCCTCAAGCCCGACACTCACAGCGGCCATCCCTCAAGGAGCACCTAACTTCAACGGTGCGTGGCTCGACCTTTGTGCTGACTCGAGGAATAAGCTTACAAGACGCTCTCGAGACACTCATCGACTATAAAGCTGACAACTCAACAACGACGAGTCCCTAGAGATGAATCCAGGGTTTTACAACTGATCTTCCCGACATAAACATCACCACTATATAATACACGACATTTACGACAACAGCGAATGAGATTGATTGAGGGAAAACATTGGTATCACGTGCACGGAAGGAAGGAAATGGGACAGAAGGGCGCTCAGAGTCAGAGGTCCCGTGCAGTAGATGAAGGATGTTTTTATTTTATTGTGTATGACAAGTTCCGGCAAGTCAAGGCCTTGGAACGGGGTTCGAGGACATGATGGGATACGTAGAGCCATGGGAGCTCAGGACTAGATTAATGTTACCTGTTGAGATGAGGTGGCTCGGCCACACACGGGCACAAGGACATATACTGTCGACTTGTAGCATCTACGGGTTCAAAAGGATGTTGCGCACCTCATAATCAGCTTCGTGGTTGGAATTTGCTCAACCCTACAAATCTGAATAGTGCATAGCTAGCCTACTACTACTTCTTGGCAGCATTCACCTCCTCATCGACCTTCAAGATATCCGGGACGGGGCCGACAGGCGTAATGCCGAAAGGGTTGATCTGCTTATGGCTCTTGGTGTAATGGCCCTTGATATGCTCGAACTGGGTGGTCTCTCCAAATGCCGGTTCATTCCAGTAGAGATTGCGCACCCACTTATGCAAGTTAGGGTAGCCACTGCGAATATCTCTGATGTTGCACTTGAAGTGCTGAACGTATACGGGGTCAAACCGAATAATGGTCGTGAAAAGGCGAACGTCGGCCTCGGTGACTTTGTCGCCGAAGTAGAACGGTCCAGACGATTTGCCCAGGTCGGCCTCAGCGCGGTCGAGCGATTTGAAGAGCTGTTTGACGTTCTTCTCGTATGCTTCTTGTGAGGTGGCGAAGCCGGACTTGTACACGCCGTTGTTGATGTCGTCGTAGGTCCAGGAGTTGGTTTCTTCGATTTTGGATTGGAGGTCTTTGGGGTACAGGACGATGTTTTTGTATTTGTCCTCGATCAGGTCGTCGAATTCCGTGTAGAACATGCGGATGATTTCGGAAGATTCGTTGCTCACGATCGTGTTCTTCTTCTTGTCCCAGAGTGTGGGGACCGTGAAGCGCCCTTCGTAGTCCGGGTTGGCGGCGAAGTAGAGGTCTCGGAGATGTGTGAAATCCGGGTGTAGTGGGTCTGGGCCAGAGTTCTCACCAGGAAGTTTTTCGTCCGATGTGGCGAAGCGCCAGCCTTTGGGGGGCGGGGAGATTAGTGATGTAACAAGACACTTTGTTAGAGGGGCATAGATTTCTAGTACCTTTCTCGGCCATGTGCCAATGCACACTGGTGAATGGAATGATATCCTCCAAGCCCTTCAATTTTCTCACAATGAGCGTTCTATGTGCTGTAGCAGAGTCCAATCAGAAGCCGTTCAGGATGGATCAAATGGATGCTATGACATACCCCACGGGCAAGCATAGCTGACATATAAATGATACCGGCCCTTTTCCGCTGGGAATTCCGAATTCGGATCTTTCGAGATGAAGTTCCTGAACACGGATTGTTGGCGCTTGAACTCGCCACTTTTATCGCCGGGCTTGACCCAGTCAGTAATCGCGCTCGTCTTATCCTGTGTGGACTGGGTCAGCCAGGGGCCTTTGAAGAAAAGTGAAGCTAATAGGACGAGGCTGAAGACAACAATTGAGACGGGTTTGCGTACCGACATCGCGAAGAATGAGGCTGTGGCTGTAGCTGCTTTTGGGAGTGCTGATGAAGGATTGATCGAGCTTGTTATGTGAGCCAGATGAGTGCGGAGACGAGCAAGGGAATTTGACATGAACAATCGGTAGATCAGTAATGAGCTGAGATTCTAGCTTGAAGCTGTGGCCGAATAGATATATATGCAAGAAATCAGTGCGGAACGTGGCCGACTGGCATGTGTGGTTGATGGGGAGGAGGTTCTCTGAAGCATGCATGTGAGCTAATCATTACGAACGTCATCAAGTCACTAACTACTTACGAAGAGGGTTTTTGGCTTTGACGTTGCTGTGATGACTAAACCTGCATCAATTAGTCAACCAGTCGCTGAAGGGGGCTTTCCCGTTGTGGTGGCGGAGAAGAAGGATTGTGGCCCGTGGGAACCAGTCTACAAGTACCAAGGACTACAGATAGTGGAATAGGGAGCTCAGTAGATAGATAGGGATTTGAAACCCGTATTTGATTCATGTGGCCCTTGCTTGTGTGTCTGGCGGGCATATGCCTCGGAATATCCTTCGCAATCTTTGGTACACATCTAGAATAAGAGAAGAATCTATGATACAATCATCGCTAGGTAGGCTGCATTCTAAAGTGCCAGGAGAGCTTCTAAACGACCCTCAGACCAGCTAAGCGACCTGCTTGTGTCTTCGTGCAGTTCTATTTCTTGTACTTCACCATGACATATGGAATCTCAACGTCCTCCTCAGTGGTGTCCTCAGCAGTAATCTCGAAGATGATGTTCTTCTGATGCTCCGGGATAGGCTTGCGGCTGATCGTCTCCAATAGCTTGCTCATCTTGAGAGGCAAACGATCCTTGACCTTACTAGGTGGATAGAAGCTAGCATACAAGAGACTGACGCCAGAGCTGACCATTGTAACACTCAACCCGAGATCATCAAAGTGTTTGATGAAGTCTGTAAGGGTGATATCGTCGACTTCAAATCGGTCCCAGAGTTTGTCAATAGTCACCTCTCCATTCTTGCCTTGGTAAGTGCCCTTGGGACTTGAGATGGGCTCACTGAAACCAAAAAATGGCAGCGCGAGATTGACGAAGCCATTTTTATATTGCTCAAGATCTGTCTTTCCATCGACAATCTTGCACAGTTCGAAAACGACTAGTCCAGTCGCCAATGCTGTGGTGGTTGCGATGGCAGGAATAATCTTGCCAGCGATGAACTTGGTCTTGTGTCTATCGGCGACAGCGATGTTATAGTTCAACGCTCGAAGATTACTTGCCGCTGTGATGAAATCAATGTGATGATTGGTATCATCATCTTTCTCAAATTCTACCACGGTTAGGCGGAAGCCAGGTAAACTCTTGGGCGACGGCAGTTGAGCAACAATCTTGTTCAGCTCCTCCTCGTCATCTGCAAATGTTGGTGGTGGCCCGTTCGGGTCAGGTTCCTTCTCATCCGCCTGGATCCTCACATTGGCGTCTGGCCGGAATTCTGGGATGATTAGGCCGTCGAGTACTTTTGCGTAATCGCCTTTGCTGAGTTTGGGTGCTTGGATGCCATAGTTGTATGCATGGAGATGGGCGCCAGCAATCACAAAGCCAAGGTGAGTCTCATCGTTGGCATCAAAGATGAGCGGGGTTGGTGCGCGTTTGGGTCCTGACCAGAAATCCGCACCGCTTGAGGTCTTGGAATCCTTGGGAAAGTTGTATAGTAATTGCGCAATTGCGTTATGATATTGCTTTTCGAATTGATTTCGAGCCCACGCAATGCAGTCATTAAAATCGGTGGGCTTGTCAGACACCAAGAAATCCTTGAGGCTGTCCAAAATTTGCTTCTCATTGCCTTGTTGTCTCAGAGTGGTATTGATATAGTCGGGCTGCGAGAGATACAAGTTGACGGTCTCCGGAGGTCCCACAAAGTATGATTGGAACAAGTCTCGAGCCCAGGCAATTGTGTGCTCAATCTTGTTGGGGAAACTTCGAAGAGTACACATCGGGAAAGACTGCTCTGGAGGATCTTGAGAGCTGGAGTAAGATTCTGTTAGCCGGGGAAGAACAACTTGAGTATTAGCTTTAGTTCCTAGTGTGCCACTTTCGAGTAGTGGTTTTTGGAAGAAAACGCATCTTCGGTCGACATATGTACGGGCCTCCACATTGTCGAGAGCGTTAGTAACCAGATCGAGGTCTGCCCAGAACTTCTCGTTGAACACGTCTTCTGAATCAGGGCCAACTCGGTCAGTCAGGGTGGTGATTTTGCCTCTGAGCTCGGGATTCATGGCTTGCACCGCTGCAGCTGCAGCATCGCTCTTCTGCTTTCCAACATCTTTGGCTCGGAAGAGGAATTGACGGTTCAGGTTGCTCCTCTCGATGGAGTCGTTATCTGTGACCGTGATATGTCCTTTGGGTCCTGTTCCGAGACCTATCATGGCATAGTTCTTCAACATCTCGCAACCAATGGCACCTGAGCCAACCAGGAAATTCTTGACATTCGAAATTTTCTCTTGATATTCTGTACCAAAGACAGCGATTTGGCCATCATACCTTGATCCGATTGGTTTGCACAGTTCTTCACTTCGAGCAACAGACGTGGGCAGAGATTCAAGTGCGTCAAAGTAAAGCCACTGAACAATCGGTGTAAATTTTCCGGACACTGCCTTGAGAACTTCCTGGGCTGCCAGACCACCAAAGAATGCGGCTGTAGGATTGAGATCGCCCTGAGCTTGATAACTCAATTCAGTGATAAGCTTGGTGTCCAATTCGACTTCCCCAGAACTCTCCTTAGCAAGTTTCTGAGCAATCTCAAGAACCTCTTGCGCGTCTTGGTCATTGTGTGGTCGGGGAAAGGTGCCCTTATGGTTCTCAGCAAATGCATGCAGAGCCTGTACACCTACATGGAGCTGTGCAGGGTGATCAAACTTGGCGTAATCAGAAATCAAGAAATCCGGCTTCTTGATCTGTTCCGCTAAAGACTGAAATTGGAGTACTTTAGGCATCTTGACTTGAGCAAAAAGACCACCACCTTGGTATTTACCCAGGCCAGAGACATCTCCAATGGAAAACGAATATGGTCCTTTCACCGTGATCTTCCGAGGAGCTGTTCCATTCAATCCATCTATACCTTTGAGTTCGGCGAATTCCACGTAATCGCCATCCTCCAGACCATGGCGTGTCTCATCCAGTGCGGAGACCAGACCAGTCTCATCGATATCGGCAACGATTCCGCTGATGGGATTTTCCCCGGTCACATCACCAACCGTGAAATCTTTGCCGAAGTCTGTGAAAACATATCCGAACAGGCCAAATGTATCTGCAATGACGAGATAGATCCCATTTGCATGTGCGTATTCAGCAATTGTGAGTTGATCTTTGAGAGGAGTGTTTGTCATGACGACAACTTGGTATTGTTTGAGTTGAGTGAGATCGTCGGTCAATGAAAAAGACTTGTGGACGGAGACTGGAGTATAAGAGTTCAGTTCGGCGACGCGAGGAGCAGTCACCTCTGCTCGGGGTTTGCCAACATCTTCGGGGTGTAGGAAGAATTGGGAGGACAGATCGCCGATGGCCACGGGTTGTGTATCGAACAAAGTAAGAGACTTGACACCAGCAAGTGCAATATTCTTTGCGATTTCCACGCCCAATCCCTTCAAACCAACGATAAGGATGTTAGAGGAACCCATACGCTTCATGGCCTCGTGGCCAAGAACATAGAGCTGTCTGCTGTAGAGGGATTCATCGATTTCGCCGCTCTGGAGCTGCTGGATAGCAGCCCCAGGGTTGTCTACCTCCATGACGGAGTCGGTCATGATTTTCTTCTCTGGCCGGGAGATATCCTCAGATGAAGCCTTTCTTTTGCTGCCAGCCTTTATATTGTGTGGGATTTCGGCGTGAGGTGAAATCTTGAAAGCGGCCTTGCCTCACGCAAGACCAAGATGCAGGAGGGGAAATCCGAAGAGCAAACACACGGCGCTTCAGACAAGAGTGAGAAAGTAGCAATGAAACCAGTAGGAGAGGGTGTGCAGAGCAAGTGTCAGAGAGGAGAGAAGAGGGATCTGACCCGGAAGACAAGGCTTATGAGGGACAGAGGGCGCAGGCAACGGTTTGTAAGGTGGTCTTGGTTTATTAGTCAAGGAAGTTTCGCGAAGTGTAAATGACTGCAGTTCAGGTACCAGCGCAGGACTTTGTTGGAGTGCAAGGCAGATGACGGAATGCGAAATGGCTGAGAGGACAAATCAGTGCCAGCAATGGGTGGTATTAGGAGGCCAAGTGGTGAGTGGGTGATGCAATGCAGCCTACATGTGACTAAGAATGGCTAGGCAGATTTCTACTGTGGAGTTTAGGGGCTACCCTACTCAAATACAGTGGAGCACAGACATGACCTGGGCAGACTATTCTTGGCGCTCTTGGCGCTCTTGGCGCCGGCACACCTTCCTTTAGCAACCGACCCCACCTGCCCACCATGATTAGCACTGCATCGGCAACCGCGAAGAACTCCATCCTGAACATTTCAGATGCGACTGCGGCCGAGTACTTCACGTGTAGCATTGAAGATTCTCACAGACCGACTATGAAATAGAATATCCGTATGTCAACATTCAGGACTGTGATGCGATCGAACGAGACAATGCTACCTCTGTCATCTCCATAAATTCCCACTCACCGTTTGTTCACGGTATGCCGGTCCCTTCCACGCCATTAAATCCCACCCTTCAACGCGCCTCTTCTCTCCTCTACACGCGTTGATTGCTCCATTAGCCTGGTCCTTCAAAATATGGTAGCCTCTTTTCACTATCGATGTGTCGCTTTGAGCTCATTGGAAGATTGATCCTCTGGTGTCAGTCTCCTCACGAATATCCCTCGTCTCATGAACCCGGCCCTCGTCTGCATGTCCATTCTTCTTCGACCAGAGCCTCGAAATGCTTCATGAAATCCTCCTGTCCTTATCAGGCATCCAATCGCCGGTCTGGGATCAAGTACGGAACTCCGAAGGCCCGGAAGGACAGAATATAAACAGCTATGTCTCTCCACCAGAACGTGCCATGCTGCAGACACTGGCTCATCTGCAAGATCTACATGTTTCGATAAGGGAAACAACGGCGAGGATAGTTGTCTCACATCAGTCGATGGTCTGCCGTGCATTGGCTGCATCGATATCCAATGTTCACCTTGGCAGGTTTATGAACAAGATCATAGAGGTGGAGTCGTCAATATTGAAAAAGGATGCTACTTATGTCGGCGGTCATGGCATTGTTCCCTTGAGCACACTCGTTGGCGAGTTCTCTCCCTGGTCCAGGCGTCTGGAGTGGCTTGCTTCCATCGCAAAACATCTTGAGCAAGGTGATCGCCCCGACCAGAAACCGTCAGGAGCCACAGCGCTGAATCTACTGCGGCATGAGATCCATACAGGCTATGCTGATATTTCTGAAATGGCAACTGCTCTCCTTGCCCTCGGAGAGAGAACGTGGATGCGTGCCGCTGCCGTCTGGATCCTATACGGAAAGCTTCCTCCCTTGGGTGCCCATGACTTTTGTATCAATCGAAATCCGAATTTCACAACTCCCATGGACATGTTTATGATTGAGAAGACGTTGCTGCCGGAAGTTGTCAATACTCGGGCAGCACATGCACTGCTATCAATCGGCAGTGCTCTGAATCAACTGCAAACACAAGCACTGTCGACATCCTCACCTTCCGGACGAAATCTCGACCTATCTACCTCGCTTCTTTCTGATCATTTGAAATTGCTCGAGTCTCTCTCTTACCCTCTCAATCCGTCCCTCCTGGAAAGTGTCTTGACTGCCATCAATCAATCCATATCTGAGAATGCGTTATCTCAGATTCTTCCCGTGACCTTGGTGATGCGTTTGCTCCAAGTCATACTACGGTATGTGCTGTTGGATCGTGGGGAGTTTGCTATCTCAATGATCACACATGCCAATGAGCGTGTGATGAATCGCCAGCAGACCCAGACAAGTGTTCGGCCTATCAGAAAAGTGGGGCGTTTAGATGATTTGGCTATCAAAGAAGTCGAGCTAAGTGGAATAGTCAGCAGGTCCTTTGCCGAACTGGCAGTGTCACGAGGGGACGAAGAGGTTGACGACGATGTCTTCGACCTCGCAAAGTCATCTCTATCTCTGAAAAGCTGCGACTCGAGGGCAAATATCTTATCCACTCTGCTGCCCACACCAACACTCCTCCGCCTGACGATCCCTTCGTCTTCGCCTCTCCATATATTTTTGTCACCACAGGACATTAATGACTATTCAATACTAAATGCGTATCTACTAGCCATTCACAGAGCTGGACTTCAGCTTTCGTCATTGTGGAAGCTCTCAACTCAGCGTCGATGCCATCCCACCCCTTTAGGACCACCAGCTAGTGCCTCGGAGTTTGGCAAGGCGACACTGGCATCACGAAGGGCAAGAGAGGATTGGAGAAATCGAAGAACAAGGCGCCATTGGATCACAGCGAGCAAGACAATGTTTATGACGAACGAATTGAAGGTGTACCTTCAAGGCGAAGTGATACAAAGTAGCTGGCAATACTTTCGCACTTGGATCACTAGCAGTGGAACAGAAACTTTAGCATCTGCGAAATCATCAAGACCGGGAACGGCATCCTCAGCCGCAGAAGCAAAGACACCCAATCTGCGAACTAGTACGGGCACGGGTCCAAATAAATTCGGAACCCCGAGCGATCCTCGAGCTTTGGCCGATGCACACCGAGCATACTTAGAGGCATTGAAAGCTGCCTTGTTTCTGGCCAATACAGAATTCGTTGAAATACTGAAGGAGCTCTTATCACAAATCGATCATTTTGTGGCCCTGTTCTCCCGTCTTCAGACTGTGTGGGAAGGCTTGGATCTTCAAGAGGATGAAGGGGTGATGGATGCCTTTTCCAATTTTGCTCAGGATGAGAAGGAGGTTCTTGCTGAAATGGATCGCACAAGTGGAGCGATGGAAGGTGCCTTGGTGGAGGTTGTCGACAAGCTCCGTGACGTTGAGAGAGATAACAAGGTCGGCCCTGGCGTCACCGGCGTCATAGAGACTTTGTCTGGTGTCGAGCTCAATGGGAAGAAATTTGTACCGTGGCGAGCGAGGACGGTAGACCGATTGATTATGAAGTTGGACGGCCTGACTGGAAAGCAAGAAGACGACAGAGACAGTCTGGGAATTGCAAGTGCATACGAGAACGAATGAGTAATGAAAGCACTGTTATGATCATGACACAGGTTCTATGACTAAAGTCCACTCCCACTTACGAGCCTCACGCTACTTGGCTAAAACAAAAAGCTATCAAACCTGTGCCCGCCATAATGTCAGCAAAGGTCGAGGAACAAAAGGAAAACACCATCACCACAAAGCAAACCCCCATGGAAACTCAAAAGAAATCAGACAAGCCGTTGACCTCATCCCGTCCCCCACCATCACGAGTTCTCCCCCACAGCAACCCATAACGAGGCCATGAGGAATCATCCGATCCGGCAGCATTTTGGAAGACATGTCCAAAAAGTCCGGAAAACCATAACCAGCCCCCGAAATCAGACCCCGAAAGTCCCCAGAAGCCAAATCTGTTTCCCCAATGATTTGATGAACCTTGACTAAAAAGCACCAAGCCTCTCCACAAGAATACACCAGGACACTGTCTCACGCCTGTTCTCTCATCACATCGCATAGGCCCGTCGTGAGTGCAGAAAACCCGGAGAGAATGAAAGCCAAGAGCATTCCACAACCTATCATCCCCGGGCCACGACGGGTTTCCCCACGTGTGGGCGCCAGGTCCGGTATCAGGGAAAGGTAGGGATTTTTCTTCTGCTAGACTTTTTCTGCTGGACGGCAATGCGATGCGAGTTGATAATAAGGGTGCGATTGGTACATGCGGTCCTTGGGGCACAGAATGATGATGATTGTTGAGGTTCTCAAAGGGGTAGTAAGGATGGCTCGTAATGGGATTAAAGGGGTTGATTGAATGGGGCAAGGGGTTTCGTTGGAAGGATGGGTGCGTTTCGGAGAATGGATAGACTAGGTGTCATCATGTTGTGTTGGAGGTTTGCCAAGTGAGGCCGAGTGTGGTGCAAGGTGGTGGTGATAGTCGCGAATGGGAATGGAGAGGGCCGATGGATTGGGGTCTTAAGACTGACCTTTGTAGAAACAGGCGGTTCACCTGGTGTCGATGCCCTAAAGTGAAGAACAGAAACAGCAAAGATAGATAAATGGACGATATCTGTTCATATATGAGGTGCCTCTTCGTTAGCCGTTTTTCTAATCCGAGTAGCGGTGTGAAAATTGAAAAATGAAAAACCATCATATATAAAAGAGATGAATGTGTGATCAGACAATTGGTAAGCTTGGTAGATGGCTTCTTCAACTTTGGATTCAGAAGCAGAACTGTATTATTTAAACCTTGGTCATCATGGAAGGTTGGGGGCGATGATAGCAATATCATGGTGGTAGTTACTGATGATATGCAGACTTGCGGCGCGAGAAAGAAGAAGGCATGACTCACCAACACAAAGCAAGAACCTGAAGCAGGAGTACAATCGTTCGAAAGTTCCTACACATCTGGGCTTGAAGGATCTGTTCGTTGCGTTAGCTATCCCGGCCCATGAAAAGCTGTCTCCAGCGCAGTATAGGAGATGCAGAGAGAAAGAATATGTCAGATGGTAGTGCATGTTTAGTTCAATGGCTCATTCGTAAAGTCGCCGGAACAAAAAAGTATGATAAATTTCATCAGGTGAAAGATCTCTGGAAGTTGGGATGCTCTTCTCCGGTTGGGTGGCCACTCACCAGGTTAGCAAAGAGAGGCAGATACATAGCCAGATACTGGTGGCGATGGTTGCGGCATGGTTATCATAGCATCCTGATGACATGCCCTCATGAGCGCTCTTGTTTGAACACGATAGCAGATTCAAGGATGGATGGGCAGTAATTAGTGAGGGTTGAAGAAATGAGGTTGAGGACAAATTTGTTTTTCTATCGGCTAAACTTCGCTGCTTGGCATTCAAGGTCACGTGGATTGAACCTAGTTATCACTACTTTTCTCTCCTTCTGAATCACAAGGGACGCTTGCACAATTCCAATGTTGATACTGAATCAAATCCTGCCATCAGGACGACGTAACATCAAGCAGAAGTATCTACACTCTTCACTCATTTGAGCCGTCCTATGCGCGTCGGCGGAGGCATATCCATATGAGTTGTGCAATGATGCTGTTTGATTGTATAAATATACTTATTCCCATCTCCCTCCATCGCGCTGGCCTCTTAAGACTTGTAGCTGACGTGGACATGATCCCTGACATGCTAATCAGTCATCATTCTTTGCGCAGAAGAAAATCTTACTCACCAATGATTTGCAGTATTGTCACCTCGATCCCCATTGATGCAGTTCTTGATCTTGGTGCATGACTGGTACCTCCACTCCGACCACGGCTTGACCGAGTCTCTGTTCGAGCTCCAGATTCTCTGACCCCACATCACATACGCGATGTGCAGCGCGCTTGCGTGACGCATTACCCACTCGGCGATAGGCTCTCCAGTTGTGACTTTCTTCTGTTGGTAGTAGCAAGTGGTTAGAACATCTAGAAATTATGCACACAGCGGGCTAGTTGAGTAACCACTCACTCCACCCTCAGCGACCATCATGTCAGTTGCCATACCGGTACAGTGATCACTCGAGCTGGGATCACTACACTTCCTGATACAACCAATCGACTTGATTTTGCACGGGAACGCAGCGACAATGGCTTTCGCTCCGTCGATGGCCATCTGCTTGCAACCAGAGCTTGTGTTTGGGAAGTCAGGCACTCCACATCCACCACCAGCCGGCATGCAGCATTTGAAAGTGGTAGGGCCAGGGCATTTATTGGTCTCCGTGATGCCCGAGGCGCACGACGACGTGAAGCGGCAATGGCCTTTATCGTTCGTACCGCAGCGGGGTTTTGTACAGCATTTGATGTTGTCTGGTGTCCCTGGGCAGGCATTTGAAATGTAGCTACCTCCGCCTTGTGTACACTTGTCCGTCTTGATGCAAACGCCGGGATTGCTATTGGCTCCTATGCATGGTCCATCAACCTCGGAGCGCTCGCTTAGTGCATGGGTGTGGGTGGTCAGAAAGACAAACAAGACGAGAAGGAGAAGGATATGTTTGATTGCGTGCATATTGGTCTTCGTGGTCGAGAACAATCTTTGATGAGGAGAGTGCAAATCACTTGCAAGATGAGAGCAGAGCACGACGGAGTCAGAGAGATGATAGGAGGGAGATACAAAGGGGTGGGGTGGTAAGAGAAAGAGATGGAAGAAGCTGCATGAATCTCCTGTTCATTACTCTTATGAGTTGCAGGAACGTTGTAGTTTGCGACCTACCATGGTGGCTCCTCCCTTACAACGTACAGAATTCGCTTTCTCTCTTGCCCTGTGTCGCTAATCAGAGGGGTTAGCACTCTGGCTAGGTATCTAGTGATAGTAAGTAGGCAGGCATTCTTCATGTACCAGCAAAGAATCTCGAAATTCCACTGGGTATGGTTTGGCCTGTCTCAGTTTGACGTGGAGTGTACTTTGACTTGGTCAATGTTTCGCATGACTGGCACACAGAAATAGTAACAGACGGCAAACACAGAGGAACGTTTTGTCGATAGAGAAGCCCCTACGCCCTTGAGATCTTCTCAACGCTCTCGTCTGGAGATCTGCTGAACCCTTGGCGCAAACCATCTTGAAAGGATCCCCTGCCCATATGCCGCTGCCTACCTTTACTGGTAGCCATTGCCCTGGCAATGGCACAGGATCCCTGTGGCTAAGTGGTAGCTCGTAACCGACATCCAGACGTGGTGGAATAAGTGTTGGGTAGTTGGACAGTCAGCCGCTGTCAATGCATCATCACGATACACTGTCTGGGGAAATTCATTTCGGGTCCACCAGTACGAGAACGTGTCCAATATGCTCCTGTGGTGTTTCGGCCATCCACTACGAAAGTGTGCTCTGACACACGTTGCACAATGTCTGACAGGAGCCATGTGACATTTCCACGTTGGAAAATGGGAGCCAAGTGATAGGAGCATTGACTGCATAGCTAGCCAAGGGGTTGGCTAACGCGCAAGGTACACCAAAAGGACTGCTAAATATCGTACTCTAGGGGAATGGAGACCGTCCTTTATCCAGATTGTCACAAGGGCTCTGTACAAAGTTCCTGGCTTGATATCAGGCTGAAAAACAAACACTAGAAGAGAATGTTGGATGTGCACATTCTTCGAGCGACTACCCAGATTACTTGAGAACGAAAATCCTAATTGCCTTTTACGATTTGATCCTAGAGGGTGAGCGAAGGCCGCTTTAACCTGAGCTTTGACTGATCCTTTGGCTAAGAATCACTGAGCACGCCCGAGCAATACACCGGGTGCCCAATCAGGCCCCCCCTATAATCGGCCAAACCTGCCTCTCGACCAGGCATTGTTCAAACGAGCTGTTAGGGGACCTGGTTGATTCCCTGCTTTTACAATGCTGCCTAACATTTTCTGTAGCCTTAGCCGTGACGCTCACAACAGGGCACCTAGTGGCCGTATAATCACAGAGTGGAGATCGTGGCTCATAGTTGCCCGTACTACAGAACCCGCTAATATTGTCACGGCGCCTAAACTTTTAGTGGCTGTCATCCCGCTTTTCGTCGTCGAGAATCGCCGTTCTAATTCTTTTACCGTCGATACCGCTGAAAAGACTGAGCTTTAAGACCAACTAAAGATGCAGCCTCTGCTTACTTGTGATTGCTTCCACCATGCCAACCTGTGTATTACGTTCATTTATGTCAGCTTGATTCCTGCAAATCGGGATAATGTGGACGAAAGGGCGAGCCAGGTGAAGTTAGTGGGTCCGGTAATAGATATTCTAGTAGTGCGTTCTAGTGGTGCGTTCTTACCTATACCATCGCCATCACTGACCTCTCCAAGTTCCAGTTCCATTTCCAGACCTGTGCACCCCCTATTTGCCTGAGCCGTGAGTCCGCAAGCCTGAATGTTGTTGTGTTGTCCTGCGCTCGGCGTGGCTATCTCTGAGCGCGTTCTTGGGTACCTTACAAGTACTCTGCTTCCTCGTCCTCGTCACTAATCTCGATAATGTTGGGCGGATATTGCATATGCAGCTGTCCCACAAAATTGGCATCTTGCACCTCTCCGTCGTTGGTACTGACAGGATGTTCTATGCGTAGGGTCTTAGCCTTCCTAGGAGCCTCTCCACGCTTGGTTGCCGGTTCAAGCGCTCTAACGTCCTTTGTAACTATCGCCGGCAAATGCGCGCTGAGTGGCTGCTCCATGGTGGAGAAATCGGCCGCACGCTGATTCAGGAACAGCCTAATCTTGTGCCTGTCGACATTCCCACTCCCGACATCGAATTCACTATCTCCTAAAGCGCTCTGCGCTGCGTTTTCCACACTAATAGAGACCTCGTCGATGCCATCAATATCGGGTAAGTGCGTTAAAGTCTGATGCACTTCTGCCCTGTCGGAGCGATGCCTTAGTGTAATCGCGTTCTTGGAGCGTTTCGAGTTGCTTACATACGATATCTGAGTCACGGAGTCACTAGACATAGTAAGCTGGCCAGACGAAAAGCCGCCCGCGGCCAAATCTGCACCTGTGGCCCAAGGCTGAACTGAATTGAGGGCTAAACTTCGAGAAGACACCATATCATCTTCAGAATCCCGTCTAGCACGTTTCCTGCATTTGGCGCTAGGTGTATTGCTAGCTCCTCGCAGTGCAAGCACTAACGGACTGTTGCTGATAGAACGAGTCTCGGGGCGTGGATTACCACAGTGCTTGGCGACAATTTCTGTACCGCATGCAGAGAAGCTCAAGTCCTCGAGCCCTCCTTTGAAAGGGAAGCAGTCGTGTTGTGACGTCTCGTATGCCCAAAGCTGAATTTCAGAAATCCCCGAAAGTAAGGTGCGCTGGTGGTAGAGGAGAAGTGGCAAGAAAGGATGGAAAGTACAAAATCTGAATTGCGCGTCCCCTTTAGCCTGCTGCATTGAGCCAGTTAGGATAAATTCATATGCATCCTGTAACTCCCGGACGCTGAATACTGCAAGCAGATAGGTTGTGTTGTCTTTCACTCGTGTATTCAGAATCTTCTTCTCCATGTACAGCACCGAGCTTGAGGAGTCGTTGAATTTGAGGGCATAAAATGGGCATACGCGGATCACTAGTTCTTGATCTTGCTGTCCTAGTGGGTGCGCATGTTTTTGCTGCTGAAAATCTGGGAGAGACTGCGCTCCTCCGGGTCGGCGGCGGATCGAGTCTTCTGGAAGTATCAACCTTGCCCATTCATGCAGCGTCTCTGAGCACCGGCTTTGTCGAAATACCTCCAGAAGAACTGAAAACGTGGTCAAATCTTCAGATATCGCTATTGGAAATGGAAACGCCCACTTTTGGGCTCCTTTATGGGTGGTCTTGACGAAAGCAAGGTATCTCTGGAGCTGGACCTCAATCTCTTTTCGGTCAAGATCGAATTGATATTCCTCACGGGGTTCCATTGTAGGGGAATCGGAGTTCCCGACCTCATAGCGAACAACCCAGTTGCTACAGTGCTCACCCAAGTCGACGTTGCGTTTACCGGCAAGGAAATCAGACCAAAGGATTTCGAATGACCTGTGAAAGCTATTAGTAGAACAAACTTTGGGAGTTAGAGCTGCAAAAAGGAATTGTACCTAGATGCCCATACTGTCAAGATTGCTAAAGACTCTTTCCGAACACAATGCTTAGACATCGTCGCCACTGGCTTGATGCTATTTTTATCACCTTGCGGTCTGCGGGCAGGCATTGACCTAACATCTGTCGCTTTTGTGGATCGAAAGAACTTGCTTGGCGTATACGCTGTAATATCCTGCCATATCTGGTGAGGCTCCGCCGAGAGCACTTTGGACCAAAGCTCGAAGTACTGCTCAAGAATTGCGCAGAATTCTAGAAGTGTTACACTTCTTTCTCGGTGAACCTTCGAACCTCTTGACCCGAGGTAGATTTCACTAGATTCTTCAACAGTAGTCGACCATTGTCGCAAATCTTCATATAGGTCTAGGTGCCTAGTGGTTTGAAGAAATATGTAAATAGACTCAACCCAGGACATCAACAGTAGCTGGGAATCGAGAAACTGGGAAAGCCGATGGGATAGATTTGCGAATTGAGGCCGCCATAATTTAATGAAGACTGTAGGTCCGGCGCCCTCAGGAATTGAGTCTCTCAGATGGCGGCCCCAACAGCAAGACGCATACTCAAGTAGAGGGAATACCGTTCGGATGTCTGTTTTCTTTGCAGGTTGAAACATATCACCTGATAGGGGTGACAATGGAGCTTGAAATAGAAGATAGGAGAGACATGTGGAAGCCAATATAGTGTGCGCTTCGAACACTGTCGGCCGGATAGAATCTGCTGAGCCAAACTTATCCATGGATTGTTGTCTTTGTGTCCAGTCGGTTCGGAAAAAGTCTTGCACTGACTTGTGTATGAATCGGAATGTTCCGGCATACTTTTCCACGAGGCTTCCGCTCACCATTACAACTGTATGTTCGAAATCTGGGTAAGCGTCTGTAGGCACATCATGAACGCTAGTATCAAACACCTTGAGTTGTGGATTGATTGTAGACTCCAGTTCCTGAGTATTAAGGAGCTTCTCACCACATGAAACCCATGCAAAAATATGCCGTGCAAGCTCTTGTTCTTCTTTGATCTTCCCAGAAATCAGCTGAAGGATTCTATGGTACATTACATCTAAACTTTCCGGAGTCTTGAGGTCTAGTATGGCGTTTCGTCGTTTCGTTGCGGTCAATGCTGGAGACCTCAGGTAAGCAATCATAAGACGCGCCCAGAGAAACATTCCATGAGCACCTCTAAGAAGACATTGGAGAATTGTTTCAGTTTCACAGTCGGGAAGCAGAGAGTCTTCCTGCAGCAGCTCGATCTGTGATCGTAGGTAGACTTCTATGTCAGGACTGGTGTTTTGTGTCTCGATTTTTATGTGCAAGTAGCCATTCGAACTTCTGAAACTGTCGACGTTCGGTCTGCTGAAAATGATGATCTGTGTTTTGGTATCCTGGCAGGCTGCAGCCAAACGGTTGACCACTGCGACAGGGTCTTCGCATTCATCGAGAGCATCCACAACGATGTAGCATGCATTTATGCGCTGCAAAATGAGAGACAGCAAATCCTGCAGTTCTGAAATTGTGTGCTTTGTTCTACCTTGCATTTGTGCATGTCGACTCAAGAAGGAAACTGCTTCTAGAACTGGAACCTTCGTTGAAAAGATATTCAAGAGTTGAGTGCAAAGGGCCTGGAGAGCCGCCGTGACTGACATTTTCCTCGAATTGAGGTAGGAGAAGAAGTGGAAGCAGACTGCTGTGTCTGTACCACCATTCAGTGCTTGCAGGCTGTTGACCACTGCGGCTGCAAGTACTGTCTTGCCACTCCCAGGCATACCTGGAATCGATGAGTACATTGAAGCACGATTGACAGAATTTGTACCTGTGACCAATAATATTTGACTACTGCGATCTGTAGAAGACTGTGGCTTTTTGATAGCAGCTTGCCAGCTGCGATATGCCTGGTCATTGAAGATCCACTCTGCTGTGCCTTCTTCCCGAGATTCAGTGGCTCTGTCAAATTCTTCGATGTCATCCGCACCATCTAAAAATGACCTGAGGTCTTGAACCTTTGATTCTGCGTTGCCAAACATTTGTCAGTCACCGAAATTAGTAGAGTCAGGGTATTAGCATACCGAACTCATTTTCTGTTGTCTTCTGCAAAACTTGGTTGGTGAGAACTTCGTGCTGAGCCATTATAGTCTGCATGTCTAAAAGCATCTCTTCATGAGTTCGTAGCTTTTCCATGTTCCCTACCATACCCTTGATTCCAACTCTTGCCACCTCCAATTTAAAGACTTTCGTATGGCCGTCCAGGCGCTTGCGAAAGTTGTCGAACCGCGTCTCAAATGGGCGCCAAAGTAATCGCGAGACCACAGATGGGCCGTTGCGCAATGCTAAAACGCGTGAACATGTGGCAATATTTTCATGCTCGCAATGGTATGCTTACAACCATCTTTTCTTTTGAATATTCTTGTCACAGAAGTGAAAAATTCGAACAAATCAGTGTATAAACGCTGTAACGAGAGCCTGAAGTTCGGCGAAACAAGCTTGTCAGCAGACTCTAGGACATCTCTGTAGCCTGGGAGTGAGTTTGTGATTTCTTCCAGTAGTTCGACCAGCTTTTCAAAAAAAGAACTGAAATTTGACGCCAACTGGAGCCCTCGTCAGTTTCATAAAATTGCTACCAATAAGTAAGTGGGAGGAACCTTAAGCATCAGTCGAATACTACCCCAGGCGATCATAGTCCACTCTGGGCGGGCCTGGAGCACAATACTGATGATATTGAAATACGGCTCGAGTCTTTCATTGATCCGACCGATGCGTCCGAGAAATTTCGTCCATTTCCCTTGCTTCTTGGCCCATGTGTTGGGGGCTTGCAAAGAGCCGAGCAGCTGTTGTGGAGTCTGGACACGAGAGAATTCAAATTTGTCTTTTTCGGAAAGAGTGTCAAGAAATTGATCTCTAGCCTTCCTAAAAATCGCGTCGACCTCTTGGTTCTCATTTTCTACCAGAGGGGTCATTTTTGAAGTCGGAAGTTATTAACTTCGCGACCACTCCCCCAGAGCGGACAATTGGTACGCGATAAGAGAATCTGGAAGGCAGGTAAAATTGCCTCTCTTCATGTTGACAAAGGCTGAACATTAAACGGGAGACGTGTCCGCATCATATAATACAGCACAGCCACCACATGAGCCAGAGGCGGGGACTCAACCTGGGGCCCAATTAGAAGGCTAAAGCAGCCCCGCATACTCGTATGTACATACAATTGCTGGAGCCCAACGCCTTGCCCATTCTGGCAGTGTCGAGCCAAAAGTCCGCAAGCCCCTCAAAAATTGGAAAGCGGCTTGATTGGTAGGTAAAGCAGAATTCAGCTCTGTAATTGGCTCACTTAGCAATTTTACCAGGGGTGTGAGACTTTCTGCGTAGAGCTTATGTAGAGGCAGTGAAATGCGCCCCAACTCAGTTATACTAGGAGTGCTCTTGCAGCCACTTCTCTAGTCAAGCTGCTGCCTGGTCTGAGCAAGGCTGAGCCGATAGGAATAGGTGCAGGGCAGATCGACGTCGGAGAAGGAACAACACCTCCAGACCGTGCCTCGATTCCACCTTGGACTAAATACGGCTAGTCTTCTCACAAGGGTGCCAAAATCATTGATCCAACTGGGCGACGGAGCGTCAACTGCGAAATGAAAAGCTTAACGAATCTGGAAAGTTGGCCGACGCATAAAAGAAGTCAGATTTGCACAGGCATTTCCTTTCTGCACGTCTAGACATGACCTTATCGGATGAGAGGCCTGCAAAGCTCAATGTAATCAAATAATAGAAAGGAAACGTTCGGCCGCTCATAACTCTCTACACTTTAGACAATATCAGTCAGCGAAACCGTTAAGTTGGAACAAAAAGTCCAAGTCCCGCGGTCAGAACATCATGCTGACACTCCGGCGCCGATGTTGGCAAATGAATGAATTGAAGGCTCTCTCTTTCTTCAACCGGCACAGTTAGTTGCATCAATTATATAGATATATACACGCTATGGTACGCCCTGCAAAGCCTCGAACATAAGGCTTCCTTAACTATATCCTTGCTCGTCTCAACTTGAGGTCCGGCCTTGGTGTATCCTATATACTAGATTGAACCAGCCAATGGGCTAGCCTAGTACAATGGCCAGGGCACAGGGCTGAGGCGTCTGCATTCGATAGTGTATGACTTGTCCGTCTTCAAGACCATCACCCTAATGCTATTTCCTTAGGTTTCACATTCGTTTCTGTCTATGCCACCTTAAGAAGCCTCGCTATTGAAATCTGATACGTGATTTGGCTTTCCCATTTGATGAACATAACGTTAAGTGACGGTGCAAATCTATACCCGGGAGCGTGGTGATTCTGTGTGTTGGACAACTCATCTAGAATAGGCTAGGTAGACCTACTAGGAGCCTAAAGGGGCCCATCTAGGAAATCAAAATTAAATAACTTTTAGGTGATTAAACGAGACCCTGGAAATCGCTCGCATAGAGGTTCTAAGATGGGACCCACCAAAGGAGCCCAAAATCGGAGTCTCTTTATTTGGTACTTATGATGAGAAGGGTGGACGTACCACTCTGGTTTCTTTCCATCATCTTCAGTAATCTTTACATGTCGAATATAAGTTTGACCTAAGCTTCTAAGCCCACGGTAAGCGTGACTGAGTCAATTCATGAGCTATCCTGAGCCGAGTGTAACGATTAGAGCGAATTGTTTGTCGAGTCACAGTTCCTCGTACGGCGAGTTATCTAACTGTTGGTGGGTTAGCGTGGCGCAGGGGTAGGCCAGCGGCAGGCAGGTTCCGGCGAGAGTCACATGTGCCAACGCTACACGTGATAGTGTCGTGGGCACGACCTTACTCCTTTTACCTGACTACCACGATACTTCGGCGAAACTCAACCTCTCCTAAGTTCCTTTCCGAGCATCCCGCCATTTGACTGGAGCCATTACTACGCCATTTTTCCCAGACCCTCACAGTTAGTAGCATAGAAGCTGAGGCAGATCTACAAAAATAGATATACTCCGGTCAAGATTGCGTACTCTGACCGCACGCGCCGTAACGAGCCAGCCTTGCGTAGATAATTAGCCTTCCCCGCCATGCTCCTGTCTACTTGGTGTTTCAACATATGGTCTATGCCCAGCCTTAGACGGAGAGCTTATCAGGTACGGTTCAAGGTCTCTTCATAGTACCCTATATCGTCTTGCGAATTCTATTAGTCTGCACCTGACCCACGGAGGTCAATCCCTCGCCCAAGACACCTCTTCTCCACGGGTAGCACATCCAACCCATCCCGCCCTCCCACCATCGCTTTCCCTCCCACCATCGCTTTCCCTCCGACCCACTTTCCCACTGGCATTTTGCGGCTGCGCCAACTGCAAGAGCTGACAGACAAGCTTTCTGGAATGTTGATTTGATATGAGAGAGTACGGAGGCGTGCACGGAAAGTTCAGGTGATGAGAGCTTTTGTCTGAAATATCAAACATCTCATGGAATCAAAACTTTTCTCATACTGGTGCTTAGCCATGACTGCTTCTGCACCAAGCGTTCCGTAGAGATATCATGTCACCGACAGTCTCATGGGATAGTCTGATCAATAAAGAATAGATTCCATATTTTTTGCTAGTTGCTGCACTACTCACTAGTGAATCACTGCTACTTTCATCCATCAACTTGAGCATTTGCACTTTGATGAATCCAGCACTAGTTCATAGACGATCTGAAATCTACCCTCCTTACCCTGACTGCCAGTCGCTTCATGAGTCGAGATGTTTCAGATTCAGGAAGACATGCCATTGCTTTGTTGTTTGTCTCTCTCCCCCTGGATCGCCAATGATGCAGAACATTCCAAAGCGAAGCCGAAAACGCGCAGTAGGAGACCGGAACATTGGTATGAATATTCGATCGCATGTGGTGCATTGGTCAGCAACCTGCTCGCTACCCAAGAAGAGTTTGTGAAGGTTTGACTAAACTCATGCATGGTGTCTGCATTGAGGCGCCAGAGCGTATCGATATTTCCCACAGAATAAAGCACTTATACACGAACATTTTTGGCGTAAGACGCTCGATAAGTCGGCCACTGTACATTGATGCCGTACATTTCCTCATTCGTCGTATTCGCTTCGCCTCTTCTTAACTGGAAAACCAAAACGTCGAACAAAGCAGCGTTCGATCCGGCTGCTTGTTTCTCTCTTTATTCATGTGGAATTTCAATGACTTTACCAGTTATTGCGTATCCCGTCCCCGAAACAGCGTGACATGGGTACCGTGTATGGAGAGCAGCCCACAGCTGACAGGGCTAGACCTGACAGTTTGTAACTGGTGAAGTTCGGCCAACTGAGCCTGCCGCAACGGTAGTGATAGCTCCACCTATCGAGACGTCGTACAGGACGATTGAGAGCAATGGCTGGGATACCCAGGGATTTGGTAAACTGGCGTACGATATGTCTGTCGTTGATGTCAAAGTAGTCGCTGTTGCAGGAACCACCATGGACCAAGACCACTGGCGGTATGGCAGGGGATGACAATGTGATGGTGGCCTTCAGCGGAAAGAAACTGCTACCGGTAACGACGCTTCCGTCAGGTAGCTTCAACGATAGAGGCTGTGGTACAGTCAAGGTCGTGAAATAGTATGATTCGTAGACGTTTAGACCATAGGAGGAGGTAGGAAATGGAATTCATCGTTTTATATCTTTGCTGACCATAAAAATTCTCCTGAATATAAGGGAGTTCGCCAGTTGATCTGTCACAACTCTTCCATCACAGTCTTTGGACACTGATCGAATCCTTTGCTACTTGAGTAGATCGGCTGAAACCACTACTCGGCCCCGCGTCTGACCGTCACACCGTGTTGCTTCCTGTAGGGTCGCTTGTGTGCTTGTATAATTTTGTTAGCTTTCTGTCCTAAAAGTTACACTTGCCAATAGGTGCCACTGCGGTAATGGGGTTAGGACTCAATAGTATTCTCTTTTCTTGGTAAATAAGCCTAAGAATAATTTAAATACTCTCCTTCTTTTTCTATTCAAGATTCTTACGGTTAAACGAGAAATAACTAAGGTTTGACCACAGTTTGATTGAGGTTTAACCATGGACTCACTACTGTAGTGCAATATGCCCGCTCTGTTATTGGCGATGTATAAATTTGTAGTCGAACGGCAATACAGTTGAAATCCGATGTTCAGCCAGTTGTGGATACATCCACTTCGCTACCGGGCTCAAAAAGTTAGATAGAAAGTTTGCTGGCTTAATAATGGTCCAAGCCCAGCCGTTTTGTTCGGCGGCTTTCTGAACTGCAAGCTCGTTGGTGTATTTTCCTTCAATACAGGCGTAGCGATTGGTGCCTTCTTTAATGTTCTTGAAGTTTCCGGAGACTCCAGGATCTTTGACGCCAGCGGTGGTGGTATAGACGACTCGTTTGACAGAGGGGACTGTTGAGAGGACTGAGAGGATATTCTCAGCATGCCGTTGCTCACTTTTGAAGTCGGTCCAACCTGTGTTGAGATGAAAAAAGCATGCCGTGCATGATTCTGCTGCAGCTGCAACGGCAGACACGTCGTCGTTATCACCTTTGAAAAGTTTGGCTGACGGTGAAAGCTTTGCTAACGCTTGAGCGTTGGGACTATCAAGATCGCGGACCAGAGCATGGATCTTGACAGGGTGAGTTGGGGAGGAAAGGCGGGTGAGAGCACAGATTGTGGCAGACCCTTGAGTTCCTGTGCCGCCTGAGATGAAAATGACATCTTGGTGTGGTGATTAAGACACGTTGAAAGGATCTAAGAATATGAGACGAGTACAATGACAGGAAGGCCCATCAAAAGGCTTGAAGAGTCTTCTTATCAGGCCAACAACCAGATAACCACTAGAACAATGCTTGTATTTTCAATCTGGATCGCCTTCGCCGGTTGAATTGCAAAGTTCGACCTTGGCTATCAGGGCGCGGCCTTGATTATGCCGTCATATGGTCGAGCCTTTGGACATTGCCAGCAAGTGTCCGACCCAGTCACCGATATTGCGGTGCTATCTACGCTACAGACTCCACTAACGAGTATTCCGATGCTTTTATTCGCTGTCGGTGCCTCCTTAGCGGGGCTGCTGGGCACATGGTTCGGTCGAAGACACATGATCCAAATGGCATGTGGGTTGTGCATCCTCTCCGCTGCCGGTATGCTGGGCACTGGTGGGAGCTTCTTGAACTACATGGTCGGCAAGCGTATTGGTGGGATTGGGATAGGCCAACTCCAGGCGGTGGCTATCGTCTACGATTCGGAATGTACATCTCCCAGCAAGCGTTGACTGCTACTTGGCCTGTTCAACGCAGGCCTGTCCTTGGGCAACGTCTCAGCGGCTGCCGTCTGCGCTGGTGCAGCTCAACTAGCACCAACCTCGGATTGGCAGTGGAAGATAGCGATCTTGTGTCAGATTCCTCTTAACCTTATACTCGGAACTGGTTCTCTATTCTTTTGTGAGTCGCCTCGATGGCTCCTCATCAAGGGTAGAGAAGAGCAAGCACGAAATGGTTTGCATCATGCCAACAAGCAGAACCATACTCTGAGATTGTGGCCACACAGCTTCAAGATGTCAAGAGCCATATCAAACTCGACCGGTCCATAACTGCCACAGCTTCATGGATCAAGATCTATAGAACAAAAAAAAATCGCAGAACCTTCATATCTGTGCTGGTTTTAGTAGGTGTTGCGATCGCCGGAATCCAATTTGTTGGCTATTACACCGCGTTTTTTTTTGTATGGGGTCGAGACTTCCAATCCTTATCTGACCAATCTCACAATTGCGCTCTGTATCTTTGCAGGAACGATTCCTGGTCCATTTGCCCCGGAATATCTCGGCAGGCGGCTTTCGCTCCTGGTTGGGTCCAGCATCATGGCTACTTCAATGATGATTTTCTCGTCGGGTGAGCACTGGTCTAGGGCCCAGCAATTCCATTGCTCAAAATGTTGTGGTTGTGTTCTAGTGCCTGCGGGCAGCTGTGGAAGCCTTGATTGGACCATGTGTTTCGCTCTCATCAGCTGAAATGCATAGTGTTCGTCTCCGTACCTACGTTCAACCCAGCACTACGGTTATCTTCAACATCTTTGCCTTTGGGGCTACCTTCTGGACGCCGTATATGCTGGACCGCGTCTACAGAAATATGGGCGCCAGGGTTGGTTATTTCTATTTCGGAGCTACTTTCGTGGAGAGCTTGTGCTTGTGTTCTTATTTGTGCCAGATACGGCGAGACTGACTTTGGAGCAAGTCGACGATTACTTTGCGTCAGGCCGTCAAGCTTAGAAGACTTCTCTGGCCCGAAACAAGAAGCCGTCTTAGGCCGGCGGAGTACAGCAAGTTACTCATGAGTGAGGGAAATTGGAACGGGATATCAGGATCATTTCCGAAGTCGATGTATTGCTGAGGAGAATAACAAGTCGAGGGAAGGAGGGAAGAAAGAAGGAAAAAGGGAGACTCGGAGATCGTCTTCGATGCTCAACTTGGCGCAATTGCTCGTAGCTATAGCAAATGAATAATTAATGCTAGAAGGATTTCAAAATTACTTGAACAGAACTTCCAATTCCAGTTGCTATTCTGAAAATGCAGAATCATTGTCAGCTCTGCCGTTACTGTTAATTGTAGGGCCAATTAGATGACGGCAAGTTCGTCACATTGAAATGAGGTTAGATCTGGAATTGTCCAGCGCGGAGTACGCTTACGCTGAGTTCGTAGACACAAGTTGCGCCCGTGTTAATTGATCAAAGTTTAGACCAATGGTCAATATCGGCAATCTTGGCGCCGTCATCGGTTGTGGTGTTTCGCTTGTTGTTTTGTTCCTTGATATTCTCCTGAAGATTCGCGATCTACTTACTTTCGTTCATGTTGGCGACAGATTCGGCTACAAAATCTCCAACTTCTCGAACGCCCTCTGCAATTGAAGAAGCCATGATAAGAGAAAATAAGTGGCTGGCGAAGGTGAAGGAAATGTGTTACGGGATTTTCAAGACATAGGAAGTAGACAATACGCTCCAATCAACCTTCATGACATCTATGATACATCGTTAAGTCTGTGAGCATCTGTGAGTTTCGATCAGCACATATGGCGTCGAGCTGTCCCCCAAACCTGCCATGCAAATAAGGGTAATGCAATACATCCACCCTCTGTAATAGAGTCACTCGTCTGTGGGGTATACTTGAACATCTACCGTCTTTCTAACACTAATTTGGCCTGACTTCATGCTTTGCAGGCCGATCGGACTCGATCCAAATTGATCAGGGTGGTTTGGGATGATTCGTTCCTCCGAGCTCGTCCTTCGTACTGAAACCGAAGCGCCTTGTACATTGACATTATAGTTTCTCTTTGATGCATCTGAGGGCATAGTAAGGCTTTGATTAGGCGGGACTGTCCGACCATGGTTAGGAAGGTCACGCGCACGTCGTGAAGAAGTCCCATAGCCCGGTTTATGGAAGACTAGTCTTGACGCGAGGATATCAATCCTGTAGGTTTGTTCTCAGTCAATGAACAGTTGCTAAAGTTAGACACAAAAGGTTTCGCAATTACTCACAGCATCATGATTGGGAACATGCACTCCAGGGTGTAAGCAAACCGGTCCAGCTGACTAGCAATGCCCGTTGCACTCTGGGCGGAAGCCTGGAATGAATATGTGATTGCCCTCATTGTTCCCAGGATGGCAAGGAGTGCCAGGCGACCTTCAGTGCTCCGCATGAGATGGCGAAGCAAGTCTGTCCGAATGGCTGTCTCTCGAGACATCACCTTGGCTTTATGGAAGGTCCGCAGGAGGAAGAAAGCGCTGATACACTCCACCGTGGCGATTAATACAAAGTAGCCCACGTGTAAGCTATTGATTGTCTTTTGACCCTTGTCGTTACTACCTGTAATAATTCCTACTCTTAACACTGCGATCGAGACACGGATGCTCAAGATACCGAGCATCGAAAACCAGAAAAGTCCCGTAAAAATATATAGTGACTTCCTGCGTAACATTCGAGTGAGGATAATGTAACTGTAAAACGAATACCCTGCCTCTTGTGCCTGGACCGTGGGTCAGCATCTCTACCACCAAACGGTGGGGTGATGGATGTTTTCCTACCATCCAAGCTATGTCTGCAAACACCGATGCCACCGCTCGATTTGTGACCGGGTAGGATTCATTATAAAAGGCGTAGTAGCAAAGGCCATTGGCGATGGCGCAACTCAGCGAGGTGATTATTGGAACCGCGCATATCGGGGAAAACGTCGTGATGCCGCCAACAAGGAGCCCAAAGAGGGTGTTGACCAAACCTATCGTGCTCAGGATTGACCAACTGAGCTCGAAATAAACAGGTTGTGCAGCGGTAGCCATTCTCTCATCCACTGGGCAGGTGACAAGAACTCAGAGGACGTTGATATTGTCGATAACAGGTAGACAGCGGTACCAATTTGTAGGGAGCGCCAGCCATGGCACCGACCTTCCAGAAAGTCAAATTCCCAACTCCTGTTGCGGAGAGTCGTACGTGTAAACTGCTTTGGGGTTTTGCATATAACGCTAATAAGCATGCAGTGGCATGATGGCGCAGATTGGCTTCTAAACTGTTGATGAACATGCAAAGTGTTCCAAGTGGAGACTGATGTGAACATGCAGATCGCCGGGGCTCAATCTAAGCCTATCCTGGTGACAATCCCGCGGGGAAGCTTGCTGCCAATAAATTATGCATTGCTTTAGCAGATGTCTCCCAATCCTCAAGGATGTGATCGCCCACGTTGGACTGGCTCGTCCATTTAGTGTGGTGCCGGCTCGTGGAGGCTGAAACACGTGTATTGTTTGGCGTTGGAAATGTACGTACTCATCCGGAGGACGGAGTTAGGTACCCACGACCCAGTACCCAGTACGGAGCACTATACGGAGCACCAGGGCCTGCAACCGAACGTGCAGTACGGGGTTGGCAAGCGAGGTTCAGGTCCCGCACGCACGTGGGTGACACATAGTGCTCAGGGGTAGGCTGGTGACCGCCTTACCAAAAATTCGATCCAACAGTCCTCGTCCTTCATAGCAAGGGATTCAATCCCTAGTCGTGCCCGGTACGAGAGTCTTTATCGGTCTTAGGTTTCTGCAAGGCAAGCATCGTATGCAAAAGCTTCCTCCATTTCTCATGTCGCTCTCGTAGCCGCAGTCGCCCCTATCATTCAGGGCAAGTGAACGCGCAATCTATCTTGCTGCTGGAAGCATCGGCATCACCCCGTGGCCAACCTCGAAACGAGGACTGGAGAATCGGCAGTGGTGTGGCAATGGTGAAGAAATTGAAGCACCAAGGTGTACGGAGTACCATCTCGTTAACCTCAAGGCAAGCAGGACAAGCGTCATTAGCCGAAGCATGCGGGGCTCAGCATCAAGCGGGATCCTTTTCGAGGAGACTCGGTTCTCGTGGACGTGGTCTCGGTCTCGGGGGGCGGCTTCACATTACGGAGTTTGTTGACGAATGAATTGCCACGTTCCTGGATACACTCGGGCTGTTGTTTCTGAGCTACGGAGTACCCTATCCATCTTTTACGAGCTGACTCGTTCGAGGAGTACCTGGCCGCTTTTGCCCACTTGCCGACACTTCCGTCGCTGGGTGCAAAACGAGAAGCGGCTTTTCAATTTGTCTCTAGCGCAGCTGTACTCGCAAAACCCTGGCTACGTGCCTTGGCATATCCCAGGCCAAGACGTTAGCCGAGGCCAATTGTTATGTACTGAGCTTTATGCTCCGTATCTGGCCAGGCGCATTGCTGCCTCCATGTGGAGGAGTGTACCTAGTCGGGGCGCTAGATGACCGACGGCAATACATGTACTGGGGCACCTGCGCATTGATTTCAACCAGCTTTTAGTCAAAGCAGACAACATAGCCGAGATTGTAGACTCCGATCTGGAGATAGGGCTGCTAGGATGATTAGAAATGCTCGTTTTCCGAGCCAGGTGGGCTCTAGTCTGTAGATTCCCAACATCTTCTCGTGATTTACCACTAATTTGAAGCTTTGACACCTGTGGTGACATGGCTTCTGGACCAGCGCCCAAGGCCAAAGCCTTCCTTTGCCAATGTTGTTTTATGGTTCCAATTGGGCCCAAGCCGCCGTTCGTTCGATACAGATACTATTGTCTGGTGCGGAATCACAATGCTGCTTTGGGCCGCGGCTATCATGATTCGGAAAGGCAGATGTACTTCGCCTTGCAAAACCCGTTGGAGGAGAGCCGGCAGATCTAGTTCCTCTTCTAGTTGCTTGGGGTCCAAGTGGAGGAGAGTGGGCGAGGCTCTCGTATGTACTGGTGATCGCCCACGACTTTGCCATTGAAAGAGCCTGTTGCCTCCCAACCTTATCTCCTCCTCGCAAAGTGTATTGTATTTATTCTGCAAGTGACCTACACCCCATCCTCCCTCAGTAAGGTGAAAGCGTAATGATATGTTGATACGTCAAGCACATCAACATCTCAGCATATCGCTTCAGCCTTGCAAGTCGCGTGAGGTAGTCTCGATCTCCATGGGCAGTGGTCCGGTATAGTTCCCCTTTCTCTTCTCTACCTATACTTTGTTACTAGTTTCCGTATACTTTTCAATTAATTTTGATGATATCTAGAATTATATAGATGTGCTCTCATCTGAAAAATTATTGCGCCCAGCACGGGCGCCACCGCAGTAGAGCCCGGTATACCTTGCATCCAGGCTGCTTCGTGAAAAACAATACGGCCATTGTAACCTATGGAAACGCCAACAAAGTGTGTTGATCAAACTACAGACAACTCTAAAAAGATAAAAGACATGATAGCCAAGAACAGGAACAAAGTCGAGCTGGCAACGACAGTTGCGGCGGCGCCAGTGTAGCTCGCGATCCAAGTGCTCGGGCTAGGGCCAGCCACACCTTGATTGCCGTATCCGTTTGAGTCGACGTTGTCAGATGAGTCTCCATTATTGGAGCCTGGACCGAAGGAGTCTCCACCGCCAGTTGCTCCATTCAGGTGGTCATTATTTGAATCGTCGTTGTTGCCTGCGCTGCCGCCGTCGGCCGGATGTCCAGATCCTCCAGCGTCTCCGGGACTGATGTTCGAGACTGGAGTGGCGGCTTCAGATGCAGAGGGGAAATTGTGCGGAGCATTGGCTGCCTGTGTTGGTGCACCACCACCTGCTCCATTGCCGTAGCTTAGTTCTAGGCCGGAGGGTGACCCAGTCTTGGTGACTAGAGTGCCTGAAGGTGCTCCCGGAGGTCCATGGGGATGTGCACCCGCGAGAGGTAGTGGTAGGACGGTGACGGGCACGACAACTGTTTCAGTTGGAGTGTCGACAGGCCCGGTGATCGTGATTGTCTTGCCACTGCGATCTGTTGAAATGGTGACTTCGTGCCCATGATCAATCGTAACGATGACTCCATGTCCAGTTGGCTGTGGTTGAACAGGTTTAGTAACCACAAATGGAGTCGTGATGGGCCAACCTGCCGGACACGTAATTGTGGTGGTGGCCAGTGAAAATGTTGGAAGAGGTTGATCTCTACAGCCACAGTGGGTAGTAACAAACGAAGTTGTTCTCGTGGTGAGACCGGTCGGGCAGGGTTCAATCCAAGTTCCTTTCGAATGTTAGTGTGATTGAATCGTATGTGACGCACTTCATACGACATGCTTACCTGTCAGTGTAGTAGTAAGTATAGTTGAAGAAACTCCATGACTTCCCCATCCTCCTCTCTCTGATTGATCAGAAGAGAGCGAGCTCTTGATGGAAGAACTTGAATATTGTGGCCTGATACTGCTCGATTGCTTCGAGGTTGTCACGGGGGATGATGCCGGTGAGGTTGCCGAGGTGTAGCTTGAAGTGGGGGTTGATCCGGCAATTACTGCAGTAGAGGACGAGCTTGTTGTAGAATCCAGGTTGGGATCAATCATAGAGCTAGAACTCAATGTGGAATACTGCGATACACTGGTCGATGCTGATCCTGGAAGTGGCGCAACTGCTGATTGAGAAGAAAGTGTAGTCGTGGTTGAGCCAACAACTGGTCCAATTGTGAAAGTTGACGAGGACGACGATAATGTTATGTACTCTAGTGATGTGGTTGATGAGGTGGTGGCCATAATTGGGCCGGCAGTGGAAGATATTGCAGATGTGGTGCTGATGTCTCCAGCAGGCGAAGATGATGTTGTGGTCGAATCATCAACTGGTTGGAAACTCGATGACGGCGGGTTTGGCAAACCTGGGGTGAAAACAAAAATGCCCGTCGATGCTGATGTTGTCCCTGTGACAGATTGGGTAGCAGTAAATCCAGATGTTGTTGAAGCCTCACTGTGTGATGTAGTGGAAGATGATGAACTACAACCTGAAGTTGTCGAAGCTGGCAGGGGGCTTGGAGATGATGTGGAACTAGTAGAGCCGGTAGTCGTGAAGCTGCTTGTGGTGCTCGCAGTGGATTGTTGGTAGACTTTCAGCTGGTTGATTTGCCAGTAGGTGTCAACGAAAGCACCTGGGTTGTCCCTGACGAAGGCGTTGCAGCTGGTAGCCTGAGCAGTACATGAGGGATATTGGTTGTACCAATATGGGTCAGCTGCATAATCGCCGCAGAAATCAATATTCATAACGATGTTCTGATCCACAAAGCTGTCATCAAGTCTGCAGCTGGGGACGAATTTTGCCAAAGGCGGTCCCCAAAGGGCTGGCTGAGGGGTACCAGTAAGGACATCCGAGGGTATGGAGTTCCTGGCAAAATACCAAATGGTTACAGCATCACTGGTCCATTCTGTGGCATACACTCCACCACCTTGCTGATTAAAGCCGGTTCCATATGTTGAAGGGCTGGTAGAGTTAATCGAGCATCCGACTAAACCTCCAGTATTAATGTTGCAGTCGGTGGTCTGCAATGTTCCTGTCATGGGTTGCTGACCAATAGAACACGCTTGGCTTGTCTTCAGGGACAGCACGCTAGTCGAATCAAGATTAATGCCTTCGATGACATCCAGCTCACTATACGATTGGGCCACAGGGCCTTTCAACCAAAAAGCTGGCCAGGTCGCACACTGCCCACCCGGCATATGGGCAAGGCCGAGTATAAAGAGACCATGGTTATAGAGCTTCTTGCTCTCGATTCGTATGCTATTGCGCCCCCGTCCTGTGGCCACATTCGTGGTATCAACTCCCATGTAGATGCTGCCATCTGGGAGTGTTGATAGAAGCCCAGAATCAACTGCGGCTGCTTGACTGATATAGTTCACGTAACCGTTTGTAGGATCGTTGTCCTGTACTTCATTAAGCCTCCGCTGGCCAATGAATATCATAGAATACGTACAGTAAAGAAATCGAAGTTGTCTGCAAATGACCCGGCCGAAGAACCAGCAGTATAGTCATCTCGCAGAACGTACACGGTCTGACCGAAAGCGAATTGGGCGAATGCGACAAGAGACAAAAGGAGTGGACGCATCTCTCAAGATGCTGCGTGTAAGTACTGGTGACAAACCGACACAACACAAAGTTGCAGAAGGAGAAGAAAGGCAATGGACGAAAGTCAGACATTGTGGCCGTGGGAGAGAACTGATGAGAGTTTTGATCGATCTTGCCTGTTGTCGGCAAACGTAAAGGCTTGCGCACGTTCACTCTGCCCAAAATTACCTGAGAAGCTTGATAAGTACAATATCACATCAAAATTAAGGACAAAAAGAGCTGGAAATTGAAGATCTCATGCCTTGACCCCCTTTTTGGTGCGGAGAGTCCATTGGTTCAAGGACAAGGGTCGGGATCGCACGCTGTCAGAGCTGTCAAAACCTGGGCCTGCTTGAATTAACCAATCAATGGCTTCCAGGGAAGCTGTTTGCTGACTCCTGGCAGCCTGTCAGGAAAATGATGCTAAGTCCAGTGTATATCTAGAAGTCGGAGGAGACGTGGACATAGATGCTGGTGATAAGTGATGAAGCTATGGCTAGCTATTTCAACGCGGGACAGAGCGCTTTTCATCCAGCCCCGTACAGGTTTGTTCAGTCGACAGCTGCAGAATTGCAGTCGGATCAAGTGGCAGCTTGATGCAATTCTCGGAGATCAATACCGTGCGACATGCATCACCCGTGCGTTGTGAGTTGAGAATTGTTGTTCGCGTCTAACTTTCTTGAACTTGACCCTGCGCCACGGAATTGATGTTTTTCCGTCTGCCGAAACGAGTGCTAGCAACCAAGCAAATATGCCAAGGATTTACTCAATGTTTGTTTCGTCGTCTCAGGTTCACGTGTCCCTCTTTCAACCTCGTGGCCTTCCAGATGGTCCTAAAATTGGTCAATGTACTCGTGCTTGTCTGTCTGATCGGAGGCTGGGTCGCCCTCATGATTGCCAAACCAAACGCCAGCATGATCTACCATTCCATTTTCGGTGGGTCGCCCGAAAGGCAAAATGGCTTGCTGGTGATGATCTCTGTCTTTGTGGAGACTGTTGCTTTGATGCCTAAAGTCTATTGCCCTCACCATGTTTGCTTCGTCCAACAGGCTCTCTGGAACTTGCACTTGAAGAAGGTGAGAGAGGTGGCTGTTGGCTGTGGTCGGAAGTAGGATGAAGTTTAGGTGGTTCAAGGGCAGCGATTGATGGCAGAATCTGATACACGCACAACATGGCAGCAATGGAAGAAGCCGTCTGTGTGGGCCAAAAGTGGCGATGATGAACGAATACTGGCACATCCACGATCCCTTCGACAACACTGGCATCACGAGGAACTATTGATGCCCCTCCTGACTGTTGAGATTTGGGTCGTCGCGAAGGTCAAGCCAATCCATCAACAGCACAGAACGAATCACCTTCAACTCGGGTCCAACACAGTACCTGGCATAGAACTCAATCTTATCAATGCTTGGTCTGGCCAATTGGAATTCGAGATCAATACATTGTTGGACTGTGAGCGCTAGATGTGAGGCAGTCGAAGTGGATCAAATCAGCTCAATTCACCTACACTCAATTATGCACCCGCGATCACTGTAGGCTGCGAGTCTGTGAATGAGTCACTGAGGTTCTTGGCGTGATGAGGTTGGTTATTCTGTCTTCATAAACCCCGTCTCACCTCGACTTCCTCCTTTCTCCCTCTGTCTCTCCCTTCTCCCTCGTTTTGACTACCTGTCTGTTTATGCCATCACTATACACCTCCCGTCCTCACACACACTCTCTCATGACATATAGCGCTGCTATTCAGTAGACGCTCACTCAGTTCTCCCAGCTGTCCTTAGTAAGTGCACTACTATGATTCCCCGCTCCCTCTTGCACTGAATAGTGATAGCTAACTCAGGTGGTTCCTCTGAACCTCACAGGTAGTAGTTGGGAAGCCACGGTGAGGGTGACCCCTCACACGACTTTATATTTATATTTATATTTATATTTATATTTATATTTATATTTATATTTATATTTATATTTATATTTATATTTATATTTATATTTATATTTAT